ATTAAAATATTACTGCATTCACTGTACAGTGTGAATGTGATCATGTCTAGTTTAACTGTACAGTGTGAATGTGATCATATCTAGTTTAACTGTACAGTGTGAATGTGATCATATCTAGTTTAACTGTACAGTGTGAATATAATGTCTAATTTAATTGTACAGTGTGAATGTGATCATTTCTAGTTTAACTGTACAGTATGAATGTGATCATTTCTAGATTCACTGTACAGTATGAATGTGATCATTTCTAGATTCACTGTATAGTATTAATGTGTTCATGTCTAGATTCACTGTACAGTGTGAATGTAATCATGTCTAGTTTAACTGTACAGTGTGAATGTGATCATTTCTAGTTTAACTGTACAGTATGAATGTGATCATTTCTAGATTCACTGTATAGTATTAATGTGTTCATGTCTAGATTCACTGTACAGTGTGAATGTGATCATGTCTAGATTCACTGTATAGTATTAATGTGATCATATCTAGATTCACTGTACAGTGTGAATGTAATCATGTCTAGTTTAACTGTACAGTGTGAATGTGATCATGTCTAGATTCACTGTACAGTGTGAATCTGTCCAGGTTTGAACTCGTCCGTTTGTGTGCATTAATCTCCCTGTTTTTTCTCTCTCTGTTCCGCAGTGGGGGCAGATGAGCTGGTCAGCGCTGTATTACAGTATGAAGCTGTGGAGCTGTTATGCTGTTTGGCGTTTGGGGTTGTTTTGACCCGTCATCGTCCGTCCTACAGCTGTCTGCTCCCTCAGCTTCATAAACGTGAGTGACCCTTAATAATTCCACTCATCTATTTAATGATATTTCTAGCTGCAGACCAGGATGCCGAACTGTACAGTGGGATTAAGTTAAAGCTATTATTACCCAGTTTCTCCCAGATTTAGTCAGTTAGATGAGACTTGTTTCCTTCTTTAGCTTTAGCAGTGGAGCATGTTAGCATGGTGCTAACTGCCTGTTCAGTGTGTGGAGTTCTTCAGTGTCTCTAATAGACTTGATTATGTGGTTTTGAACACTGTATGACTCACTGCTATCGAAGTACATTAGCATAGCTAAGCATGCTAATGGCGTGTACTCTGTTTTTTAATATTGCTCCCTCTTCTTCTCCTCCATATCGCAGGTAAAAGGCGTCGGTGTTCTGAGCTCCGAGGTCTGAGGCTGGCGCGGGTTCTCCAGGCAGCTACTCCCAGAATTCCTCCTGATTTCAGCACCATCCGCATCTGAAACACCTGGATTCGCTCTGTTCAGCGCTCTGAGGAACGCTGGTGCTGCTGGTTCAGATCCAGAACTCTGAACCTTTACTGACAGAACTTTCAGACCAGCTCTGTATGATATATCGATTATTAACCGTTATCGGGATACTGACCTTCACAATACTGACATCACACGAGGCTACAATAGGTAAACGAGCCCTCTTTGACCAATCACAGCTCCAGATGAGTTTCTGTGGGCATTTCCATGAGTCAACATTTGGGCTGAATTAATTTGATATTGAAAAAGTGCAGTTACCACATTTGCCTGTCTTACGTGGTTCAAACTGGGGAGGTTTAAACTAATAAAGCAGAGCTCAGGAACTGACAGTCTAGTAAACTACATTCAGCGTTTCTACCTCAACACTGATAAAGCTAATGTGGTCACTTCTATCAAATGTCTTAAGCTCTTACCTCAAGTTAAGTGCTTAAGAGATCAATTCAATAATTTGTGTATTATTCCCAAACTGGCCAGCTCTAATTAACATGTTCATGGAATCCAACTAAAGAAAATAATCTCAGCCAACATATTACGCAGTATTGTCTAAAAACCTTAGGCAGCTCTGACAGTTCGTTTATCTGGGCAGTTAGTCTGATTTTTCTAGGTAAAAATCTAAGTTGAATTGAATGGAGGATTGATTAGTTAAACAAGGTATTTAAGGTAACTGTAAATACAGGGCACAATGGATTGTTCGTCAGGCTGATTAAAATAATAAATTGCGATTAATCGCGTTTGTGTAGTTAATCACGATTAATCATATTTGTCTCATTTGCTCAAATTTGACCGAAGGTGAAAGAGTGTGTTCCATTAATGAAGCAGTGTATTGTGTTATAGCTGAGAATGTATTTATTACCTTCAGTAATTCAATAACGTTGTTTTAAACTCTGAACCTGAACATGAAGATCAGATGATCTCCACAAAGTGGAAACAGTTTCATCACCGACGTCCAGCGAGAGCAACAGTGTCTGCATGTTCACTGTGAGTGTTCAGCTCATATATATCATATATACAGTGAGTGTATACATCTTATATATCATATATATACAGTCAGTGGTTTAGCTGGAACTGCATAGGAACTGCAGCTCCACCAGCTGCTGCTTTTGTTAGTTTGCTGCTCATTGATTTACCCATAGTTCTCTGTAAGAGTCTGTTCAGCGTCGTCTGCTGAAGGAGCTGAAAGTTTCGCTTTAAAAGCTGTTTAATAAATAAACACTTGCTGTCCAGATAAATAACTCTGCATATGATTTTCTGATGGTCTAGGAATTTTGCACACCTCTGTACTGCAGGGCGCATCACAGCGACCGTGTTTATCAGTATAATCTCAATGCTGATATTCTCTCCGTATCATTCAGCCCAGGTTTTCGGCTGAGGTTTGTTTTTGTTTGTCCAGTGTTGGTTACAGATGGATGCTGATTGTATCTGATTGCTCTGACATCAAATAAAAAACAGTAATAAAGTTTCCTAACAGCTTTTCTGAAGCAGTTTTCATTCAGTCGGATGGACGTAGCCGTCACGCGGTCTGCCGCGCTGGCCACCAGTCCAGCAGCGCATTATCTCTGTGGCTTCAGGCCAAATTAGATCCACACTGTTTTGAGCTTAGAGCTGATTTGTAACGCGCCAGCGGCTTATCTGCGCTAATTGGTCTCAGTTGGGCTCTCGTTATCAGCGCTGTTGTAAATTTAGCCGGGATTCTGTTGACCTCAGATGGAGCGAAATTAAAAAGTAAATCAAGAAACATGCCTTGTTTGTGTTTTTGTGGTGTTTAGTTGTTGTTGGTTACGGGTTTTGCAGCCTCGTGGCGCCAGATTTGTAGCGAGAACGTCTGGGGAGAACGATGAGCGATTTTGGGCTAAATGTTGGGAGCGTAGACTCATTACGTAGGAAACAAAACTTAGAATTCCTAAACCAATCCAAGGTGGGGCTCACAGTAGGGGGCGCTAGTGCGCTCATTAACAATGCCTGATGGAGAACAAGCCTGTTGTTGGCCTGTGAATCTCACAACACCGTCCTGATTTCACTTCCCAGGGAGTTAGCGAGTTAGCATGTTAACATGCTGGCCATTACAGTTAACTGTAAAACTGTCACTGATCTAATTCAGTTGTGTGCTGACTTCGTAGTGTTTATTTACGAAGATGTTTAAGTTCACAGAAAGCCAGGAACATACATGCACTATATGGACAAAAGTATTGGGACACACCTCTTAATGATTGAACTCAGGTGTTTCATTCAGTCTCATTGCCACAGGTGTATAAAATCAAGCACCCAGCCCTGCAGCCTGTCTGTGGAGGCATTTAGGAACCACAGCAACTCAGCCATGAAGAGTCAGACCACGTAAAGTTCCAGAGTGGGTCTCCGAGTTCTGAGGAGCACAGAGCATAAACGCCTCCAACGCTCTGCTGATCAATAACTGCAGAGTTCAAACCTCTCTGGCATCAACATCAGCATAAAACCTGCGCCGGGAGCTTCATGGCAGGGTTTCCATGGCTGAGCAGCTGCATGTAAGCCTTACATCACCAAGCACAATGCAGAGCGTCGGCTGGAGTGGAGTAAAGCGCCATCACTGGACTCTGGAGCAGTGGTATTCTATGGAGTGACCAATCAGCTTCTCTATCGGTCAGTCTGATGGACGAGTCTGGGTTTGGAGAACGTTACCTGCCTGACTGCACTGTGCCAGCTGTAGAGTTTGGTGCAGGAGGGATGATGATATGGGGCTGTTTTTCAGGGGTTGATCTAGAACCCTCAGTTCCAGTGAAGGGAAATCTTAATGCTTCAGCAGAACAAGACATTTTAGACAATTATACACTTCCAACTTTGTGGAACAGTTTGGGGAAGAACCTTTCCTGTTCCAGCGTGACTGAGCCCCAGTGCACAAAGCAGCTCCATAAAGGCCTGACTGGGTGAGTTTGGTGTGGAAGAACTTGACTGACCCTCACAGAGCCCTGACCTCAACCCCATCACACACCTTTGGGATGAACTAGAACAGAGATTGTGAGCCAGACCCTCTCGTCCAACATCAGTGTCTGACCTCACAAACGCTCTTCTGGATGAATAGACAGAAATTCCTACAGACCCTCCAACATCTTGTAGAAGCTTCCCAGAAGAGTGGAAGCTGTTAGAGCTGCAAAGGGAGACCAGCTCCATATTAATGCCTGTGGATTTAGAATGGGAGTCATAAAAGCTCCTGTAGGTGTCCCAATCCATATAGTGTATCTGTGCCTTTTGAGGTTCCTCCCAGAGATGTTGATTGATGGCTCTGATATGTAAGATTCATCTAATAATATTTGGATACACCAAGGCTGCGTCCAAACCGCTGAATCAACCCTCCCTTCCTGTCTGCTGTCCTTGGTTTTCCTGATCTGGTAACCATGTGGATCCACCTGCTAGTCGGCTCTGGTAACTGATGCTTAATGAGGTCATCTGGGCTGGAGATCAGGCTCAGTCGAGAGAAGCTGATCAGACAGAAAGTGACTGTTCATTGTGTCAAATGCTGAATCTTCTAGATCTTAAAGACTCTTCCAGATAAAGCCTTCATAGTAGAACCACTTTTGGTTCCCTGAAGAAGCTTTCAAGAACCGTGGTGAGTGTAAAGAACCTTTTTTAACGTTTAAAGAACCTCCAGATACAGTCATGTGAAAAGGTTTGGGTCATTTTGTGTGTTGTTGAAAATGAGTTAAGACGTCCTCTGCAGAGAAACACGACTGCACACTTTAAGACACAGTGACTGTTTATTTACTGAACTTAAATCACTGGAAAAAACCGAAACAGAAAATGTGGGCTGTGCAAAAGTTATGGCACATATTGGGTTTTAATGTTTTAAACCAAATAGACATTGTGCACTAAACTGTTCTCTGTAGATCAGAGTTTAACCTCTGGAAATGGTAAACAATATTAATACATGCCGGCCGCACCAAGCTTTCTCAATTTTTTGCCAATTGACTCTAGAATACACCCCCCACCCAGTGTTTCAGCTGTCCAGTCACTCGAGCGTTCTATAGAGCCTAGTATTCTAGAGGCAAGGGTCAAAATATCAACAAAGCTGTCTGTGAAAAAAATATGTTGTGGTCACTTTTCTTAATCTGCTACCACTGTGCTTGATTTCTGGCATACAACAAACATCTGCACGAACTGTTGATATGTTATGTTCACTGATACTCGCCGTATGTTCTGGATAAAAGCACCCAAACATAGCTGTGTTGAAAATTTCCCAAAAACTGACATTTTAAACAAAACAGGTTTTGGCCCAGCTCAGTGTATAATGGTGTTAACTGATGATTTCATCTGGTCAGAGTCCAGATTTAAACGCTGTAGTGAATATTTCGTCTCACATCAAACCCAAACCAGCTCATTCAGCCGTCAGTGCTGAGTGGATCAGTACTGACTCCTCTGTCTGTAGAAGACTGTCTGAACATTCACACACTAAACTCCAACACTTAGAGAATCAGAGTGTCTCCAATATTAACTGACTGCAGCTGTTTGATTAATGATTTATTAATAAGACCATTAAAAGATTAATGTTTTACCAACAATACAGGGAAACTATACTCTTAAAGACAGTTCTTCAAGGGTTCTTTAGTAAAGACAACAGTTCTACCATAGAACCATGAACACTCCAAGAATCCTCTGCACGATTTAAGGGTTCTCTGCATGGTGAAAAGGTTCACCCGATTGATGGACAATGTGCTGTATATGGTTCTATTACGGAACCTTTTTGAAAAAGGGTTCTAAATAGCACGAAAAAGGGTTCTGCCGTTGTAACAGCCCAAAGAACGACCTTTTGGTTCTATATAGAACTATGTAAGTGTGTAAACAGTAGTGGAGCTGTACAATTACAGCACATTCTCCATCAACCTAAAGGACCCTTTCACCATGCAAAGAACCCGTAAATCGTGCAGTGGGTTCTTGGAGTGTCGATGGTTCTATATAGAAGTCACACATCAAATCACATGTGGAGTGTGAGAAAACCATGTGATTTATTTCCACATCTTTTTTCACTTTTTTAAAAGGTTAATTTTAATTATATGAGCCATAAAAGCATTTTTTTTCACCATACACACACGTGAAACGTGCATCTTGCATTTAGTTTATATTATTTTATTTTTATTCATGTCTTCTAAGAAAATGCCCTGAGCCTGTTTTTCCTTCAACAAGGGGAATTACCAAAAAAACCAAAAAAACAGTGGGAATTATCAATATAAATAAATAAACACAGCGGTTGTGTTAGCATTTCCTTTCCGATCCTCTGTTGAGGAATGTGTGGGGAATTTTCATATCATTAGCGTCTCAGCGACTGACGGTGGAACTGGTCCCATCAAACCCCCTCTGAGAAAGGCAGAACCCCCTCGGTGTGGCGGTCCGGCTCTCTCTCTGTACAGTCCTGATCCTCCTGGGTCCGTCTATGTGTCGGGGTCGAAGGCCATGTTGCTGTAGGGGTTGGGAGGCGGCAGGTGCTGCTCCTTGTGGTGGTTTTTGTTACAGAGGCGTCTGCAGAGGTGGTACAGAGCCACGATGGGGATCGGCAGCACCGGCACCGCCGACAGGAGAACACAGATGGAGAAAACCCAGTCGGGGTACGGGTTCACCTCCGACTCCGGGAACAGAGCCTGGACACAAACACAGGATCAGCAAACACACCGCTGAGCACTTACACTAGAAACCATTGGGTCAGTTCCCAATAGAGAGCAAAACCACTAGGTTTAATCCTGATGGTTCCAGCAGGGACCCTACATTTACAGTAGACTCCTCTCACTGATAAATGGGACGAAAACACCTTAATGTCCCTGTTTAGTTTTTCTTCTTGAGATTGTGTTAACTACTCAAACAAATGCTAACTGCTAAGCTACCAACACCTCCACTGGGGAGCACTTATTAGCACTAAGATTGTTTTCCAAGAACAGACTTTATACAACTTCAGAACAAAGGTAGAACAGAAAGTAGCTACTTTAGTATTTTGTAGTATTGTCTTGTAGTATTTTTTTTTTCTGAAAACAGTATTTTCAAATGTACTCAACATAAAAACAGACTAGGTAAGTTACTAAATGTGTAGTTTTTCAGGTTGCATAGCAAAGCTAACAAAGAATCTTTCTAGAAGGAGTGTTTATAAATTTCCTCGTCAAAGCTAGCGCAGAAAGTAGCTAGTTAAGCTAAAATCACTTTCTTAATGTGTCATTTTAAAACGTGCATAGTGATGCTAATGCATGAGCTAAAACTGCTTTTAAGCATTTTGTGCTTTAAATAGAAAAGCTAGCAAAGAAAGTAGCCCATTAGCTAAAATCGCTATCTGAATGCTTAGTTTTTAAACCTGTATGGCTATAAAAGAAAGTAGGTAGCTGAGCTAAAACTTTTTAAAAGTACTGTTTCTTCTATTTTGTGATCATTTTTTAATTTGTTTTAAAAAGTAGTGTTTCAAAGTAGTGTCACATAGCAAAGCTACCAAAGATGGTTAGCCTAAATAAAATAGTTTCCCAGAAGTGATGTTTTTAAAATTTACACAGAAATCTAGACACAGGAAGCAGCTTCTAGTTTTAAGCTTGCAGAGCACAGCCAGCACACAAAGCTGCTACAGGTGGCTAAACTGTTTTCTTTCAGCACAGAAAGAAATTCAAATCAATTCCCAGCGTTTAGCTTCTTAACTCTCACAGCATAGCTGGCAGTCAGCTAGAGGGGTTTGAGCGTGTAACACAGGTGTGAACTGACTGTAATCAGATGTGCTGTGTGTGCAGTTATGTGAGATGTTTGGGGTTGTCCTGTATTTATGTTGGACACTTACGTAATCCGGGTTCCAGGTGGGGTAGGTGGGCTGCACCTGTCCCCTGAATGACGATGTAGGCCACCAGCACGACCAGCAGCATGATAGGGCTGATCCCCATCCAGCAGATCTTCCAGAACCAGTTGGGCCTCCGACCCGTCATGTACTCGATATCGTCACTGAATCTGCAGCACAACAACCCACTGTTATTCCTGAAAACCCACCGTTCTTCACGTTCTCTGTGCTCCAACATGCCGAGTCAACTCCACAGGTAGGTGTGAAGCCCTTTATAGGGTCAGTCAGGGGTGGTGGAGAGCAGGAGAACGCAGGAGAAGGAGTGTGCAATCACAGTCTTATATTCAGGAGTGTGTAAGAGTGTGTAAGGGTGTATAAGAGTGTTTAATAGTGTGTAAGAGTGAGTAAGAGTATAAAAAGAGTCTGTAAAAGAGTGTGTAAGAAAGTGTAAGAATGTATAAGAGTGTGTAAAAGAGTAGGTAAAACGGTGTGTAAGAGTGTATAAGAGTGTAAAAGAATGAGTAAGAGTGTATGAGTGTGTAAAAGAGTGTAAGAGTGTATAAGAGTGTTTAAGAGTTTTTTTTGAGTGTGTAAGAGTATATAAAGGTCTATAAAAGTGAGTAAGAGAGTGTAAGAGTGTTTGACTGTGTAAGAGTGTGTGTGTGTGTAAGAGTAAATGAGTGTGTAAAAGTGTGTAAGTGTACACACTTCTACTCACTCAATTACACACTCCTACACTTTTACACACTCATACACTCTCTTACACTATAAAAGAATGAGTAAGAGTGAGTGTGTAAAAGTATTAGAGAGTTTAAGAGCGTGTAAGAGTGAGTATGAATGTGTAAGAGTGAGTTTGAGTGTGCAAAAGAGTGTGTTGGAGTGTGTAATTGAGTGAGTAGGAGTGTGTACGAGTGTATAAGAGTGAGTTAGTGTGTAAGAGTGTATAAGAATGTATGAAAGAATGAGTAAGAGTGAGTGTGTAAGAGAGTATGGGTATAAGAGTGAGTATGAGAATGTATAAGAGTGAGTTAGAGTGTGTAAGAGTGAGTTAGAGTGTGTAAGAGAGTGTATGAGTGTGTAAAAGAGTGTAGGAGCGTGTAATTGAGTGAGTAGGAGTGTGTACGAATGTATAAGTGAGTTAGAGTGTATAAGAGTGAGTATGAGTGTGGAAGAGTGTAGGAGTGTGTAAAAGAGTGTGTAGGAGTGTATAAGAGTGAGTCAGAGTGAGTAAGAGTGAGTGAGTATGTAAGAGTGTATGAGTGTGTAAAAGAGTGTAAGAGTGTATGAGTGTGTAAAAGAGTGTAGGAGTGTGTACGAGTGTATAAGAGTGAGTCAGAGTGTGTAAGAGTGTATGAGTGTGTAAAAGAGTGTGTATGAGTGTGTAAGAGTGAGTAAGAGTGACTGGGTAAAAGAGGGTATAAGAGTGTTTGAGTGTGCAAGAGTGAGAATGAGTGTGTAAGAGAGTGTATGAGTGTGTAAGAGTGAGTCAGAGTGTGTATGCGTGAGTATGAGTGTAGGAGTGTGTAATTGAGTAAGTAGGAGTGTGTACGAATGTATAAGAGTGAGTCAGAGTGTGTAAGAGTGTATGAGTGTGTAAAAGAGTGTGTAGGAGTGTGTACGAGTGTATAAGAGTGAGTCAGAGTGTGTAAGAGTGTATGAGTGTGTAAAAGAGTGTGTAGGAGTGTGTACGAGTGTATAAGAGTGAGTCAGAGTGTGTAAGAGTGTATGAGTGTGTAAAAGAGTGTGTAGGAGTGTGTTCGAGTGTATAAGAGTGAGTCAGAGTGTGTATGCGTGAGTATGAGTGTAGGAGTGTGTAATTGAGTGAGTAGGAGTGTGTACGAGTGTATAAGAGTGAGTCAGAGTGTGTAAGAGTGTATGAGTGTATAAAAGAGTGTGTAGGAGTGTGTTCGAGTGTATAAGAGTGAGTCAGAGTGTGTATGCGTGAGTATGAGTGTATGAGTGTGTAAAAGAGTGTGTAGGAGTGTGTACGAGTGTATAAGAGTGAGTCAGAGTGTGTATGCGTGAGTATGAGTGTAGGAGTGTGTAATTGAGTGAGTAGGAGTGTGTACGAGTGTATAAGAGTGAGTCAGAGTGTGTAAGAGTGAGTATCCTGTGTACCGGTTCATGCCGTAGAACAGGACTACAGAGGTGATCTCGAAGAAGGCGATGATGAGGAGAGGGACTGAGCCCACGTAGCTGTTAAAGATCTCCAGCCAGTAGTTCCCTGAACCCATGGTGAAGATCAGAGCCACCAGGAAGCTGATCACACAGATTACAGCTGCAGAAACACAGACACCAGATCACCACCAGTAACCAGCTCTTTATTACTCACTGACCGTTTTATTAAAGCCTACTACGAGTTCAGTGATTACTAAGAATGAATTGTTCAGTTTTCACTATGAATTATTCAGTTTTCACTATGATTATTCAGTTTTCACTATGAATTATTCAGTTTTCACTATGAATTATTCAGTCTTCACTATGATTATTCAGTTTTCACTATGAATTTTTCACTATTCAGTTTTCACTATTCAGTTTTCACTATAAATTATTCAGTTTTCACTATGAATTATTCACTATGAATTATGAATTATTTGGTTTTCACTATGATTATTCAGTTTTCACTATGATTATTTGGTTTTCATTATGATTATTCAGTTTTCACTATGATTATTCAGTTTTCACTACGATTATTCGGTTTTCACTATGAATTATTCAGTTTTCACTATGATTATTCAGTTTTCACTATGAATTATTCAGTTTTCACTATGATTGTTCAGTTTTCACTATGATTATTCAGTTTTCACTATGAATTATTCAGTTTTCACTATGATTGTTCGGTTTTCACTATGATTATTCAGTTTTCACTATGATTATTCAGTTTTCACTATGAATTATTCGGGTTTCACTATGATTGTTCGGTTTTCACTATGAATTATTCAGTTTTCACTATGATTATTCAGTTTTCACTACGATTATTTGGTTTTCACTATGATTATTCAGTTTTCACTATGAATTGTTCAGTTTTCACTATGAATTATTCAGTTTTCACTATGATTATTCAGGTTTCACTATGAATTATTCAGTTTTTTACTATGAATTATTCAGTTATCACTATGGTTATTCAGTCTTCACTATGATTATTCAGTCTTCACTATGATTATTCAGTTTTCACTATGAATTATTCAGTCTTCACTATGAATTATTCAGTTTTCACTATGAATTATTCAGTTATCACTATGATTATTCAGTTTTCACTATGATTATTCAGTTTTCACTATGAATTATTCAGTTTTGACTATGATTATTCAATTTTCACTATGATTATTCAGTTTTCACTATGATTATTCGGTTTTCACTATGATTATTCAGTTTTCACTACGATTATTCGGTTTTCACTATGATTATTCAGTTTTCACTATGAATTATTCGGTTTTCACTATGATTATTCAGTTTTCACTACGATTATTCAGTTTTCACTCTGAATTATTCAGTTTTCAATATGATTATTCAGTTTTCACTATGAATTATTCGGGTTTCACTATGATTGTTCGGTTTTCACTATGATTATTCAGTTTTCACTACGATTATTCGGTTTTCACTATGAATTATTCAGTTTTCACTGTGATTATTCAGTTTTCACTACAATTATTCGTTTTTCACTATGATTATTCAGTTTTCACTATGAATTGTTCAGGTTTCACTATGAATTATTCACTATGAATTATGAATTATTTGGTTTTCACTATGATTATTCAGTTTTCACTATGATTATTCGTTTTTCACTACGATTATTCGGTTTTCACTATGAATTATTCAGTTTTCACTATGATTATTCAGTTTTCACTACGATTATTCGGTTTTCACTATGAATTATTCAGTTTTCACTATGATTATTCAGTTTTCACTATGAATTATTCGGGTTTCACTATGATTGTTCGGTATTCACTATGATTATTTGGTTTTCACTATGAATTAATCAGTTTTCACTATGATTATTCAGTTTTCACTACGATTATTTGGTTTTCACTATGATTATTCAGTTTTCACTATGATTATTCAGTTTTCACTATGAATTGTTCAGTTTTCACTATGATTATTCAGTCTTCACTATGATTATTCAGTTTTCACTATGAATTATTCAGTTATCACTATGAATTATTCAGTTTTCACTATGATTATTTAGTCTTCACTATGAATTATTCAGTTTTGACTATGATTATTCAATTTTCACTATGATTGTTCAGTTTTCACTATGATTATTCAGTTTTCACTATGAATTATTTGGTTTTCACTATGATTATTCAGTTTTCACTACGTTTATTCGGTTTTCACTATGATTATTCAGTTTTCACTATCAATTATTCGGTTTTCACTATGATTATTCAGTTTTCACTACGATTATTCAGTTTTCACTACGATTTCGGTTTTCACTATGATTATTCAGTTTTCACTATGAATTATTCGGTTTTCACTATGATTATTCAGTTTTCACTACGATTATTCAGTTTTCACTCTGAATTATTCAGTTTTCAATATGATTGTTTGGTTTTCACTATGAATTATTCGGGTTTCACTATGATTGTTTGATTTTCACTATGATTATTCAGTTTTCACTACGATTATTTGGTTTTCACTATGAATTATTCAGTTTTCACTGTGATTATTCAGTTTTCACTATGAATTATTCGGGTTTCACTATGATTGTTCGGTTTTCACTATGATTGTTCGGTTTTCAGTATGATTATTCGGTTTTCACTATGAATTATTCAGTTTTCACTATGAATTATTCAGTTTTCACTATGATTATTCAGTTTTCACTATGATTATTCGTTTTTCACTATGATTATTCAGTTTTCACTATGAATTGTTCAGGTTTCACTATGAATTATTCACTATGAATTATGAATTATTTGGTTTTCACTATGATTATTCAGTTTTCACTATGATTATTCGGTTTTCACTACAATTATTCGGTTTTCACTCTGAATTATTCAGTTTTCACTATGATTATTCAGTTTTCACTATGAATTATTCGGGTTTCACTATGATTGTTCGGTTTTCACTATGATTATTCAGTTTTCACTACGATTATTCGGTTATCACTATGAATTATTCAGTTTTCACTATGATTATTCAGTTTTCACTATGATTGTTCAGTTTTCACTATGATTATTCAGTTTTCACTATGAATTATTCAGTTTTCACTATGATTATTCAGTTTTCACTATGAATTGTTCAATGTCTGTTATGAATTATTATTCAGTATCTATAAAGGCCTTCGTTAGGCTGGTCAGGTATGTTGGAGCAGAAGTAAGCAGGTAATGTTCAGAGCACTGTGGATTGTGAACTTAGCTGCAGTGGATGGATAGATAGATAGATAGATAGATAGATAGATAGATAGATGGATAGATGGATAGATAGATACTTTATTGATCCTGAAGGAAATTTAGGATAATTAATTCATACCGGTGAAGAGTTCTTTGGGCATCCACTTGGGCACCATGTTGAGGTCCAGCAGTGGCGTCAGGACCCCCTCCAGATTTCCAAACATGGAGGACAGGCCCAGACTGAAGAGCATGACGAAGAACAGCACCGCCCACACCTGAGAGCCTGGCATCTCTATCACGGCCTCCGTGAAGACGATGAAGGCCAAACCCGTCCCTGACGCACTCTGGAGGACAGATTTCACTGACCGGTTACTTTCTGAAGTTCAGGACATTAAAACCATTTAATCATGTTAATTTTATATCTACTCATTAAATTAGGAAAAGTCATTAAATATGAAGTAAAAATGAGGTCAGTCAGTTATTTAGAGATGTTAAACATCAAATAGGGCCAAACTGACCCAGAGATAATATTAATTATAGTGGACTGGATTAGTTACCTGGTCCAGGAACCTGTCCAGGCTGCAGTGTCTGAGCGTTAGATTAGCCACTCTCTCTGGATATGAGGAGTTTAAGTTCTCCAGCCACATGTCGTAGTTATCCATCGTTATGTTCTGGTCAGCGATATTGAACTCGTTGGTCAGTTTGAGGATGTTGCTGTGGGTTAAGAGATTCAGGTGAGGTGGCTGATGATTGAGGTTGTGTTTCAGTCTGCAGTGTTTAACATGCACTCAGGGCACTGGCTGATTAAAACCATTAGTTTGTGAGGCATTAAAATTTATATCTGAACAATTTTTACCATCCTCAGTACCAAAAATGTTGGGACACTCAATGACATTATACATTATATTTAAGATAATTATGTACATTTGCATCAATTTCTTCATTCAGAAACAACTCTAGATCAAAATAGATTAAAAAAGAAGCCACATTTAATCAGGTGATTTCACACTTTAGGCTGGTAATGTAAATATATAAATAGATACACAGTCTAAAGTTTGAACACTTCTGGTCAAATTTCATGTTTTGTTGATTTTCTAAGTGAAAATAAGTGAACACACCCCCTACAGAGACTCACTTAAATTTGACATTTCTCTCCACAATTTAGTGCACAGTTTCTAATTATTTTAAGAGTTTTCTAAGACTAAAAATACAAGCTCATTTCCAAAAAAGTTGGGATGCTGTGCAAAATGTAAATAAAAACAAAATGCAATGATGTGCAAATCATTTAAACCCTATTTTTCATTGAAAATAGTACAAAGACAACATATTAAATGTTGAAACTGAGAAATTTTATTGTTTTTTGAAAAATATTTGCCCATTTTGAATTTGATGTCAACAATACGTTCCAAAAAAGCAACAGGGCTGTAGAACACAAAATATAAAATGTGCCATAACTTTTACAAAGGACACATTTTATGTTCCAGTGTGTTAAATTCAGTAAATAAACAGTAAGTGTGTATTAAAATGTGCAGTAGTGTGTCTCTGTAGAGGATGTGTAACTTATTTACATTCAGAAAATCAACAAAACATGGAATTTGACCAGGGGTGCACAAACATTTGCACTACATAACATCAACGTTCTAGTATTGCCGAGTATCTGGGGAGAGTTGACTGTACCTGTTGAAGCAGTTGTTGTTGTTGTTGGTGGCTTTGAAGCCCAGGATGGCGAATATGGGTATGGAGGCGTAGAGGGAGGTGGCGCTGTTAATGCAGCCCACCAACACCGCGTCCCTCTCACAGTTATTCCTAACAAACACACAAGAACTCTCAGTAAACAACACATCTGCTTGTTCCTCAGTGATCAGCTTCAGCGGATTCTCCACAAGGGGGAGCTATTAGCACAGTTACTTTTGTGAGCAGCATTGGGAGGAAACCCACACCAGCAGGATCTGTAGTTATAAATATCATATGTATAAAATGGAAGCATAAGTAAAAGGTTTTGTTTAACTGGGTTTAACAGCTAAAAGTTTAACAGGCTCCTCCAATAACATTCAGCGTCTTACTATTCACTGAATTACTCACTATAAACATATAAAGTACAGTATATTTTACTTAAACGTGCGTTAGCTTCAAATATCCAGAGTACAGTTAAATCCTGCACTGTAAAAAGATTGACTGTAAGGTTGCTCAGTAAAAATCAGTAAAAAAAGTCTTAGCGTTGTGGTGAGGTGTGCAGTGATGCTACCACTACAGATCAACAGCTACTACTGTATTTCGCTCAGTTTTGGTGGATTACACTGTAGGTAACTTCTTAGCAAACCCTGCTGGCCTTGCCTGGCTTAGTTAGCGAGCTGTTAACACGATTGCTGTGCTGTACAATAGTAAACCCCACAAAATCTGAATTAGATCACGCAAATCTTACATTTACACTGAAGAAGCAGTCAAACTAACGTCTTTAAGAGAAACAGACAAGTAAACACTAATCGTATGGTAGCTCAGCTAACTTTACTAGCCCAGTCATTAGAGATTTCTCCTAAAATGAGCTGTTTACCAACTAAAATCTACGAGGCGCAGTACGTTATGCTGTGACTGGGCTAGTGACCGTGCAAACAGCACACTCTGATTTCTTAGATCAGATTAAGGTCTATAAATCTGATTAGTAGATCTGATAAAGAGGCTGGATTTGAGTCAGTAATGGGTGTTTTCAGTGCTGTAAACTCTCAATCTGATTTCGTTCGTTTCTCTCAGTCTGAGCATGTGTGAAAGCAGAGTGCCGCCCCGGAAACGTCGAGCAGCGTTTAACACAGCGGTTAACACGACGGTTAACACGACGGTTAACACGACGGTTAGCGCAGCACCTGCGAGACGCAGCACAGCACTTTTGGAGCAACACTGAACCAAACGAAGGACTTAGATATTCTTCATCTTCTAGATGATGTAAGTTCATATTTTCAGATAAAGTGAATGTTTTTAAAAAAAAGCCGCTTGTGATGTTTGAGTTTTACATTACGTTTATGTCATGTCTTATTCTGTGATGTGCACGTAAACACACTGAACCAGTTACTGACACAATCTGATTTTCGCCAGTTATCAGATTATTAAGTGTAAACACACTGAACCAGTTACTGACACAATCTGATTTTCGCCAGTTATCAGATTATTAAGTGTAAACACACTGAACCAGTTACTGACACAATCTGATTTTCGCCAGTTATCAGATTATTAAGTGTAAACACACTGAACCAGTTACTGACACAATCTGATTTTCCGCTGTTATCAGATTATTAAGTGTAAAAACACACTGAACCAGTTACTGACACGATCTGATTTTCCGCTGTTATCAGATTATTAAGTGTAAACACACTGAACCAGTTACTGACACGATCTGATTTTCCGCTGTTATCAGATTATTAAGTGTAAACACACTGAACCAGTTACTGACACAATCTGATTTTCGCCAGTTATCAGATTATTAAGTGTAAACACACTGAACCAGTTACTGACACAATCTGATTTTCGCCAGTTATCAGATTATTAAGTGTAAACACACTGAACCAGTTACTGACACAATCTGATTTTCGCCAGTTATCAGATTATTAAGTGTAAACACACTGAACCAGTTACTGACACAATCTGATTTTCCGCTGTTATCAGATTATTAAGTGTAAAAACACACTGAACCAGTTACTGACACGATCTGATTTTCCGCTGTTATCAGATTATTAAGTGTAAACACACTGAACCAGTTACTGACACAATCTGATTTTCGCCAGTTATCAGATTATTAAGTGTAAACACACTGAACCAGTTACTGATAAAATCAGATTTTCTGCATTTATCAGATTAAGTGTAAACACACTGAAGCAGTTACTGACACAGTCTGATTTTCTGCAGTCATCAGATTATTAAGTGTAAAAACACACTGAACCAGTTACTGACACAGTCTGATTTTCTGCAGTTATCAGATTATTAAGTGCATGTAAACCCACTCGTGTGTCTCGCACATTTATTTGAAGATTAATAAAAGCACAGGCGAATTGGAGTTGTGGGGTTCGTAGTGCTAATCAGTTTAAATTGCTTTTTAACAACATTAATCTCTATTGCTAAAACTAAAGAAGCAGTGTTGGATGAACTCACACCAGCAGAAGCAAAAACAGTTCAGCAAAGAGCTAACGTTAGCCCGCGAGATAGTTTGGCTTTTTTGCGAGAGGTTCCTCAGTTTGGTTTTGATTCCAGAAAGAAGGCACTTCAGCTCTGCCTTCTAGTTTACTACTGACTCTCTTCCAACATTCGTGAATTCATCGAGTTCATGTTAGCAAAGTTAACCGCCGGCAGAGGCTAATTCCTTTTTCTGCGATCCTGCATCCTTTCCCATTCAGCCGGACTGTTTTTTCTCCAGGTGATGTTTATTCCTGTTCAGTCTGAGCGCAGCTGTAGTGTTTGGGTAGATGTGGAGGTGAAGCGTGACTCACTTTTTGGGGTTGTAGCTGGAGAAGGCGATCAGACCTCCGAAAGCCAGAGACAGAGAGAAGAAGATCTGAGTGGCAGCGTCCAGCCACACCTGAGGATTTAACAGGACCTGCCACTACACACACACACACACACACACACACACACACACACACACAGACACACACACACACACACACACAGACACACAGACACACACACACACACACACAGACACACACACACACACACACAGACACACACACACACACACACACACACACACACACACACACACACACACAGACACACACACACACAGACAAACATACACACACACAGACACACACACACACACACACAGACACACACACACACACACACACACACACACACACACACACACACACACAGACACACACACACACAGACAAACATACACACACACACACACACACACACAGACACACACACACACAGACAAACATACACACACACAGACACACACACACACACACACACACACAGACAAACAGACACACACACACACACACACACACACACACACACACACACACACAGGAAACAACACACATCTCATCTCAACACCTGCCAACCATGAGATACTGTAAAACATACAAACATAAACTCAATGTAGGTATTGTGATATAAACTGAGTCTGTTCTACAGTTTCTCATTAGGCTGAATGAATAACTGACTCTAAATGTAGGTATTGTGACATAAACTGAGTCTGTTCTACAGTTTCTCATTAGGCTGAATGAATAACTGACTCTAAATGTAGGTATTGTGATATAAACTGAGTCTGTTCTACAGTTTCTCATTAGTCTGAATGAATAACTGACTCTAAATGTAGGTATTGTGATATAAACCGAGTCTGTTCTACAGTTTCTCATTAGGCTGAATGAATAACCGACTCTAAATGTAGGTATTGTGATATAAACTGAGTCTGTTCTACAGTTTCTCATTAGGCTGAATGAATAACCGACTGTAAATGTAGGTATTGTGATATAAACTGAGTCCGTTCTACAGTTTCTCATTAGGTTGAATGAATAACCGACTCTAAATGTAGGTATTGTGATATAAACTGAGTCTGTTCTACAGTTTCTCTTTAGGCTGAATGAATAACCGACTCTAAATGTAGGTATTGTGATATAAACTGAGATGTAGTTTGATGTGATTTTTATCAGCATTCTGTAAAACAGTAGCTATTAAAGAACACATTTGTGGGCGGAGCCTTCATAAGGTGTTTGTTTATGTATATGATAATAATAACTTACATCTGGGGTGAAAAGATACACCAGTCCGTCTGTAGCTCCAGGAAGGGTGAGAGCCCTCACCAGGAAGATGGTCAGTACCAGGTATGGAAAGGTAGCTGTTACGTACACGGCCTGTACACCCAAACAGACGGGTCAATCCACCTTAATCACCAGGTGTCACCAGAAGATCCACTTTATCTTCATTAGTTTATGAGATGAGTGTTTGAAAACTGGGTGTGGCCTGAATTTTCACCTTAAAATCAGCACTAGACAAAATCTTTGATAAGTCAAAATTTCATAATTCTAGAAGGGAGATGCTTGAGGTTTTCAGGGGTTGTTATTTGGTTTAAGGTATGTTTGACTGTCAAACGTAAGACGCCACAGTGCACGTTCACCGTTTTATGGCTTGCTGAAGTTGAAAAGGAGAAAGTAAATATTTTTGAGTGTTAGAGCAAATTAGTTCCTCTATTGGTTTATATCTCCACACTGAAGAACAGCAGATCTTTCAAACTGTGATATTTATATTCATGTGATTATTTATTTATTTATTTATTTATTTATTTATTTATGTGTGTATTCTGACCTTTCCGATGGTCTCTATGCCCCTGATGAAGCAGATGTAGACGATACTCCAGGCCGTGGCCAGGCAGAGCACCAGCCACCACTGCAGTGAGCCGTTATTCTCGATATTTGGGGTGATGTTGAGAGTCTTCCTGTACCAGAAATAATTCACCGGAGTTCCCTGAGCACATTCCTCCACATAACCTGTCAATTCAACACATATCCTTATGTATTCGTTATTCTTATAATTATATGTCATTCTATAATCAATGCCTAAAACACATTCCAAAAAAGTTGTGGTAGGAGCAGTTTAAGACTAGGAACACTGAAATGTCCAGTAAACATTATAAAAGAGGTGATGCAGCAGCATCTATGAAAGGCCAAGTGAGGATGGGTCAGGGCCACTTTACCTTTAAAACAATGTTCCTCAACAAGCAACTGCAAGAATTTTGTGTGGAGGTGTTTCAACCTCTGTAGTTCATAATATCATCAAAGGATTCAGGGAATCCAGAGAAATATCTGTGTGTAAAGGACAAGATCAAAAACCACGAACCGAATGCCCCCCCAGACGGCACCGCATTAAAAATCGGAAATACTTTGACAATAAACACTGTTCATCGCTGCATCCACAAATGCAGGTTAAGACTGTACTCTGCATATTGAAAGTCATAAATCAACAACATCCAGAAACACTGCCGACTTCTCTGGGCTCAAGCTCATCTGATATGGGCTGATGCTCAGTGGAAATGTGTACTGAGTCAAACTTCTAGGTTGTTTATGGAAATAATGGATGTTGTGTTCTCCATGTCAAAGAAGAAAAGGACCCTCCAGACTGTTATGAGCGTAAAGTTAAGAAAATGGATCAGTTTGTGTTTTCAGTCCCCAAATGATTATTAAGAGCTGTTAATAAGGAAAGGTGATGTAACACAGAGGTAAACATGCTCCTGTCCAATCTTGTTTTGAATTGTATTCCAGGCATCAGATTTAGAATAAGTGGATATTTACCAAAAAAACTAAGCTGATAAGATAAACTTTACTACAGGTCAAGCAGAATTTACTGATCACCGCTTTCTGTTCTTTATTCACGCTTGTTTAAAACCGAAGTATGTATGAATGTGTTTATGTACTTGTTTGGCTTTCGTCGAGGGGACATTGGCTCCACGGCAGTGGATCCTGGAAGGAGTTGAAGAAATACCAGAGAACCCAGGCCAGGATGGTGTTGTAGAACAGACCCACCAGGAAGGAGACGGCCATGGAGGCCATACCTGTTACACACAGGTACAGCGTTACAGCTGTGAACAGTTACACTGCAAAAAACAGCACTTTGTGAAGTGAAATGATCTGAAATGATCTGAAATCCAGTTGATAAGCCTAATATTTCCCATTTTGAGGTGGTTGTACACTTATTATAAGATTATCTAGCTTATTTCATGACACTTTCACTTGTTTTAAGTAATTTTATTAAGTAAAAATATCTTACTGGCAGATAATTTTGCTGAATTTAAGAAATTTTACTTAAATTTTTTAACCTCTTCAACTTATTGAGACCACCGGTGGTTCCAAAACACACTTCGTCATATTCTTCATAACTTTCATATTTCATAAGCTACATTCTAAAGGTGGGCGTCGTATGAGAGCTGTAACTGTCTTCTTTCCAGTCAATTAGATGGGTGATGTAATTTTAAACCCTTATAATAAAAGAAGCTGAACTCAATTTCTTTTTCTACTGAAATTCGACCCATTTTTCCACAAATCTGGGCTATAAACTATAAACAGATGGCGTCTCTTCAGTGATCTGCTCTGCAAAAATTACTTTTATCAAAAAACACAAAAAGCGTATCAGGGGAGCTTTTTCAATAAATAAATAAAAATTTACATTAATTTAATGCAGTTACTGAATAATTTGCCTTACGATTTGGTCATGTAAATTCAGATGGACAAACCAAAATATACCCTGGTCAATAAGAGGTTAAAACAAGTAAAAAATGGATAGAAATAAAGTAAATAATCTTAAATTAAGCTTGAAACAATCTGAACAGAAGAAATATTAGATTTAATGACTAGAAGATAATTTTACTTGGCACCATTTTTTTGCAGTGTAAATACACAGAACACTGTAAAATCACAGTCCATTACTGAGTACGAGGTGCAGTTCTTTCACAGTGAACAGTAAGATAACAGCTGCACACTGTAACTGTACACTCACTGATGTAGCTGCATTCTTACAGTAATAAGCTGTAATTTGTATTTTCACAACTGTAAAAGTAAAACCACTCATACATTTAACCACTAATAAAAACTGTTTCAAAAGACAGAAAACTTTTAAACACGAAAACCCAAATTGTCACAATAACAACACTAAATATTTTTCACCTCAGTTTCTGCCATGTCCCATAATGCTGTGTGTTACAGCTCAGGGTCAACAATAATTTGATGTATAGATTTTATTTCTTTAAAAAAGGTATAAAATGCTGATTTTACTGAAAACAATACTTTATTATGGCAAAATTCGCATTAAATATTGTGCAGCACTGAACCTTTCTGTGGATGGTTGTTTAGAGAACCATTTTTGTAAATGTACACTTAAAGTTACAGTTTAAAGAACCCATATAGTACCTGATATGTAATTCTTACATTCTGTGAAGGTTCTTTACACCTAAAAAAAGGTTCTCCAGTCCGTGGTAAGTGCTGTTATTGAGAAGCTGTTAAAGCTAAGCCTTTGTTTTGGCCATAACTGTTAAAACCTGGTCATTTTTTGTCGGTTCTAGATTAAACTCGGACAGCTGAAGGTTGTAAAGACTCTCTGCACTTCAGTAAATCTCTAGTTTGTTTTGCAGTCAGGTTAGGTGTTCATTATGTGCTGTGTTGTAAGAATGTAATAAGACTCTTATACCTCTTCCTCTGCACCTTTAACCTATTTCTGTAACTTGTTTGAAAGTAATATGACGTCTCGTAATGAGAAATATTAGATGTGCCTGTTGGATTAAGATGTTTCACTTCTCAGAGATCATTTTTTCAGTGCAGCAGCTCCAGTGGAAACTGCCTTTGTCTTTAATTGGTTTTCGTTTGTTTTGTCAGATGTTCCGAGATGATACTGATATGACACGGATATGATGTTTTATGGAGATTGGCCTGTTTTACGGGCGTGCGATTGGTCAGGTGATGTCACTGATCTCCTGCAGTCCGTCTCTTTAATCAGATCACACTTGATCTTTCTCTGATATGAGAGAAACGTAATCAGATTTTATGGATTTAGCGACAGGCGCTACACCCAGAAATAAAGATGTGGAGCGTGATTAAACTGTGGGAGGTTAAAGTGATAGTTCAGCATAAAATCCCCATAAAAACAGCAGCAGCAGCAGCAGCAGCTAACAAAGCCTCCGTTTCATAGATACTCATTATTTCTATATGAATATAGTCTTAATTTTACAGATAACTGTGTCATACAGTGACTCACACATGCAGTTAGTAACACGCTGTAGTCGCTAATGCTAATAAGCTTCTGTAACTTGTTAGCTACGCTCGCCTCATAGCTCCAGTCTAAAACTGCATTCGAAATGACTTAGAAACTCAGCTTTAGGCAAGTATGTGATGATTTATGGAGGCAGTTAGCACCATGCTAACTGGTTTATAAAAGCTTCTGTTATTTGTTAGCTGCGTTAGCTTCGTAGCTTCAGTGTAAAGAACACATTGGTGGGACCATGGAGTGGATTACTGTGTAAATTAGTGACTAGACTGTGATTAAACTGTTATTAGACTGTAATTAGACTGTGAACAGACTGTGATTAGATTGCGATTAGATTGTGATTAAACTGTAACTAGACTGTGATTAGATTGTGCTTAAACTGTGATAAGACTGTGATTAAAGTGTGGATAGACTGTGAGTAAATAGTGACTGAACTGTGATCAAACTGTAATTAGACTGTGATGAAACTGTAATCATGGTTAGACTGTGATTAAACTGTGATTAGACTGTGATAAAACTGTAATCATGGTTAGACTGTGATTAAACTGTGATGGGACTGTGATTAATCTGTGATTAGACTGTGATTAGACTGTTTTTACTGACCGACTCCCCCCAGGTAAGGTGAGATGGAGTTCCACACGCCGATGCTGCCCTTTCTGAGACTCTGTCCGATGGCCAGTTCCAGATACAGCAGCGGCAGACCCTCAAACACCAGCGCCACCAGGTACGGGATCAGAAACGCCCCTGGAACACAGACGCAGAAACTCTTACACTGAGGATATAGAACACCACTGACCGTTCTCATACCTCTTTAAAGCAGAACTCCACTGATTCTTCAAAACGTTCTGCATCATTACGTGGTTACGATGTGAACAGAGGGGTTCAGAGTGGTTTGGTGTGAAACACTCTGTTCTAGATAAACGTACCGAGTCAGAACTGTTCACAGTGGTGGTGATAGGAACCAGACGTCCACCTCTAAAAGCTCCCTCACAGAAAGTTCCTACAGTAAATGGTTATGAATTCACTGCCTGATGACTGAGACACTGTTTTATGATAGTTTAGAGAACTTAAACTCCATTCATGGTGGTACCAGAGTACCAAACACACAGTCTAACACTGAAATGCCTCACAGGTTCTAGATATTCAGTGAGTAAGTGTGGGGTAAAAATTCCAAAGTACTAGATATTTACCTCGGTTAACACAATATAATAAATGCAGAGTAAAATAACTATGTAAATAATAATAATTATATAACTAAATAAATAATTATGTATTAAGGTGGTAAATATAAACAAACTAAACTGTTGAAATTAAAGCTAAATTTCACTGTTTTGTCTCGTTTAATTAGAAAAATAAATAAATAAACTTCTCCAATCAGCTGGTAAGTTATATAAGATTTTTTGTGAAGTATGAGGTAGAACCAATAGAACCACAGTAAGACTGACTGCTTTGTTTTACAGCCCAGGATCAGTTTAGTTTATAGCTAATAAACAGATACTGACTGTATGCGACTCTTTATTCATCTACATGTCTTTATACACCGAACAACCCACACAGCGCTGTTTACATTTACATTTAGTTTATATCTAGAACCTTTTTGCAATGCAGGGTTAATGCAGTGTTATCTATGACTGCTTTACCATTATATTACCCAAAACAGCTAGTTTTGCAGCTCACAGTAACCTGGTTATTACCTAGAACGCAAGGCACTAAAACTGAGCTTTACTCCTCACATTTTACAGCCATTAGAACGACGTGCTAATTTTCCTCTCAGGTTCTTCTTGCTAAACGTAAAGAACGCTGGGTTATTATTCTCGCACTGTTGCCTTCTGAATTAAATGGTTCTTTTTCCTCTCTCTTAAAGTAAAGGTGCTGCAAAGGGTTCTTCACATGATCACCCTGCAGAACAATGTTTGACCAAGAGATATGTGAGTGTGAAGAACCTTTCAAAAGTTTGGAGAACCTCTGCACAGTGCAAAGGTTCTAAACCAATTCAAGGGTTCCTCGTAGATGCTTTGCATTATGTTTTGGGAGCTTGAACCGACACTCTTCAACTAAATGTGCACAATGCTGTACAAGAACCACAGTTGGTTCCCTAAAAAACATGGTTCTTTAGGGAACTGAAAGCAGTTCGTCTGTGTCATCACTGAAGGAACCAGTTCTTGTTTTGAAGTGATGTTTGTTTATTTATTAGGCCTTACGTTCCCCAGGCGAGGCATTCAGCAGTGACGTTCAGTGTGGAGTCGGTAAAGCAGCTCTGCGCGGATGTTTCTGTTCATCTTCCGCAGGTTTAGTGTTCTCCTCTGAACTCTCACTGGAGCTCAGTTTAAACTCTATTGGGCTAAAACTGGTTTAAACTCTGTGTTCTTATTTATTGGACCCTCTCCAGCCGTGTGCCCTCTCATACCACATCCCTGCTCTCTGTAGGTAACGGTTATGGGGTGGCTAAATGTGTTATTACATTGTGCCTAGATTGTGATTAGACTGTGATTAGATTGTGATTTAACTGTGATTTTACTGTGATTAGATTGTGACCAGACTGTGACTAGATTGTGACCAGACTGTGACTAGATTGTGATTAAACTGTAATCATACGGTGATTAGACTCTGACAAGACTGTGATTGGACTGAGAATTGACTGTGATTAGATTGTGATTAGGCTGGAATTAGACTGTGATTGGACTGAGAATCGACTGTGATTTTATTGTGACCAGACTGTGATTGGATTGTGATTGGATTGTGATTAAACTGTAATTATACAGTAATTAGACTCTGACAAGACTGTGATTGGACTGAGAATCAACTGTGATTAGATTGTGTTTAGACTGGAATTAGACTGTATAAACTGTGATTAGACTCTGATTTAATTGTGATTACATTGTGACTAGATTGTGATTTGACTGTGACTAGATTTATTGGACTATGCCTAGATTAGACTGTGGTTAGATTATGACTTGACTATGTTAAACTGTGACTAGACTGATTAAACTGTGACTGGACTGTAATTAGACTGTGATTAGATCATAATTAAACTGTGATTAGATTGAATACACTGTTACTAGACTGATTAGACCGTGATTGGACTATGGTTACGGTTTAACTGTGTTTATCAGAACCGCTCTAGTGACTGGATCACACTGAGAGTTTTCTCTGAACTGGATTCACTACAGTACCTCTAAAACTCAATGGAGTCACTCCACACTGTAAACGTCTGATCTCCACTCAGCCTGACAGCTTTATTTAACGTCGGTTCTTTAGTTTCTGGTCAATTTAGTTTTATTTTATTTCACTATTTTATCACGACTGTTTCGTTATTCCTGATTTCTTTTCGCCTGTTAACTTAATTGGCTCGTTTACTTATTTTTCATTTGTTTTTATTACATGTTTTATTGCTAAACAGGATATTGGTTAATGAGGCCTGTGTAGTGCCACAGAAGGATCCGTGGTTGTGTACAATGCCAGGCTTGTAACAATAGAAGAACCCTTTTTGGTGCCAAACAGAACCATTTTCAAAAAAGGGTTCTATTCAGAACCATATACAGCACATTCTCCATCAATCTGAAGAACCTGCACCATGCAAAGAATCATTAAGCATGCAAATTGTTCTTTGAGTGTTTATAGTTCTTTATAGAACCAATTGGTCCTCGTTCTCCAACCCTTCTTAAGAAGAAATTTCTTCTTTAACCCACTTACGCAGTTTAGACGAAGACTCTGACTCACCAGTGTTCTCTATGTGGGGTTTGTTCTTAGGTGAGAACAGAATCTACACACACTCAAGAGCACAAAGGGGAGAACAGTTCTGCGCTTTAAGAACACGTCATGAATCTGACGTAGACCTTCCTCAAGAACACACTTAGAAACAAACGTAGGGAGATACTGGAGAATGAGGCCCAGTTTGTTTACTAAAGAACCCTTTAAGAACCATCTTTTTTGAGAGTGTAGTTCAGTCTGAGATTGTAGAAATGTTCAGTTTACAGGAGAAGATTAAAACGTTCTTTAGTTTACATTAATGTAATTCTACTGTAACTCTATTGGTCCATTCCAGGGCAAAAATATGCAAATTTATAAAGAAAACACGCCAATTTGCTTTAAAACTCTAAAAAACACTTTTTGATGACCCCTGCACATTTACACAAGTGCACTCCCATAAATAAAGGGTTCTTTGGAGTGATGCCCTAGAGGAACCACTGAAGAACCTTCCGGTTTAGTGTTTTCCATTGAGTTTTCTGAAGATTCATCCTTTTAAAGGTTCTTCAGTGGTGCTTTCACTCTAAAGAACCCCTTTTTGGCACTTTTTAAGACCAAAGCTGTGAGTTCGCTCTATTTCTTAAACGAGAACATCCAGTTTTGGGGTTTCTCCTCCAGAAGGTTCCTCACCTCCTCCGTAGATTTGGCACAGGTAGGGAAATCTCCACACGTTCCCCAAACCCACTGCGAATCCAATACAGGTCAGCAGGTACTGGATCTTATTGTCCCATTTTGGGCGTTCCTCAGTTTCAGACGCCGTATCTCCAGCTTCTCTCTCGGCCATGGTCACCTACAGTCCAGATCTTCTGCAGGAGAGCTTTTCTTCTGTGATGCTGCAGCTCTTCTGCCAAACTCACCCAAATCAGTGCGTCCTTTTATAGGTTTTGATGGACGTACCCAGCGTAAAGGTGTGGTTGTTTTCAGTCAGGAGTGTGTTTACGGGCAGTGGAGATGGCTGGTGGTGACCACTCGTTTAATGGATAACCTCCTGGCCTCAAATCGCCAGCAAAAATAAACCTCTATAAAATAAAAACACGACACTGCGGAGGCAAAGGTCACGGCTGTAATATTTTTATAATCCACATTATGTTTTTATGTGGACTTTTTATATGCGCCGTTACATCACTTCCATTCAGATCCGCTCTCGTAAAAGAGGGACGACCAAAAAAATCCCAGTCCATCTCTTATTTTCAGTGCTGGGCGGAGAATAAACAGACGTGGAGTTGTTTAGGGAGAGTGTTGATGAGCTGAAGTGTTAAATGAGTTATTTACATGACGACTCCTCTGTAAATCACAGCGGTGTGTGAGTGTTTGATCAGGCAGGTGAATGAGTTTTACAGGCACACATAAACGCTCCTGTTCTCACTCTGGTTCCAGCCTGAAGACGTGTTTTTCACTAAATACGTCAACATAAAATCTGTTTAGTCGATGAAATTCGGGGCAGAGAAGTATCACAGCTGGATTTACCCATTTATACAGGCTTCAACGGCTGCTGAAGGAAAACACAGCAGAAAATGATGTGGAAACAACTGAGAACATCTTAAATGTATCTAATATATCTAATACCTATCGTTCTGAGACGGGGGTTGGAATATTACAAGATTATTGAACGTATTTCCAGATGGTTTTTACTTGTTTGAAGCTGTTTTAACAATAAACTGTCAAACCAGTACGGATGAAGACTGCATGAATAAATAGCAGCTGTACAGCTGTGTGCTGTGTCGGCTCATCAGTCTGAACCTGACTTGGTTCCATCAGTCTGAATGAGGAGTAAAGCTGTACTGGATCCTCAGATAGAGTTCAGTTTACCAAAAGGGGTCACATTAACAATTAATTACACTGCAAAAATGATGTCTTGTCAAGTTAAATTATCTCAAATATAGTCATGAAATCTAGTATTTCTCCTGTAAATAAGCTTATTTTAGATGATTTACTTTATTTCTAAATTCTTTATTTGTTCAGTAAAATGATCTCACTGTGTTGGCAGATAATTGTGCTTGTTTAAAGAAATGAGCTTATCTGCCAGCATAGTGAGAGAATTTGACTTAAATTACTTAAAACAAGCAAAACTGTCTAAAATAAGATAGATAATCTAAGAATAAGTGAAGAACCAACTCAAGATGGGAAATATTAGTTATATCAGCTAGATTGAAGATCATTTCACTTGACAAGGTGCAAATTTTTTTGCAGTGGAGGAATTCCACCAATTTTCACTGAATTTCAGCATAATTTACTGGTTAAGATGTAATCAGAGTGGTTCAGAGGGGTTCAGAGTGGTTCAGAGTGGTTCAGAGAGGTTCAGAGAGGTTCAGAGGGGTTCAGAGCGGTTCAGAGAGGTTCAGAGCGGTTCAGAGGGGTTCAGAGGGGTTCAGAGGGGTTCAGAGAGGTTCAGAGGGGTTCAGAGAGGTTCAGAGCGGTTCAGAGGGGTTCAGAGAGGTTCAGAGAGGGTTCAGAGGGGTTCAGAGCGGTTCAGAGAGGTTCAGAGCGGTTCAGAGGGGTTCAGAGGGGTTCAGAGGGGTTCAGAGAGGTTCAGAGGGGTTCAGAGAGGTTCAGAGGGGTTCAGAGAGGTTCAGAGAGGTTTGGTGTGAAACGCTCTGTTCTAGAGAAACTTACAGAGTCAGATCTGTTCACAGTGGTGGTGATAGGAACCAGACGTCCACCTCTAAAAGCTCCCTCACAGAAAGAAAGAAAACTTTCTGTTGTCTAAGATGACAACAGAGATGAAGTGATGAAACAGGGCCTCCACTTCACTTCCATCATCTCCGCTGTTGGTTAGTGAGTAAAGGGGAGATGAAGAGTCTGTTGGGACGTCAGTGATTGAATCAGTGGGTGTGGTTAATGTGGTTTATGATTTTATGGCCAAACCTTGATAAATCAGTGAACAGTGTGTGTTAAAGAGGCTTTGGCTTCAACAGAACAGCGGCAGGTAAATGATCTAGTGATTCAGAGAACCTGCAGAAGATCGGTTACCATGTTTACATGCATATCATTAACACTGCTGGTGTAACTTGGGTATGCAAAAAAATAAAATAATAATAATAATAATAATAATAATAATAATAATGCAGTCAATTAAAACCTACATTCTGTAAATCATGGATATTATATTGTAGCTAAACAAAAACAACAAAACAAGAACTCAAAAATAACTTTACAGGAGAAAAAAAACTTTCTTTATTGTCAATTTAAGTTACGTAAAAGAGATTTTATTTGATTTTGATTGAGCTCGAATTATGCAGAAAACTAAAAATCACAAAAATACAGATACGTTTTTTTTGGACAGCAATGAAATCTATATAAAAAACTCAGGGGTCCCGAAACTAAAAAAAAAAAAATTAACAGTAAAAGTATGTTTTCTCAGTGATGTTAAAACATTAAAATTAAAATTACAGTCATTTAGAAAAGCTGCCTATTACTGTGGTTCACCACTTTCTCTAGTTTAACTACTTTCTCTAACATACAGTATTTTACCATCTTAATAACAATAACAACCATTAAAATAAACAGAAGTGTCTGTGAAATAAAGGTGAATTTACATTCTATATCTGTAGATGTTAAAATACAGTATATGTGTCGTTTATTTACATTTACTGTGATTGTTATTTAAAAAGCTATTGACCATTACATTTACAGTAATTTGGCAGTATCTTTTACAGTGTAGTTAAACATTTCTACTACAAAAAACATACATTTTCAGAAAAGACCAACCAGAAGTCAGAAACCTACAGAAGGTACTTTTAATTGAGTAAAGAGACTGATCTCTGTAGAACCGTAGAACAGTTCAGAGAGAACTGTGTGTGGTGAAGGGAAGAGCCTGCAGGAGGAACCTGAGTGGTGGAGATAAGATCACTGTTAGATTGTGGTGACTGGCCTCTTAAAGAGTCTCTACAGCCAGCAGCTTGTTTGGATACTACAGTAAGACACTCCCTGTAGAACCGTGGAACAGGAACGTTCTCAGGGCTCACTGAGCCGGTCTTTGGAAACTGCTGCTTCAGCAGATCCTGATTCAGAAAGTAAATGGTTGAAGTGTTTGAATGAATGAAACGCAGACACTGGGATTTATTTGAACTGTGTATATTTTACATTTATGTAGATGTTTTACAACATGGGTGTAAAACACCCCTCACTGTGGCCTGCTTACAAATCCAGAGGTTTAAAGATGGTTCATAATGCTAATGCTAACATAAAAGTGCATAATAATAATAATAATAATAATAATAATAATACATTTTATTTGTATAGCACTTTCCTATGAGAAATGCAGCTAAAAGTGCTTCACATGAAAGTAAACATAACAACAAAGATAGAAATTAAGGTAGAAAACAAAATTAATAATGCAGTGTAATAAAACGAAGTTAAGAGTAAAATATGTAAAACATTAAATGCATTTAGAAAGTCACAAAATGCATAAACCTGATCAAACACAGCATTTTAAAGAAATAAGTGGAAAAGCAGAGTTGCAAAAAGAATTTAAGGCGTGTATTTAAAAGCTTTTAAAAGCTACAGTGGAGAGATACGTTTTTAGCTTTCTTTTAAAAGTATTTAGCACCAGGCTTCCCTGATATCAGTAGGAGGTGTGTTCAATGGCTTTGGAGTGTAAGAGTGTAAGATCATCGCAGGGCTCTTAAAGGGACATAGTCAACCAGGGAGTCGGTGATATAGCTGAGTCCGTTAAGGGCTTCATCTATAAGGAGGAGGAGTCAGTTCTAAACGTTAAAATGTGTGACTGTACGGTTCTAAATCAGGAGAACTGTTGGAGGTTGATGTCTAGTAGAGCAGCAACACAGAGAGAGTCGCTGTTAAAGTCCAGAACGTACAGTTTATCAGGCTGCTGTCTGCCTGACTAACCTGATTATTTTGATGATGTGTTTACGTTTCAGCTGTGTGTGTATGGTCGGTTGCTAGGCAACAGACAGGACAGTTGATTGTCGCCTTCGATCGAGCAAGATTTCCTAACTGGAGATAAGACGCTGTAAGATTCCTGAATTAAGATCAGATTTGCTTCTGCAATACGAATTTGTGAAATATCTCCTGTCGGATCTGAACTTCCGACTAAAGGAGAGGAAGTTTCTGTGATACGGATTCAGCAAAGCAAGGGCAGAGAAACAAAACACTGAGCAAACATCCAGGGGTACCTGGGGCTAATGAGAGAGGGCGGGGCTACAGACTACACACAGGTGAGACAGATGACGAGCAGTCAGAACGGAGGAGGAGACACAGACCAAAACAACAACAAAAGCACATGGCAAGACTCACGAGGGAAGGTAAACAAAAGGCAGACGAGGGCAGGGCGGGGCAGGATGTTACGGCTTTAATGTGGCGAGACTACAGAGTTCCCCTAGCTAACGCTAGCTCAGGAGCTGGAATGCTAGTGTGACTGTGTGCTAACTGGAGGAGAGCAAGTAGTTTTTCACACTGAATAAAAAAGGACATTTTCCTGGCTCTGCATGATTCTGAGTGACTGTAGACATTTCTGAGTGATGGATATGTCACTGTCCTAATAACTGTGTTATTATGCTAATTTAGCCTCCCTAATTCACAGTTATGAATACTGAACATGTGATGTTGCAGGTTGTGAAGAATCTGAGAGCAGTTATTACAGATAAGCTGCATTATAAATACAAGGCACATAATGGACGTCAGCTCTGTCTTTGTGGTGCTGATGGGAGAGATAACTAGTCAGGTACAGTACTGTGCAAATGTCCGAGACCTCCCATTAATTAATTAATTAATAAAATAATACATAACTGGTCAGGTACATCCATCATCTATCATCTAAACCGCTTATCCTTCCGGGTCGCGGTGGGGTGCTGGAGCCTATCCCAGCTGTCATCGGGCGGAAGGCAGGATACACCCTGGACAGGTCGCCAGTCCATCGCAGGGCAGACAGACAGACATACACAATCACACACACACATTCACACCTAGGGGCAATTTAGCATGTCCAATTGGCCTGACTGCATGTTTTTGGACTGTGGGAGGAAACCGGACTACCCGGAGGAAACCCACGCAGACACGGGGAGAACAGGCAAACTCCACACAGAAACGACCCTGGTCACCCGGCCGGGAATCAAACCCAGGCACTTCTTGCTGTGAGGCGACAGCGCTACCCACTGCACCACCGTGCCGCCCTTGGTCAGGTACAGTACTGTGCAAATGCCCGAGACCACCCTTTCATTTATTGAGTTTCTGGTTAAAACAGACATTAAGTACAAGTCATTCATTTTTCAGTGTCAGAAAAAAAGAAACGTTGAAGTCAAAAGTTCACAGCCACATTCATTTAAACTCCGTTTTTCAGTTCCCGATGTTGAATCCCAGTACACGTTCCCTCTCTTAGGTCAGTTAGGATCACTACTGTATTTTAAGGGAGTGAAATGTCAGAATATTATGAGAGACACTGATTTATTTTTTTCATCACATTCCCAGTGGCTCAGAAGTTTACGTCCACATAGTATTTAGTAGCATTGGCTTTAAATTGTTACACGGCTTGTTGGGACTATATGAGCCTCCAAACGGTGCAGCAGTTACATTCTGGCTCCTCAGGCGTCAGAATTGCTGCACCATTTAAGGTGAAACGGGAAATTTAGCTAACTAGCCACAGAGACATTAGCATAGTAGTAGTAGTAGCATAGTGATTTTTTAATGCTTGTTATGAAGAAAAGGACCATAATACAGTGAAACAACATTAAACTAAGATAATACGGTGATTATTTTAATTTGTTAACAGAGAAAATTTTCTTTGGTCTCTTGTTCAGCCATCTTGCCGTTTTTCATTTTTTTCATAGCTCTGTTTGGAGTGTCTCTGAAAAACCTCCGTTTGGAGGGTCATGTAGCCCAAACAAGCAATGTAACAATTTGAAGGCAATGCTACTAAATTACTAAACTAACCATGTGGATGTAAACTTCTGAGCCACTGTGAATGTGATGAAAAAAATAAATCAGTGTCTCTCATAATATTCTGGCATTTTACTTTCTTAAAATTCAGTAGTGATCCTAACTGACCTAGAGCGGGAATGTGTACTGGGATTCAACATCGGGAACTGAAAAACTGAGTTTAAATGAATGTGGCTGAGGTCTCTGTAAACTTATGACTTCAGCTTCATATCACTGAAGAATTAGGGGTGGGTGATAATAAATAACTGCCCCCCTCTTTGAAGATCATATGATGCCCTAAACGTAACTAAAGCCCAGCAGTGAGGAGCTGAACTTTACCCTCCTCTGCTGTCACTGCAGACTGGCAGGGTCGCCTACAGAGCAGCGCTGGTAGCTGTTAATGAAGTGATGCTCTTTTTATCTGAGGGTCCCATTTCAGAGGGAAGATCTCAACCACTGCCCTGTAACTCAGTTCTAAGGGGCGACACTCGAAAACAAGGGGTAGGGGTCAAAATAAGAAATGGGACTGGGCCCTTGACTAACCCATGTAACCCCTATAGTCTGGCTTTATTCTCCAAGCCCCGCCCTAATTAAGGCTGAAACATACCAATACAGAGTACAGGGGTAACAATACACCACTTGCTTACCATCAACCAGTGATATATGCAAATGCAATGTCAGCAATATTTACATGGCCATTTCTCATTTGTATACCAGTAAGTCCATTCACATTCACATTTAGCTTTAGCTTTAAAGTATTTATTTTCTCTCAGCAGATTTTACTCCAGCGCTGCTCCCCCTCTACAGGAGGAGATGTCACCCAGCTCCTGTAAGAGGACCGAGGCCCTGTGCCACCATTTCCATGGAATCAAAGTGAGTGTACACATTTATTAATCTTTTGCAGTGTCTCTCTTCTATGAGGCGTAACGTCTTACACAGTCTTAGTGATGTGTCCTGGCCACTGACATCATCACCTTCCCCAACTCCATTAAAAGTGTTGTTATTGTGTTTAAATGCTGTGTGTTTATTGTATCAGCTGTACCAGGATTGTTTGATATGAAGAAACCTGCATTTCTCTGTTTAATCCAGCTCAGAAATCCAGTCCAAACACTTCCTGAATCTGCAGAGTCGCCCTTTCCATTCCATCTTATCACGAGATCATACGAGACTCGCATCCGGAGTTATGAGCCTATGAAGAGGGGCTGAGATACACGTCATCTGCCTCTCACTGTGTGGAACTGGTGGATTGGTGTGTCCTGTGGCTGGATCAGATGCATCAGTGTTAGGTAAGTGGGATCAGCATTTTAGATGCAGGTTGGAACTAAACTCTGCAGGAAAGTAGATCTCCAGGACGAGGGTTGGTGACCGCTGCGTTAACTATACATTGAAACCTTAACTGACAGGCATGTACACCACATAGAACCTTCACAGAATAAAAAAGAATACAAAATCAAATGTAAGAAATGATCATTGATGGTAGAACAGTGGTCACTAACCCTACTCCTTCAGCTCCAGCCCTAATCTAACACACCTAATCCAGCTAATCCAGGGAAATGATGATCTGGACCAGATGTGTTCAGTCAGGTCTTTTCAGGAAGGTAGATCTCCAGGAACAGGGTTCACGACCTCTGCTGTAAAACATCTTTTCAAGCACATTTCTCACTTTCCATTAAAAACATTAATCATTATGTGTGTACTTCATAAAGACTATGCCTGACCCGTAGTGCAGCATCCAAAGGTCATAAAAGAGTTACATGTGTTGCAACATGTGCCAGCCTTAATTTAGCAAAGTTCAAAATACTTTTATTGCCAGCTGAACTTCTGGGGGGTGATTGCTTCCAGTACAGCATTGGACCACAATTCCGTGTTGGCAGCAAGATAGAAATCTTATCTCCGTGAGAGAACATTACTCCACAATAAAAGATAACAAGATTAGGATGGAATATAGACTTTGAGATATGGTTATGCCTTTAGCTTAGGTAGTTCCAACTGCCTTTATGTTGTACATTAAAGAATAGTGCTACATTTATAAAACCCAACCAAAATTAATCACACTTTACAAAATTTCAACATATATGACTATTTTAGATTAGCTACAGTTAGGATGCTGGATAAACTGCAAGCTTAGTACTATGTCTGTCTGCAAACTATTTATGGGATATAAAGAACTATTAAAGACTGTTAAGTAGTTTCAAGAATTTCTTTAATTGCTCTCAAAATTATAATAAATAAATAAAAAACATACAAGACTTAAAATTTTGTTGATAAAATATATTTAAAAAAATTCTCTTAATATTATTTAAACACAGTTTTAGAACTTTATAACTTATGAAGTGTATAAAATCGCCTGGGTTTCGTCCAGGCTTTGGCACTGGCAGTCATGTTTAGTGCTCAGGCACGTTTAGAAACTTATATTGCATGTGAGACTTAATGTTTCACATTAATTCAGTTCCTTGGACCTTTAGAGACACACAGTGTTTCACATGTCAAACAGCTTCTTAGCAGAATGACATATGCAAATCAAATGGAATGGAAGTTAATGGAACCAGAAGTAGATTTTGAAGCCTGTCTATTGGTCTGTTCATCATGACATTCTACCATGATGCACAGGGTAAAAGGAGTTTGCAACTTATGAAAAAAAATTAAAACCAATAAAAATAGAGATACAAGGTTTTGAAGGACAGTATATGATTATTAATCTGATGTTGCTACACTCATGGGCACTTTGTCTGATATAGTGCTGAGTCTCTCTTCCGTGTAATGTCTGTCCTTCTTACAGCAGCGCTTCCATATGAACATAAAGAGGGCCACTCCAGGAATAGCGAGGCAGGGAATTCCAGCCAGGATGAATATGATCCCGCTGATCCAGTCAGGGTAAGTCACCTGAGCTAGCGTTGGGAAAACAGGCTGTAATTGGAGAAACAGAACAGGATTATTAGAACAAAATCAGGTCCACATTCATTTAGTCCCCCTAGAGATGATCTACAGATGCCCCCTAGAGATGATCTACAGATACCCTCCTAGAGATGATCTACAGATGCCCCCCTAGAGATGATCTATAGATGCCCCCTAGAGATGATCTACAGATGCCCCCTAGAGATGATCTACAGATGACCCCCTAGAGATGATCTACAGATGCCCCCTAGAGATGATCTACAGATGCCCCCCTAGAGATTATCTACAGATGCCCTCCTAGAGATGATCTACAGATGCCCCCTAGAGATGATCTACAGATGCCCCCTAGAGATAATCTACAGATGCCCCCTAGAGATGATCTACAGATGCCCCCTAGAGATGATCTACAGATACCCTCCTAGAGATGATCTACAGATGCGCCCTAGAGATGATCTACAGATGCCCCCTAGAGATGATCTACAGATGCCCCCTAGAGATGATCTACAGATGCCCCCTAGAGATGATCTACAGATGCCCCTAGAGATGATCTACAGATGCCCCTAGAGATGATCTACAGATGCCCCCTAGAGATGATCTACAGATGCCCCTAGAGATGATCTACAGATGCCCCCTAGAGATGATCTACAGATGCCCCCTAGAGATGATCTACAGATGCCCCCTAGAGATTATCCACAGATGCTCAAACTATTAACTATTAGCTATATGGGTAAACTTAACAGGGTTAGATTTAGCGTTAGGACAAGAACCTAAGTTTAGGTTTGGGTTGAGGTTAAAGTTCCATGGCTACCTACATCGGGCATAGGGATGCATTACTGTTTATGCTCATTTGATGTATTGACATAAGGGTTCTTGAACTAAAGTGATATTTGTCCTATTTCTAACACTGTTATTAAGCATCGTTACCAAATAATGGGACTCATCATCTTGCAGTTACTGGCATTAGCTATTAAAAATTTTCAAGTATTGCTTTATAAATATGTTTTTAATTCTCATGCATGTGTTTTGATGTCTCTATGTGGGTCATAAACATAAAGTGTTACCAAAGTTGTTCTATTGGAGGTAGTGATAGTGGACTGTCCAAATAAAGTGTTACTGAAATAAGCTTACAAAGTGTTTTATAGTCTATTCATACTGGGATGAATGCCATCAGTGGCATATCTAGGATCTTATGGGCCCCTCAAAAAATTAATGGGCACTCCCTTTACCTTCAATGAATAAAAAAATGATGTAATGATTGAAAGTAATGATGTAATTTTGCTTGTTTATTACTTGCTAATGCCTCAAATTAGTTGATGCTCTTGAGGCATGCCACACCACCCACTAGCATCTAACACTCTCTTAAATATTTGCTGTCTATTTGAATGGCGATAATTATATAACTGTCTGACACGCCTACTGGGCACATAAAAAGGTTACATACAGTAGACTCTGAAAACCCTTGTTATGAATATACAATATTGCAAGTTATGAGGGATCTGAAAGTGGTTATCATGGATGAACTGCATTATGAATAAAATTAAATAAATAGACATCACCCCTGCCTGCCCACTATATTCCAGCTTCTGATCTGCAGACCCTTAGGGGCACGAAGGCTAAGTATGTTTTTATTTATCTTTAAGCTGTGATAAAAAAAAAGGAATACCGATTCAGGGTCCCAGACGATGTATGTTAGCTTTTTGCTAACAGTGGTGATGAAGTAGAACACCAGGATGACCAGCAGGATGAGAGGACTTAGGACTCTCCATGTGGCCTGCCAGAAGATGTTGGGCTTGTGGCCGACCATAAACTTAAGGTCCTCATTAAACCTACCAGGTGAAAAATCATGGAGTTAAGAATATCATCAGAAATGTCCTTCCTATCCAGTTAAGGCAACAACAAGACTTTGCATAGTCTTGCATCTACCATATCAATTTTTACCATATTCAGGTTTACCTATAATCATTTCAAAGTCACTAAATGAGGTGTTGACTGGACACCTACCTGTCAATGCCGTAGACATAAACCACAGCGATTATCTCGCAGAAAGCTATTACAAGCAGTGGAATAGAAGCCGCAAACCCATCAAAGAGAGCAAGCCAGTAGTTTCCAGAGCACTGAACAAATATAAGCGCTATGAGGCAGGAGACCAGGCACGTCAGACCTACGAATATAGACAGAGCAGATTAGTCACGTTGAGGAAGTCAGCCACTTCCACCAATCCACATTAGTCCACAGGAGTCAGGGTTTATTTTGTTAGTTCTGTCTAATGTAAATGTGTGGATCAAACATGCCAACTCAAGTCAGCGACTTGGACTCAAGATGCACTAGAGCCACATGTTGACCGACTTGCAAGTTAAACTGTGCCCATAACTTATTCATGACTCAACTCAAGACTCTGCCCTGAGAAAAAAGCATGAGTACAAGACTCGACTCAGACTTGCATCTCAAAGACTTTCAAACTCTCAAACTACCATCTCAGAGACCTGATTTGGACTAGCATCTCAGAGACCCTAGACTTTACTCTTACTCACTTCTCAGAGGCTTGAGACTTGACTCAGGCTCACACTTCAGAGTCTTGAGACTCCACTCTGACTCACATTCCAGAGACTTGTAACAACTGAGACTTGCACTTACATCGAGACTTGAGATTTGACTCAACCAGCGGAGACTCTACTTGAACTCACACTTCAGAGACTTGAGACTTGCCTCATATTCACACCCCAAAGACTTGAGACTTGTTCTTGCAACCAGAGACTTAACTTGCACTCGTATTCTAGAGACTCAAGACTCAACTTGCACTAACACTTCCCAGGAGTTGACTTGGACTAGCACACACCACTTGAGATTCAGACTCACATCTCAGAGACTCAAGAATGACTCAGACCTCAGAGACTTAAGACCTGACTTAGACTCTACCCTAGAGACTTGAGAATTGATCCAGACTCATAACCCAAAGGCTTGAGACTCAACTCCCATGAAGCAACTTCTGAACTTGTAAAATCTCTGGTGATAATTACTTCTAGCACATACCTGTGAACACTTCTTTAGGCCAAGTCTTGGGCAGAATGTTGAGGTCCTGCAGAGGCACCACGCACCCTTCGATATTGCCAAACATGGTGGAGAGTCCCAGACAGAAGAGCATGATGAAGAAGAGCACAGACCAGAGAGGAGAGATGGGCATCTTCGTGATGGCTTCTGTGAACACGATGAAGGCCAGGCCAGTACCCTCCACTCCCTGCAGTTCAAACAAGCAAAGGTATTTTTGTGAGCACAATAGTGAGCACAATGTCTTATGTAGTGTTATAGATATTTTGACAAGCTCATTTATTATCTGACTCCTATAGATGTAAAATGAAATGAATGCTTTTTAAGATGTCTGGTCTAAGGCATTGACAGTACCTCACTGAGAAAAGTCTTCATGTCACAAGTTGGCAGGTTGAGCCCCTGAATGATTTCTGGACTGGTGCTGTTGAGAGTCTTAAAGACTTCATCATAGGTACTTTCAGTGATGTTTCCCTCTGGAAGGTCAAATGTATTCAAGAGGGCCATGATGTTTCTGTTTACAAAGACAAAAAAGGCCATGAGATACTTTTGATAAGAATAGCAGGGTGAGGAATGGAAATTGGAGACAAGTTACTCATGTAAAGTTTGAAAACCAACCCTGCCACACACTCGTCGTATTTCTCTGTGGCTCGGAAGCCAATGATGGAGTAGATGACCGTAGCTGAGTAGACGGATGTCAGGCCATTTATGATTGAGATTATGACTGAGTCCTTTTCACAGTGGTTGCTGGTGAAACAATGAATGTTTGAAAGTATCAAATATCTGTCTGCAATTAAAATTAAAATTAGAAAAAAGGTTTATTTTGGTTCACTTACTGCACTGGGTTATAGCTGGAGAAGGAGATGAGGCCCCCAAAAGCTAATGAGAAGGAGAACAACACCTGGGCACCTGCATCCAGCCAAGTGGTTGGGTTAATCAGTTCATCCACCTTAAAAGACAACCAGGAACTGTATGTCACCTTCCAAGAATACTATCCTCCATAAGAGAAAGATAATGAGTGCAAAGTGTTTTAGCAGGATGTAGCTTATTAAAAGTGATCTTACATCTGGAGTGAAGAGGAAAATAATCCCATTCACAGAGCCTTTGAGAGTCAGCCCTCTGATCAGGAAGATTGTGAGAACCACATAGGGAAGAGTGGATGTTATGTACACAGCCTGGAATGAAGAGGATATGGTCAGATAGGCCTACATTACCCAGTATGCAATTGGCGTGTAACAGGATAGAAATGAGTTTTGATTTACATTGAAGCCATCTATTAGGATCTGCTAACATACCATAATATTAGTTGCCAATATAGCAAACATTTACTAGCAAATAGTTTAATATTAATGTGGGTACTGTCTCGTTGTTCCAAGAACTGGGTCTTTCAAACCACATTCAAACTAAGACTATGTTATCATTACAACCATCACTGCTCAGTTCTGAATTTTTGGAACATTCTATCTGATGTTTACATTTGTGTAGGTAAGTGATTGGCGGTCATTGATTGGCCAGAAGTTAGTCACTGATTGGCCAGAAGTTAGTCACTGATTGGCCAGAAGTATGCCCCTGATCAGTCAGAAAGCTGTGCCTGATTGGTTAGAAGGCTGTCCCTCATCAGTCAGAAGCTGTCCCTGATCAGTCAGAAGCTGTCCCTCATCAGTCAGAAGCTGTCCCTGATCAGTCAGAAGCTGTCCCTCATCAGTCAGAAGGCTGTGCCTTATTTGCCAGAAGTCTGCCCTGATTGGTCAGAAGGCTGTCCCTGATCAGTCAGAAGCATGTTCCTTATTGGTCAGAAGGCTATTTCTGTTTGGTCAGAAGGCTGTCTCTGATCAGTCAGAAGGCCATCCTTGATTGGTCAGAGGACTGTCCTCGATTGGTCAGAAGGCTGTCTCTGATCAGTCAGAAGTATGTCCCTTATTGGTCAGAAGGCTATTCCTGATTGGTCAGAAGTATGTCCTTTATTGGTCAGAAGGCTGTCCCTGATTGATCAGAAGTATGTCCCTGACTGGTCAGAAGTTTGGCCCTGATTGGTCAGAAGGCTTTATCTGGTCTGTTTACAATCCAAAATTCCAAACTTGACCTGCCCCAGGTTAGGTGTGCAGCATAAGTTGTCATTGTGAAGTATCCTGGTAAAAAGTGACCCATAGTTGTGAGACAGACAATCCAGGGGTAGGTCAAGCTGAGCCCAAAGAAAGCTGAACAGACCCCTGGTCGGGCCAGGTACAGTGTTGCAGTAATGCCTGATGATTTTAAGCTTCAGTACATCTTAGTATTGAGCCGGATTTGTGTGTTTGAGAGCTTATTGTCTTACCTTGCCGGTGGTTTCAATTCCACGGATGCAGCAGACCCAGAGAAGTACCCAAGCTGCGATCAGACACAACACCATCCACCACTGCAACCCGCCTGAATCCTCGATTTTTGTTGAGATGTTTAGAGTCTCTCTGTACCAGAAGTAGTCCACTGGAGAGCTGCGGGCGCACTCTGACACAAAACCTGTAGGGGGAGACACTTGAGCTGCTTATCTTTTAATGTCAGCCTGTCATTTGTGAAGTGTTTTGATAGTGCAATTTGACTTAGACCACTTTTTTGTAATAGTGACTGATTGCAGGAGCTTTGTTACCTGTCCTGTTGTCATCTATGGGACATTGACTCCAGGGCAGAGGGTCTTGGAAGGAGTTGAACAAGTACCACATGACCCAGGCCATGATGGTGTTGTAGTACATGCCCACCACGAACGAGCACAGCATGGATGCTACACCTGAGAATCCAGATTGCGGTCTTTACGTTAGCACTTATGTACATATTGCAGCCAGATATGCTAACACCTCAAACTAGAGACACACAGTTGTTTCTAGCCTATGTGTACATATTCTCCCTGTTTCTCAATGGAATTTTGAGAAGTCTTGCTTTAGTTTTTGAACATTTTTAGTTATCCTAGTTGAATTGTTTGGATTAGCAAGTAACCTATGATATGACTGGACTTTGTCCACTCATCCGAGAGGCTTCGTCAGTTCAAATGTAATTTACTCTGTTTTAGTATTCTGGCCTTGTTTCTTTGATCAGTAGGTAAAAATATGGATTCTAGAACCTGTTTATAGTAACTGCATCTGAATACAGCATGCGCTTGCAGTGTACACCGATCAGGCATAACATTATGACCACCTCCTTGTTTCTACGTCCATTTTATCAGCTCCACTTACTATATAGGTGCACTTTGTAGTTCTACAGTTACAGACTGTAGTCCATCTGTTTCTCTGATACTTTGTTAGCCCCCTTTTACCCTGTTCTTCAGTGGTCAGGACCCCCATGGACCCTCACAGAGCAGGTACTATTTGGGTGGTGGATCATTCTCAGCACTGCAGTAACGCAGATGTGGTGGTGGTGTGTTAGTGTGTGTTGTGCTGGTCTGAGTGGATCAGACACATCAGTGCTGAATTAAAACTGTCTCTCCTGCAGCTTTGAAAGCTTTTAAAATGTGTTTAAATTGGTCTCACCAACTCCAGTCAAGTAGGGGCTGATGGACCTCCAGACCCCGATGCTTCCCTTCTTCAGCCTCTGTCCCACTGCGAACTCCAGGTGCAGCAAAGGAATCCCCTCCAGAACCAGCAGCAGCAAGAACGGAATCATGAACGCTCCTTGGAATAGCACGATAAGAGTCAGGAATTACGACTGAATTTTCAGATTACTGCTTATTCAAGACTGTACTGGGGTTTTAGCACATTCCACCGTCAACTTCAGAAAATTAATATTATGGCACTTTGACATTTTTAAAAAATGCAAAAACATTAATTAAATTGTTGACTGAGGATTTTCTATCAAGCAAACATTTGAGATTGAGTGTCACATCAGTTTAGCAAAAAAGTTGGCACAGTAGGTGAAATGTAAGTGAAAACAGACACCAGTGATCCGCAAATCCTTTTTGCCTGTGTTCAATTGAAAACAGTACAAAGACAAGATGTTTAATGTTTCAACAACTTTATAATTTTTTGAATACATTTACTTATTGTAAATTTGATGCCTGCAACATTTTCCAAAACAGTTGTGACAGGAGCACATTTACCACTGTGTTCAGTAAGTTTCCTGTTCCTGATTGATAAGCAGTTCTCCTGCTCAACAGTTCGGGCTCCAATATTATACATTAAACTTGATAACACGCCAGAGGATTTCGGTGGGCGACAGGTCTGGACTGCAGACAGGCCAGTTTATCACCTGCACTCATTTACTATGAAGCCACACTCATAATACATGCAGGAGGTGGCATGGCGTTGTCTTCCTGAAGCAATCACAGATGTCATCTATTTCTGAGCCTCAACCTGTCCTCACTCTTAAAGGACTTGGCCTTCCTTGGATGCTCCTTTTAGCTATAAATCCAATTCCAAAAATGTTGGGATAGTAGATAAAATGTAAGTAATGTAAGCATGAATACATCACCTGCTTACGATGGCTTTTGGAACATTTCACAGTGTTTCTAGTCTTATAATGCAACCTTTTTGGCAACAGTTTCAGAATAAGCACATGTTCACAAAAAGATAAGAATAAAACATTAAATAGTGGATTCAAAGTGGATTTATCAATTACTGCACTGCAAAAAATGAAGGTAGTCAATATTTCTAATAGTTCTCATGTTGATTTTGGGGTAAACTTATAAGACCATTTAACTTATTTCTACACAAGTCATCACTTGTTTTAAGTCGTTTTAGATAAATTTATTTCACTATACTGGGAGACAATTTTACTTATTTTAAGAAATGTGCTTTCAATAGGTAAAATGATCTGCCAGTTTAGTGAGACAGATTTATTTAGAATGTTCCTCAACACTCTTAAAGTGAGAAATATTAGACATTACAGCGAGATTGAAGATTTCACTTGATAAGATACCATTTTTTGCAATGTGTCTCCTGTTTTATTCACATTTTTCCTACTGTCCCATATTTTTTTGAGACTTGAGTTTGTATTAAAGTGTTTATTTTAATAGAGCTGCATTATATGATCCTTTCTTTTTTCATTTTTTTGTAATCTTTGTGGCATTTTCTGTATGATTAACTGAATTTAGTGGGGACACGTTGAGTAACGTTTATAATTTAACTCGTCAGGTTGCAGCTCATACACTAAAAAGTCTCGGTCACTTTGAAGCACAGCTATCATCATCTCTTGGACATGTTTTATCAGCACTTTTGGATTTATTACATGTAAAATTTGCTTAGTGTGCTGTAGCAAGAACTACATGTCCTGCAGGTCCATAAAGCAGCATTAATTACTTCCTCTGGGTTCATATCAGAACAATAAAGGACAACATTTAAACTAGACGCTGGAAGAAGACGTTTTAAAACACAGGTGAATGAGGAGGGATGTGGTGGGAGGTGTGGAGGGGAATCACATTTCTGTACCGATGAAATGATTCTGCTTTTAGAGAATTTGTTCAAAGCAATGTGATTCTATATTTCTGAGAAACTGACCCCACTGACCCTGTGTTGGTGAAGTGAATCGTCCTCAATAAGAGCAGCTGGGGCTCCTTTGATAGATTTTTGCTGGTTTTCTTGTTGTTTTTTTTTGTCATTTTCTTTCAATTTAAACAGAAATGCCATTTTATTTATGTGCATATAGTTACTTATAAATATGATATAATTAGTTCCAGAGGTGTTTATAATAGAACTGTAAGAGCCCATAATCTAACAAGAAAATGTTCAGCCAATGAACTTCTATTGCTATTATTAATATGATTACTGTTATAAGTAAAAATAGTACAGTAATATGCAGGTGAGAGAGCATTATATATAGTAATATGAAGGTTAAAAAATAGGTAGACATAAGGTCTAAAGGGTGAATACAGTAATACAAAGGTGAATAGTTAGGTAAAGTGAAGGTTTAAAGGGTTAATCTTGAGGAAAGTGCCGCTCTTTAGCAGTCCTACCTCCTCCGTGGCTCTGACAGAGGTAGGGGAACCTCCAGACGTTCCCAAGTCCCACACAGAAGCCCACACAGGTCAACATGTACTGGGCTTTGTTGTCCCACTGTGGCCGGTCTCCAGCCTGGACCTCCTCCATCTTCTCCAGCTCAGCGTGGGAGTGGATGCGCTCCTCCAGGCCGGGGTTCGGCAGCTTCAGCTTCATCCTGGCGTGTCCTCGCTGTGAGACGGTGCAGAGACTGGAGGGATGTGCCGCTGTGCGTCTGTACAGTGTGTGTGGTAACCGTGTGGGGGCCTCAGGCTCTGGGCTCTTCATTAATAGTGACCTTCAGCACCTGGACCACGTTATCAGCCAATCCATCTGACTGAGCAAGATATTCTGTCGACTCAACAAGAACAAAACGTGCATCATGCTTTACTGCGGTTAATGCGTAATAGCGCTGCACGCCTGGATTATTTCCAGCAGTCCAAGAATTCAGGTGCAGTGACTTCATGATAATTCTGTCTTTATTTTAAAAAGGACTAAATATATACATAAAGGTAAAGGGTAGACACACTACATCACTAAATACTGAAAATCCGCTATTATGTTTAGTTGTTGAGTTATTTTGCAAAATATAAATACTTTTTTGTATGAAAACTGAATAACTTGTACTTACTGACTATTTTGCATGTCTACATGTCTATATATATATTTATATGTATATCGCTGCTGTCAGAAAAAACCCTCGTATCTCCATTTTTCAGGGTTTTTTTTTTTTGGTCATTTTTCAGTTTTCCTTTACATTATGTGTAAATTTGATTATGAATGGACTAAAAGAAACAGACCAAAATGATTTGGAAAAAACTCTGGCTCCATTGACTTACATTAAAAGTAAAGTATGTTTTTTCCTTCTATAAAGTTACCATTTTGGAGATATGAGGTTTTGCAGTAGCCGAAATCTGCCTGAGAGTCATCTAAACATAAGCTTCAATGGATGAGATATATCAGTGTACAGTAGGGTGCAAAAGTGTGAGAATATTTTTTCACTTAAACCAGAAAATGAGCAAAATTTTATAATTTTGAAAAAATTATAAGTAAAATGATGAAGAAATGTTCAAGATTCTGCTCTGTTTCTAGGTCACTATTCAAGTTTAAAAAAGTTAAGGCCTTTGAACAAAAACATCAGATCAGAAGAGATGTGGAGCTTGTGTTCAGGCAAATTTCATCAGAAGCTTTTGCACAAACTTGTGGAGTCCAATATATGTGTCCACTCTACCTTTGTTCCAGCTTCCATTCTTTTCAGGAGACTCACTTTCAGTTCCTCAAAGAATCTGCAGACACACCTCCAAAGTTCAGTCTTAGAAGTTGGCTCAGCTTTTTTTGCTTCTCACCATCCAAGTGACCCCAATTACACTGTAAAAGTGAAATTTTCAACCAAAATTTCCATTTCTGGACTGACTGCATCAGATTTGCCTCCAGAATTTGGTGATATTCAGTGGAATCCACAAAAGCATAACAGCATAACAGCATAACATACCCATGCTTAACAGTTGGCACAGTGTTTCTTTCATCAAATGCTGCACCTTTTATCCTCCAAACAAACCTTTGGTGATTGTGGCCAAAAGGTTCTATTTTTACTCCATCAGTCCGCAGCACTTGTTTCCAAAATGTCTCTGGCTGATCCAGATGCTGTTTTGCATAATTCAGCATTGACTTCTGTGATGAGGTCACAGGTAAGGTTTTGTCCTGATGACCCTTCCATGCAGACAATGTTTGTGCACAGTAAAGCAGTGCATCACAACTCCTGTATCAGCTAAACATTCCTGCATACCCTTTGCTGTCAGATGGGGGTTTTGCTTTGCATTTTTTATAGCTTAATAGCTTTAACTGACATTTCTTAATGACATTTCAGACAGTGGAAACTGTGAGCTGGAAGTGCTTTCATATCTTTTTATGTTCTTCTCCTGCTTTGTTGGCCACAATTAGCTTCATTTTCAGATCCTCAGCCAGCTGCACTGAGGAACACATGGTTATTGAGTGTTATCAGATTTAAAGAATTTATCACACTTTGTAATTCTTATCAGCTGACTTTTTATAATGACAATTCTTGACCTGCCTAACCTGTCCTAATGAGTCACTTAAGGCCTAACAAGTTCATTAAGCTCTGAGACTTTACTGATAGGGTTTACAAACTTTTACAGATGATACAGCTACTAGTCCATTTTTCTGTTTTTTAAGTTAATTAAATATAATGTGAACAGAGACCGTGGGGTTCCTCAAGGGTCAGTATTGGGACCCTTGTTGTTTTAAATATAGGTTATTTATCTTTATTGGCTGCAAAGAATAGATTTGTTGTCTTGTTTACTGATGATGCCAATGTCTGATAAAGGCATTCATGGATGAATTTCATCTAAAAACTCTGAATTATCTAATACTTGATAGCTGGTTCAAAACTCATAAATTATCCCCTCAACATTAAAAAAGTTCAAATATCTGTTTCGATACAACTTTCAGTTTTGTCACAAGACTCCACAAGATCTAATAACCTCCATACAGTTTTCTTTCTCATCGAGGGCTTTTATTTTGAAAATGCCTTCATCCTCATCTAAGAACTCTAACAGTCTCATCAGCTTCAAAAACTCATTTATGTTCACTCTAACAAATCCAAATGTGCAACATATAACATCGTATTTGCATTTTATAATTTTTCTTGTTAATTATTATTTTATTTAAGTAATTATTATTATTTCTTTTAGGGACGTCCTTTCTGAGCTTTTTAGCTTTTGCTGCACATTCTCTTTTTCCTCCAAAGTTTAGTTGCTAGTTTTATTTTCATATTGTGAGAAAATAGTATTTGCACATCATATTAGCAAAAACAAACAACAGTATTATAAAAGTTCATTTGGTCACAAAGTCAAATGTCAAAAGCTCTTTATTGTCTCCATAATTAGCAATAATTAACATAACAATAATTAGTTAATAAATAAACATATCTGTCATAAATCATAAGTTAAAATGTTAATAAGTTGTGATGGAATAAGTGACACTATGTCGGAGGGATGTTTAGTGAGGGGGTAGTGGGGGGTGGGAGAGCTATTAAGGAGTCTTATTGCTTGAGGTATAAAACTGCCAGTCTGGAGGTCTTTGATCTGCAGGATCTGAACCAGACGGTACTAAGAGTGGTGGACAGGGTGTGATGGGTTTTTGAGGATGCAGAGAGAGCGTTTCAGGCAGTGGAGGTCGAGATGGTGTTGATATCTGGCAACATAACTCCATTGATTTTTCCCACAGTGTTGATTTCCCGCTGGATGGCTGTCTGCTCTGCCTTTGTGCAGCTGAAAAACCACACTGACCCACACTATGTCAGTGCGCTCCCAACGGCACAACAACAAGCGTTTATCAGCAGCTTCTGTGGCAGGTTTTCCTTCTTTAGGTTCCTCAGAAAAAAGAGTTGGGCTTTCCCAATTATAGAGGCTGTGCTGGTATCTGAGGACGGTTCCTCCGTCACTGACAGGCCCAAGAACCTGAAGTTAGTGACTCGTTCCACTTCCTCACCGCTGATGTAGAGTGGGGGATGGTTGCGCCGACCTGATTTCCTAAAGTCCACAATCATCTCCTTAGTTTTCCTGATGTTCAGGCTTAAATTATGGTCATGACACCAAACTGAAAGACTTTGTTCTTCCCTTCTATATGCAGACTCATCGTTGTTTGTGCTGAGGTCAAGTGCCGTGGTATCATCTGCCAATTTAATGATGTAACATGACGGGTAGGAGGGGGAACGGTCGTGTAGAATGTGTACAGCAGTGGACTGAGCACACATCCCTGTGGGGCACCAGTGCTGCTGATGGTTAGTGTTGATGATTGGTGCTTACCAAATCTGACTGACCATTTACGGTTTGTTAAGAAGTCCAGTTGCACAGTGATTTGTGGAAGTTTAAGTCCAGTAGTTCTGTGATAAGCTTGCCTGGCAGGATAGTACACTGTTAGAAATAAAATTCTGTGTGTTAAAAATAAAATTCTGTGCAGGAACACTTTTCATTCATCAAGGTGTAATGTAAATGTTCCCTCGAAAGTACAACAGTTCCAAAAGATCCAACTGTGAACATCAAGTAAGTTTTTTCCAGGTGAAAAGCATGTATTTGTACTTTTTCATAACTTTAAAATATAACAAAGAAGTAAAAAGCCTGGAGGCGAGACGGGGTGTGTGGAGTCAATTGGGGAAGTCGTGGGCTGGAGGTTAGGGAACGATCCTTGTGACCGGTTCGATCCCCTGACCCGACAGGACATGACTGAAGTGCCCTTGAGCAAGGCACCTAACCCCCAACTGCTCCCTGGGCACCATGGATAGGGCTGCCCACCGCTTCGGGCAAGTGTGCTCACTGCCCCCTAGTGTGTGTGCAGTCTCTAGTGTGTAAGTGGGTGTTTCACTTCACGGATGGGTTAAAATGTGGAGGTGAAATTTCCCCATTGTGGAATTAATAGGGGTAAGAAAAAGAAGAAAGAAAACAGCTTAAAAAATATAATTTCAATGGATTATGGTACAACTATGTTCCCAGACTAAAGGTACTGAGATGAACCTTTGAAGGTCCCACCCCAGTGACAAGAGGGGAACTGCCCCAGTGACAATTTAGTACCTTTATTTCTGAGAGTGTACGGAATGCAGAACTGAAATTGATACAGAGTGGACAGACAGAAGTGTTTTTCAGCTCCAGATGTTCCTGATGTATTTCGTGACCAGTATCTCCAGGCATTTGGCAGGTATGTTAAGGGGGTGAGAGGCACCAGCCTGTAGTCTTTTACGTGACTGCTGACTGTTTGGGTACTGGAATTATTGTGGATGTTTTGAAACATTAAGGGGCACATGATCGAGGTAGAGAGTGGTTGAAGATGTTTGTGAGGACCTCTGTTAACTGGTCCACACAGTCTTTTAAGACACGTCCATCACCCCATCTGGGCCAGCAGCTTTCCTGGGGTTGACGCTCTGCAGGCAGTGTCTTACCACGTGGCTCAGTGTATCTGCAGCATCATTGGAGGGAATGGGCTGCAACAGCTGGTTCCTGTTATTTCTGTCAAACCAGAAATAAAACAGGTTCAGATCCTCGTTAAAAGTGACACTGTTGTCTGTTGGGGGGGTGTTGTCCTCTCATAGTCAGTGATTGCCCTTATTCCTTATTCCGTGCCAATGTAGCTGCACTGTATGCTGCAGCATCTCCAGATCTATAGGCAGCATTCTGAGCTTTTATTAGTGCACATACTTCCACTGTCATCCAGGGCTTCTGGTTGGGAAACACTCCTCCTGGTAACATTGTCCACATAGTAGTTTATGTAATCCATGACTGTGGTGCCCTTCTAGGATTGACCGAGATTGCATGACCATCAGATATATTCCAGTCTGTGGTATCGAAGCAGCCTTGGAGCTGAGAAACAGCATCCTCAGGCCAGACTCTGATGGTTTTAGTTATGGGCTGCACCCATAACCAACAGTGAGAGGTGGTCGGACAGTCCTAGGTGGGAGTTGGACTGTGCTTTGTAGACCTTAGCAACATTATTGTACACCTGATCCAGTGCCTTACTGCCTCGTGTTGCACAGATCACATTATGATGGAAATTGAGCATCACAGTCTTGAGATTAGCATGGTTAAAGTCTCCTGCAGCAACAAAAACACAGCCTGGATGTGCAGCCAATCTCTTATTGATGATTTTATGCAGCTGTGCTAATGATAACTTAGCGTTAGCCTCAGGGGAGATGTACACAGCACGGATGTAAACAACGCTGAGTTCCCTCAGAAAATGGGCAAGATGGCAGCGTGCACGTACGCAGCGGCTTTAAGCTCTCCTGAACTTGTTTTTTGGTAATCTTGTGTGTTTTCATGCTAAAACGCCTCATACAGGCACAGCAGTACAGTCATGCTGAACTCCTTGATGTAATCAGAGGAATACACCAGTTGCTGGAGGAGATTTTTATCCCGCTGAGACTGCTAAAGCAGCTGGGCTGACCTCAACACTGGAGTCAGGTGGGAGGCAGCGAAGGAGACACTGAGAGTGGAAGCAAAAATGAGGCACGAGGCTAAAAGCTAATCCATCTAAACCTTCGCTTCCCTTAATGTGCTTCGCTAATGTCCGCTCAATCCGGAATGGTTGAAATCGGACTGCGCCTCATAACTCAGAGGACGCTGATTAATTGCTGGACAGCGCTGTACCCGGCGCTGCAATTGACCTGGCAGGCTGCACCGCCTACTGAGCCGACAGAACAGTGGACTCCAGTAAAAAGATCGGTACAGTAACAACTGCTGGTGCACAAACGCAACCATCACTAAAAACAAGCTATGTTGCCCTGATCTGGAATACTTACTAGAATAGTTACTCAAATGCTGCAGACTCCAGTACAGTCCTAATTAAAGGAATATTACAAATACAAATGTGAACTCCTGGGAAAAATTACAAATAATTTGCACTGTATGCAATTTATTTTTATTTTTATTTTTTTAAATATTCATTTTTTACATTACACAAACATGAAGAGAAAAAAGCAGCTACATTCTCAATCTGCTGTATAGACACAAAAGCTCACTGACAGTCAGTGATTTTTTGTTTTAATATTGTGATAAATATTTCTAAACTCTTTATTTTCACACTTTTGGAGTTTGATTGCTGTACATCTTTACATTTGACATGAAAAAAATTTTTTAATCATTTGAAAACTATGAGAGTAGCTGGGTCGTCTACAGCATGCAAAAAAAATTCAAGCAAAACTTAAATTTAATTCTTGCAACCATGCAAAATTTCACAGCTGTGCTCCAATTTGTTTTGTCATTATGAACAGGGGTGTAGCAACAGGATGGTCAGCGGTGGCCAGTGAGACAGCCATCATCATTAAAGCAGTGATCAGAGAAATGTTCTTCTACCCACTCTATGTGCCACCAAACGTGCCATCAGGGCAGTTACTGGTAAGTTATAAGAGCCAGATGGTGATGATGATGATGGTGAGCAGTAATCAGCTTGTTGCTGCACTGATCTTCTGAGTTCAGCGACAGGCCACTGAACGATAGCTCTCGGAAAAGGTTAACATTGCCTCCAAATATTTGGCTCATCAAAGACTAGATTTAATGGCAACAAGTTATAATAACCAAACTGAACTGACAAAGCAACTTAATCATTATCTAACAGTTTGTTAATGAAGGTTAAATATGACCACATTTTTACTTGTGCATTAAATGGTGCGATTAACCACTTTTATGTAGTGACACACATAGTTAAAGCATTGTAAATGCTTTTCATGAATGTATTGTATTTTAAAATAATAAGTTACACATGTTTATAACTACATTATAAAGTCTTATTTTTACAGTAGAGGCGAAATTAAAGATTAATGCTGTTTAAGAAGTAAACATTAACCACTTGATAATGATTAACTAAGCATTAAGGAAAAGTTTCTGCTTCAAAAAGTAGCAAAATAGCAATAACTAGAAGTAGTTATTCATAATGACTATGAATAGTTTTATGCTTTTTTAAATTGCATGATTTATGAATTGAGTATCAAATAACTAAAGCATTTTTAATAAACTACAATTAAAAAAAATAGTTTATTTATTTGTGACTGTTTAAATGGTTAATAATTCAAATTAATTAATGCAAATTGTCACTGTCCAAAGAAAAACAGGCATCTCCAAAATAGTAACTCTACAGGAGAGAACAAAAACATCTTAACATCTTAACTTTTAATGCAACTCAACGCAGCTTGATTTTATTCCAAGTAATTTTGCTGCATTTCTGTTGGTCCAGTTATCATGAAATGTGTACACCATGTAAAAGTCCTCTAACATTCCTGACATGACTTCTCTCTGAGTGGACAGTGAGGCTGGGCAGCCTGCTGTGTTCTACTCAGTGGTGATCTGTCGTTCTCTTAGCTCGACTGTCTGTATCTGAGCTGAAACTGAGCTGATTTCCAGCCTGTGTGATTCTTCCCTCTTACAGCAGTGCTTCTTTATCAGTCTGCATGAAGCTATTACAGGAATGAACAGAGCAGGAACTCCAGACAGGATGAAGATGATGAAGTAGATCCACTGTGGGTAGAACAGAGTCTCCAACGTGGGGAAATTATCCTGGAAAAACAGCAGAAACATGAGAGAGCAATCTGACTGTAATACACAACTAGGTTTAGAGTTAAATTTAATAGATTAGGCCCAGGGAGCATAGGACTCTGGGAACATAGGGTCTTAGGAACATAGGACTCTGGCAATGTAGGACCTTGGGAACATAGGGTCTTGGAAACAGGACTCTGGGAACATAGGACCTTAGAAACAAAGGCCCTAGGGAGCATAGAACTCTGGGAACATAGGATTTTGGGAATGTAGGGCATTGGGAACATAGGCACCAGTGAACAAAGGACGATGGGAACATAGGGTCTTGGGAACATAGGACTGTTGAAACATAGGACTGTGGGAACATAGGGCTGTGGGAACATAGGACTGTGGGAACATAGGACTGTTGAAACATAGGACTGTGGGAACATAGGGCTGTGGGAACATAGGGCTGTGGGAACATAGGACTGTGGAAACATAGGACTGTGGGAACATAGGGTCTTGGGAACATAGGGTCTTGGGAACATAGGGCTGTGGGAACATAGGGCTGTGGGAACATAGGGCTGTGGGAACATAGGACTGTGGGAACATAGGGCTGTGGAAACATAGGACTGTGGGAACATAGGGTCTTGGGAACATAGGGCTGTGGGAACATAGGGCTGTGGAAACATAGGACTGTGGAAACATAGGACTGTGGGAACATAGGGCTGTGGGAACATAGGCCCCAGGGAATATAGAACTCTAGGAACATAGGATTCTGGGAATATCAGATCCTGGTTACATAGGATTCTGGAAACAAAGGGCTCTCAGAACGTGGGGTCCTGGGAATATCAGACCCTGGTAACATGGGATTCTGGAAAAATAGGATTCTGGAAACAAAGGACTTTGGGAACATGGGGTCCTGGAAATATCTTGGAACAGAGGATTCTGGGAACATAGGACCCAGGGAACAAAGGAGCCTGGAAACATAGTATTTTAGGAACATACGACCCTGGAAACATAGACTTTTCTAGGGATGCAGGATTCTGGGAACAAAGGAATGGCCCCTATCAAACTAGCTGGTAAAGTGCAGCCGTAGTGTTCGGGGTTAGTTTTGGATTTCAGGCTGATGTTTGAGTTGGGGTAAAACGTATTACGTTCATCTTGATCTTGTTCTGTTCCATTCAATAGATATTACTGTATTTCCTATTTTAGGCCAAACCATGAGCCCAAAGGTTGAACTTACAGACGCAGGGTTCCAGGCGATGTAGGTGAGCTCTTTGGTAGCCGTGGAGACGAGGTAGAAGAGGAAGATAATAAGAACAATGAGCGGACTGATAACTCTCCATGTGGCCTGCCAGAAGAAGTTGGGCTTGTGTCCGATCATGAACTCGATGTCTTTATTGAACCTGGAACAGAGTCAAACCAAAGCAACTTAATGACGGCAGTTCAGGGTTCAGTCAAGCAGCTAAGGCATGTTGGTGTTGCACTGCAGCTACGAAGCTAATATAGCTTACAAGTAATGGAGGCCTGTAGCTGCTAGCTTAGCATGGTGCTAACTGTATCATCGCACAGTGATGGACTAAAGTATGTTAGCATAGCTAATAATAGTAGAAGCAAATCTAAGGCTGAATTTAGCCTGTTTTTTTCTTTTAGAAAATCATTTTTATGAATTTGGTAGAGGGTAAAATGATTCATGCCTCTTTGCTAGCTAATGTTGAGCAGTGTGCTAATGGCTAATGTTGAGCATGATGTCAGGAGGGCTCTGTGCCAGTTCAGATTTTCAGCTCCATCCCATTCAGATGAAGCAAAACATGCACTAAGCCACTAAGTGTTTGCCATTTGGTTCAGATTTGTAGTTTATTTGGTTTAATTAGCATCACAAGGTGGTAAAAGATCAGACATATTACGTCTAATTTAATAAAATCATAATCTATAACCAGTGCAAAGTACAGCCACCTCATTGTCTCAAGGAGGCCCCTGGACAGATTTTATTCGGCCCCTGTCTTCTGTTTTAGAATGTGTTATTAGTTGCCCTCCAGCCAGTTCACTGCAGTTCCTCCTCTCACCTGATGGGGGCAGCAGTGCTGTAAGATTACAGTGTAACCCTGCACTGCGGTAACGAAGTTTAAGAGCCTTTCTTCTCTGACTGACCTGCAGCTTCATTTACTGACCACATTTAGTCCAGACTGAGCCGTAAAAATATTCAGGAGAGAAACTAAAGCAGCTGCAGCTCCGAGTCTCACAGCACCGACTTCACATCAGAGCAGATTCAGCAGATCAGGACATATTAACCCTTTAAGGAGGAGCAATAACGGCTGATTTATGATTATTTGATACGTAAAGAAAATCATCTAATGAAACTGGAAAATTTGTAGATTTATTTAGTTTTTCTCAAATTCTATTTTGAACAAGTAAATTAAAGTACATTAGTCACATTTTGTTAATACTAAACCAATCAATAGTTAAGTGCTTATCAATCAAAAAATAAGCCCTGTGCATCTTTTACACAGCGATAGGAAACATGGAAGCACTGATGCTGAGATTACTGAGATTTTAGTTTGTTTCGTACATTCTTAAAAAATCAAAATGGGTGAAAACCTAATATCTGAATTGGGAAGCAAATTGACTGAAACACACCTTTTAGTCTCCAGTTAGTGATGACCAAGTCTGCATTTTGGAATACAGATCATGTCTTGAAGTACTGAATTAGTGACTGAAATAATAAAATCAAATAAAGCAATAGACACTGTCTAGAACCTATAGGAATCAAACGCTACTAATGCAGTGATACGAAGTGATACGCTCAGTAATGTAGGTTTATCAAAGTGTCATAATTGAATAACTGATTTTCACATAACAGATCACACACATGTACAAGTCATAATGAATAAAGATTAACAAACATTGAATAAACCGTGTTGAAGTGTCGGATTCAGGCTTTACTGAGCAAAGAACCTTAATGAACCTCAACATGTGCCCCTTAAAATACAGTGATGCTGATCCCAGTCTCACCTGTCTATTCCGTAGACATAAGACACAGCCATCATCTCACAGAAGGCGATGATGAGTAAAGGGATGGATCCAGCGAAGCCGTCGAACAGAGCCAGCCAGTACTCACCAGAGCGCTGGGTGAAGATCAGAGCGATGGCAAAGGAGGCCAGACAGACGATTCCTGGAATTCAGAGACCCTCCTGACCAACTAGCTCACTCAGTTCAAACAAATACTTCAATCAAAAACGCTAACAATGAAGGAAAGCCATCGCAGCATTAGCTCCTGATTGGCCTCCATTCATTCCTTAGCAATGTCTGTGTATTTGTTTACATATATCTGGAGATTACATAGAACCGGGTTGTGCTTCTTTTGTTCTTCTGTACCACTGCTGTCCTACTGTGTGTGTTCTTTTCAATCAGGATCAGTCAGTCCCTGTTCTTTAACCCTTTTTCACCACAGCCATGAAATGTCATCTTCCGCCTGGTTTTTGTAATAATGTATTTTTTTCTTCTATAACGTTGCTAGGAAATATGTTTATGTTGGAAATAGGAGTGAACTGAATTTAGGAGGCCTGCAGAAAGAGGTTAACCCCCTAAATGGCCAGGAGCCACTGACAGGTCAAAACTTTACACGTCTATAACCAAAGAATAACTCGGGCAGTTTTCACTGAATAGTCACAGAATAATACACTTTAAGATGCAATAAAGCTGGGAATTTAAATTCCAGAGTATGATGTGGATCCCATGTGTCAAACACCAGGCCCGTGAAATTATTTGGAATTTCTTTTAATATTAGCCCATTTCACAATGCACTGGACTACAATCCTCAGCATGCACTACAACGTAATGTGCACTCCCACCCCCTCCCCCAGCAACAATCTATGGGATAGTGATTACATCACAATTGTACCATCAGCAAACACACTAGCTGCATTTAGCTGCATTTCAACCAACATTATTAACACTGTAAACACTATAGACACTATAAACACTATACCACTATAAACACTATAGTGTTTACAGTGTTTATAGTATTTATAGTGTCTATACTGTTATAGTGTTTATAGTATTTATAGTGTTTGGTGTTTGTAGTGTTTGAAGTGTTATAGTGTCTATAGGGTTTTTACGGTGTTTATAGTGTTTAGTGTTTATAGTGTATATAGTGTTTATAGTGTTTAGTGATTATAGTGTTTAGTGTTTATAGTGTCTATAGTGTTTAGTGTTTATAGTGTCTATAGTGTTTATAGTGTTTATAGTGTCTATAGTGTTTATAGTGTTTAGTGGTTATAGTGTTTATAGTGTTTAGCGTTTATAGTGTCTATAGTGTTTATGGTGTATATAGTGTCTTTAATGTTTATAGTGTTTAGTGTTTGTAGTGTCTATAGTGTTTATAGTGTTTAGTGTCTTTAATGTTTATGGTGTATATAGTGTCTTTAATGTTTATAGTGTTTATAGTGTTTAGTGTTTATAGTGTTTATAGTGTTTAGTGTCTATAGTGTTTATGGTGTATATAGTGTCTTTAATGTTTATAGTGTTTATAGTGTCTATAGTGTTTATAGTGTTTGTAGTGTCTATAGTGTTTATAGTGTTTAGTGGTTATAGTGTTTATAGTGTTTAGCGTTTATAGTGTCTATAGTGTTTATGGTGTATATAGTGTCTTTAATGTTTATAGTGTCTATGGTGTCTATAGTGTTTATAGTGTTTAGTTTATAGTGTTTACAGTGTATAAACACTATAAACACTATAGACACTCTAAACACTATCCGTGTAATATTTCAAGGTTTAATACAGGTGCCTGTATTTTGCTGTTGACGTTTTCACATATTTTAATTAACGAACGGCCAGTCCAGATTAGAGCAAAATGGTATTTTAAAATGAAATAAAAACAGAGATTTTTTAATATGGCCCATGTAGTCGTTTAGTTTAACACCCTGATGTAGCTGATGGGGGTGTGGTACCTGTTAGGGCCTCCTTAGGCCAGCTCTTGGGGAAGATGTTCAGGTCCTGTAGAGGAACCACAACCCCTTCTACACTGCCAAACATGGTGGACAGTCCCAGACAGAAGAGCATGATGAAGAAGAGCACGGACCAGAGAGGAGAGATGGGCATCTTGGTGATGGCCTCTGTAAAGACGATGAAGGCCAGGCCAGTACCCTCCACTCCCTGCAGTTCAAACAAGCAAGAGTTTCACTTGTTTTGGGTTTGCCCCAATTTCTCATGACTTTTGAAGAAGCTCATTGTATCTCAAAGTTCTTCTGGATCTGTAGTGAAACTACATGCTGGTTGTTAGTCTTCCACAGGTGGTGAAAATGTGCTTATAACCAAAGGATTAGTCAACTGCGCACTGATGGAACTGGCAGACCAAAGCCCTATTTGGACAGGATTAGTTTTCCATGGGGAGGTGAGTGATGAGTATTGTTTATTGGCGATTGTCACAGGATAAGACATCTCAGTCTAAACGACAGATGGGAGAACTAGTCAGTTTATGCAGTGCTTTCACTCACGAAAAGAGTAGAAAAGATGTTAAAACATTTAATTTAGCCATTTTTTGTTTACTCTAATCATTTACCTTTCTGTCTGAATGCAGTGTGTCATTAGCATTGCCATTAGCTTTGGAATTCGCAGCAAACAGTCAACTTCACTTAAACTTTTTACTGTACTTTTTAAACTTTTTACTGTAATTTTTGCATGTTCTGACTCATACATATGAGACAGGACAGTAACCTTACATATCCGCCTGATTTTAGCCACAGAGAACAACAAGGCTGACAGGGCTTCCTATTCATTCTTGTTTGAATTTTTGTTTTATTTAAAGTGGAAGTTAATTTAAGGTGCACTGAATTTAAGGTGCAGTGAATTTAGGGTACCAATAAATTTAAGGTGGCAGTAAATTTAAGGTAGCACTAAATTTAAGGTGGCAGTGCATGTAAGGTAGCAATGAATTTAAGGAGGCATAGGATTTTAGGTATCAGTGGCATTATGGAAGCAGTGGTTTTAAGGTGGAGATTTAAGGTGGCAGTGAATTCACAGTATCAGCGAATTTAAAGTGGCACTGGATTTAATGTGGCACTGGATTTAAGGCACCAGTACATTGAAGAAGGGAATGAATTTAAGGTGGCTGGAAATTTAAGGTGGGGGTGGATTTAAGGTGACAGTAAACCTTAACACAAGAGTCTGCCTTATTTCATTAAAAAAACTGAAGTACTCTATGAGGAGTAAATCAGATTGCTGATTTTGGGGGTGGGGATGGTTGGGTAACCCTGGCACTACAGCAGGCAGTGGGTTCCCACCTGGCTAAGCAGAACCTGCATGTCACAGATCTTCAGGTTGAGGCCCTGAATGAGTTCTGGTTCGGTGCTATTGAGGATCTTTAGGGCTTCAGTGTAGTTACTCTCTGTGATGTTTCCCTCAGGAAGCTCAAACACGTTCAGGAGGGCCATGATGTTCCTGTTTGGGAAGACAGAAAGAGTTTCATTGTTTCCATCATATCACAGACGGGTGTCTAGGAAAACTGGGAAGCTGTGTTCTGACCCATTTGAACCTGTCCTTCATTTCAGATGTGAATACTCACCCACTGAGGCACTCGTCAAACCTCTCCGTGGCTCGGAAGCCAATGATGGAGTAGATCACTATGGCAGCGTAGACAGAGGTGAGCCCATTGATGATGGAGATGATAACAGCATCCTGCTCACAGTTATTACTGCAAAACACAGTTATTTGTTTTCACTTTCTTATTTGTCATTGACACCTGCTTCCACATTTGCATGCTGTAGAGCTTCACTCACTGGATGGGGTTGTAGCTGGAGAAAGCAATCAGGCCTCCAAAGGCTAGAGAGAATGAGTAGAACACCTGAGCTCCGGCATCCAGCCACGTAGACGGGTTCAACAGCTCGGTTAACTACATGGGACCGAAAGAACAGGGACACATTTCACAAAACTCTGCGGGAAGTAAAATGAGTTCCTATGAATCCTGTATTTAACGCCTTAAAATTCCAGGGTTATTACATATTAAGGCTTATTATTCAGTTACTACATTGATTTTAAAACCGCTGCAGCAACTTCAGCAGCTCTAAACTCTCTGCATGCCATTTCCTGTGTCTCCAATGTGAACTGAATGAAGAATGAAGGGTTTCCGGTGTGATGGGTCAGTCCAAATTTGACACACAGGCAAGTTTGACACACCCGTGCATCAGATTTGATGTTTTTTATATTTGTCTCTCCATCTTTGTGATGATCTAGTGCAGAAATACGCTGAATTTCCTGAATCTGTAGAGTCGCCCTTTCCATTCCATCTTATCACGAGATCATACATGACTCACATCCGGAGTTATGAGCCTATGAAGAGGGGCTGAGATACACGTCATCTGCCTCTCACCGTGTGGAACTGGTGGATTGGTGTGTCCATCTACATTCTGTGTGAAACTGACCGATGGACACTCAGGAAATCACTAAGGACTGACCATCACGCCGGAAACCCTTCATTCTTCATTCAGTCCACATCGGAGACTCATGTGAAACGGCGTGCAGAGAGTTAACAGCTGCTGAAGTTGCAGTGGTTTTGGAAAGTAGTGATGAAGATAACGGAGCATTTAGATATGAAACATATGAGGATCATGTTATATGAAGAGCCTTTAGAGGAGAGTTTAAGAAGAGATCAACAAATACAACATGCCCTCAGACCACAGAGAGTTAAATGTCATTTGATCATTTACACTGGCTTAACTTTTAGGCCAAGTGTTGAACTTCATTTGGTCTTTGATATTCACTGACCATGAATCCAACTTTAAGCATGGAAACAAAGAACTGTGTGCCTTCAACAGCAGTATAGCATGCAGAGATTGTCTGATTTGCACTACTGAGTGGAAATTCGGCATGGCAATGCCGCAAGACTTCTGTAGCACTCACATCTGGAGTGAAGAGGAACTTTATCCCACTCATGGAGCCTTTGAGGGTCAACCCTCTAATCAGGAAGATGGTGAGAACCATGTAGGGAAGAGTTGATGTTATGTACACAGCCTGGAAAGAGAAGACACCACAAAGAGAAGTGAGTTTAGAAATGCCAGTACATCTGGTGTCTTTACCACTTACTGAGTCATGTTCAACTTTGTACCCTGTGACCAAGCTCTGCTAAGGAATGCCGGTTTCCTACACACAGTCGTTTTATGGCCTGAAAGTTGTTCTTATGGAAGATAAGGGATGTAAACCTAATGTCTGACCATAAAACAAAGTTTGACTTTGACCCATGCCCCACCTTGCTGGTGTCTAATGCCCCCAGAGTGGCTCTCACAGCAAGTAGAAGCTGCTTACCTTGCCGGTGGTTTCGATGCCTCGGATGCAGCAAACCCAGAGAACCATCCAAGCTGCAATCAGACACAACACCATTGGCCACTGCAGCCCACCTGAGTCCTCGATCTTACTCGTAGTGTTCAGAGTCTCCCTGTACCAGAAATAGTCCACGGGAGAGCTGCGGGCGCACTCTGACACCAGATCTGTTAGTGGAAGTGGAGAGATCTGTCAGATCTTTTACTCAGCAGTTTTGATTCTTCCTAAAGAATTTGCTTGCCGCATTGGATACTGGATATTTGAGCAAATTTGACCCAGAATCACTTTAAAAGTTTTGAGAAGCTTATGAATGGCTGCTTATAATGGATGTGAGTGGTCCTGGTCCTGGAGGGCCAGTGTCCAGCACAGTTTGGTAGTTTTCCTACTCCTACTAATTTGAATCAAGTGTGTTTTGAGCAGGTAAATCACCAACGTAGGCTGGACGCCGGTCCTCTTGGACTGGAGTTGTGCATACCTTGTCTATTTGTTGCTAAAACATGTTTACACTGATTCAGTGTGGACCTAGTTCAGTGTTGCCTAAAGTACAGAGGATGTCAGGGTAGAAGAAATGGTGGTGCTTTTATCATCTGCTCCAGGTTGCAGTACTGCTTGTAGGCCACTTGATAGAGCAATTGACTGTGTTCCTGTTGGTTTATCGTTACCCTCTCTAGAAGGGAAACTCATTATCAGTACCTGTTCTGTTTTCATTGACGGGACACTGGCTCCAGGGCAATGGATCCTGGAAGGAGTTGAAGAAGTACCACAAGACCCAGGCTATGATGGTGTTGTAGTACATTCCGACCATATAGGACACAAGCATGGACGCTACACCTGTGGAGGAAAGTGTTATTCCAAATTTACTTGGTTTTACAAATCCTGGGAACTCATTAGCCTTTCCATTGGGTCACCAACCAGATGTACCACACCAACGGCCTTACTTTATTCTATTTCTTCTGCATAGTGATGCCTACTGAATGCACTTTGCAAAGGAAAATGGATAGTAGCTAAAGATTGAGTTGAACTGTAAACACCAACTACTTACAAACTAAAAAGACACAAATAAATAATGTATAATGAGGAAAGGTCACTCAGGTGAAAAAGCTATGTAGAAGAACCCAAATTTGTGTCAAGTAGAACTCTTTCAAAAGGTTGATTTTTTAACAAACAATTTAGGGACAGGTCTGCTTGATCAAGAGAACCAAGATTTTTCTAAACCTGAAAAGGGGGGATTTCAAATTAAATGTTTCTGTGAGTACAGAAGCAAGCCACTGAAAGGGACTTTTCCTGAGGTTCTTCAGCTTGCCACATAGAATAATCTAAATAATCTAAGAATAGAACCTTTTCAGAAGATTGATTTCCTAATAAACCAACAAGGAATGGGTCTACTTGACTTGTGGTTTCCAAGTTTTTTCTAAACCCCAAACGGTGCATGTCTTAATCCAATGGTGTAATGAATATGGAACCAAACCAAAGGGGACAGAATTTGTATGTTCTTGGTCTCAAAACTTATAAGAAATAACAAATCTGAATCCAACCCTTTAAAACCCAGAGTTGGTGTTTTTATTCCATTCTAGCTCCAAACACATTCAGGTATCAAGAGAAGAATGCTGTGTGATTCAGCTGTGTTACTGGATCTATTGTCCTTATCAAGAGTCCTTGAAGGTATTTATTATTAGTGTAATCACTCAAAACAGTCTCTCAGTTTGAGGCTTCTAACACAGTTCATGGCCTTCAGATGCAGTAATCATGCTGTATGACACAATACTCTGCTATGTTAATCAGTGGCTGATTCCTTGAACACTGGCTATTTTAAGCAACTCTAACAACTCCAAGTCACCTTGGAAGTTACCTTGATAAGGTTTTGCATTAAACAGTGATCCCACTATATAGTCTATTTTTCATTAAAATTTGTTTACATTTTTTAATGTAGACTAACAAAATGTTGCCCAGAGTACACCGGGTCTCAGGATGGAAGGAATGAAGGTGCTAATATCACCTCATCCTGGTAGCAGTTGACTATGATGCTGCTGGTTCATAGTTGCCCTATCAGAAAAGGACACTGGCACCAAGGTAGTGGATCCTAGAAGAGATTTAAGAAGTGCCATACGACTTAAGCCTTCAGCTTGACATATAAGACCCTAGTAATAGATTGCTTGTTGAGTAGGACCCTAGTAAGAGATCGGTTGTCAAGTAGGACCCTAGTAAGAGAATGGTTGTCAAGAAGAACCCTAGTAAGTGCTTGGTTGTTAAGTAGGACCCTAATAATGGGTTGGTTGTCAATTAGGACACTAATAATAGATTGATTGTCAAGTAGAACCATAATAGGTTGGTTGTTGAGTAGGACCCTAGCAATAGATTGCTTGTCAATTAGGACTCTAGTAAAACATTAGTCATTGAGTAGGACCCTAGTAATAGATTGGTTGTCGAGTAGGACTCTAGGAGGGCCTGGTTGTCGAGTAGGACCCAGGTAAGAGACTGGTTTTCAAGTAGGACACTAGTAATAAATTGGTTGTCAAGTAGGACCCTAATAATAGATTGTTTGTCAAGTAGGACCCTAGTAAGTTATTGGTTGTTTAGTAAGACCCTAGTACTAGATTGGTTGTCGAGTAGGACCCTAGTAATAGATTGCTTGTCAAGTAGGACTCTAGTAAAACATTAGTCATTGAGTAGGACCCTAATAATAGATTGGTTGTCGAGTAAGACCCAGATAATAGATTGATTGTTGAGTAGGACCCTAGTAAGAGACTGGTTTTCAAGTAGGACCCAGGTAAGAGACTGGTTTTCAAGTGGGACCCTAGTAATAGATTGGTTGTTGAGTAGGACCCTTCTAAGAGATTGGTTGCCAAGTAGGACCCCAATTTCTCACTAAGGTCCTACTCAACAACCATTCTATTACTAGGATCCTACTCAACAACCATTCTATTACTAGGATCCTACTCAATGACCAATCAATTACAAGGGTCCTACTTGACAGGTTGAGTAGGAACCTAATAAGAGATCAAGTCATCAAATAAGACGCTCATAATACATTGGTTGTTGAGTAGGACCCTAGTAATAAATTGGCTTCCTTTCAAATCAACAATGTCTACCTGACCTTATAGTAACTGCCTCTAATAACTGTATGGTTACACATAACAAAACACTTCACTGTTAAAGTAATACAGCTTATGTAAATACACACGTGTATCAGCTGACGGTTTTACTCATCGTGATAACTGCAATAGCATATGATCACATATTAATTACTCTTATGTAATGGCGGCATGGTGAATAGGGTGAACTGCTGCTTTTCCAACAATACTTTTTTTGTTTGTAAAAGATGGCAATTAGATAGACAGCAGATGGACATATCTTTAAAAATAACCCTTATGTAATTAATTAAAATGTGTTTTATTATATTACCCAAAAAAAGGTCTGGATTAGCAATCTGTAATTTCATTGTATCTACACAACTACATGGTGACAGACGCTCGTTTTAAAGGGTAACTTTTAGACACTTGAACAGGTGCTGTTGCTGCATTAATACCATCACATTACAGAACAGTTTAAAGCCAGAACTTTGGATACACAACACAAGCATGTTACTGTAGGAATATTAGCATTTCCTGCGCAGATGCAGTGAACACAATCGGTAATATTACTCATGCAAATGTACTGCTTACAACATTCAAGATACACATGTGTAATTACATAAGCTGTACTGCTGTAATCCACCTGTAACAGTGAACACTTCACCTGTAGTTACACTGTAGTTGAATGTTAATGTGTTACTACGTAGTTATTAAAGACACTTATTCTAACGTAAGACTGATCAATACATTTGCAGGTTATGTTAGCTTATTCATGAACAACATGGACTTGCTGCACATCTCATCACTTCTGGAATAAAATCATCATTACCTTCTTGTTTTCATAACCTTCTCAGGCTGTGAAACTCACCAACTCCTGCTAAGTAAGGATTGATGGACCTCCAGACTCCAACGCTGCCCTTCCTTAGCCTCTGTCCAATGGCAAACTCCAGATGCAGCAGAGGAATCCCCTCCAGAACCAGGAGGAGCAGGAACGGAATCATGAATGCTCCTGCAGCACAGATAAGGCAGAACATATCGATTTAACATTTCCCCAAACTGCTCTTTCAACCTTCCCAGGTCCTCCAGGGTGCATACAGGCCTTCAGAGCCCCTTCTAGCATATCTTTATTACTCACTCGTAGCTCAGTGAAACAAGTGGAGAAACTGTGTGGAAAGAGCAGATTCTAAACCTTCAGTCCATTCCACATCTGTGTTCTGAGCAGAAGAGGTGATGTGTTATTACGATCTGAATTTGATGAAAATTTCTAAAGTTAGTAAACTTTACCGTTTTTGCAGACATTCAACTGTAGAAACAGAGTGGAAAGTGAATGTAAAAGTAATTCACAACGTAGCTATGTAATTACTATGTAAGTATTATGGTATTACGTTGGAATAGTACAGTAACTATGTAGTTATTATATTAGTATGTTATTATGTTGGAATAGTACAGTAACTATGTTATTAAGTATTATTTTACTACTCTTTAATCGTACAGCAAAGGGCAATATTAAGTCTAGACGTCCAAAGGCTGAAGGTTTTAGTTCACTATTGTTTCTGCATTATTTGAGTGGCTGACCTTTACCTTGTCTCAAAGTTTCACATGAATGGACCAATAGAAATGCTCCAAAATCTCATTACACTGAGTAAGATAGCAAGTAAAGACTGTGTTTTCCTGTAAATTTGCCATTTCAGAGGGTTTTTCTGTCCATGATCTGCTGAAATTCCTGATTTCAGTAAAGCTGGGTTTGCTTTGTCTGCTGAATGAGGCTGTTATCAGACTGTTTAACAGACTGTTTAACAGACTGTTTATCAGACTGTTTAACAGACTGTTTATCAGTCATGTAAATAAAGGAGACATGTGTGTAAACAGGCAGTAAACAGTGCTGCTATCGGCTAGCCTGGCCTTGCAGCATGGATCTTTATCTCTATCTCTCTCTGGGCGCCTCAGGCTGAAGGTCCATGTGGCGATAGCAGCACCTGGGTGACAGGTGAGGCGTCACATGACCACCTGAGGTGGTTTCTCTCAGAGGGAGTCGGGGAAATGTCCACGTGAGGGAGGAGCTTCTCGCTGTGTGTTGTTATAGTGTTATTGTTTGACTCATAATAACCTGATCTGATGGCTTCACTGTGTCTGTGGCTGATCAGCCGAGACGCATTCAGAGTCTGAAACATGCGTCTTTACTTTAGCACTGGAGCTACGGGGCTAATGTAGCTAACAAGTACTAGAATTAGCAACAATTAGCATAGCGCTAACTGATTAGCATGGTGCTAACTGCATGCCTAAATCATAGGTGGGAGTTCACCCCTTAAAATCTCAGGCTTATTACATACTGGGGCTTATTATTCAGTAACTACAGGGACTTCAGTGCAAACTGGCTGAGTGGTTCTTAGTTTATAGAAGCTATAGAAAATATAGAAAATAAATCTAGAAAATCTATTATGCTGTATATAGAAAAATATAAAACTTTGGGCCTGCTGGTGGGCCGCTGGCCTGTAAAGGGGTCAACACTTGGACCACCTTGAATGTCTCAAACTTAAAATCCCTAAATATTGAATTATTATATTGTTACTCAAATCCAGATTCAGTGGAGCTGATTGTTTATCTGCTTCTCCCACAATCAGCTTCTGTCTCTGGTGTTCTTAACTAACAAGAGCTGCAGCACTGCTCTGCCTCAGGGTGGCGCTGTAGCAGACTGGCTCACCCAGTTGGTCCTTCGTAGCCTAGAAACTGTAACTCTGCCCGGATTCCTCTGAAAAACTTTACAATGAGCTGCAGCAGATCTGTAAATCTGAAAACTCGCCCAGTTTCCCAAGAGTTTGGAGTGAAGAGTGACTGTTCCTCATTTCTCACACTGAAGACAGAAGAGGAGACGAGGAAGATCTCAGTTACTGTGAGGAAGAGCGCAGAACCGCACTAGAACAGAGACTCTACAGAAGAGGAGACGAGGAAGATCTCAGTTACTGTGAGGAAGAGCGCAGAACCGCACTAGAACAGAGACTCTACAGAAGAGGAGACGAGGAAGATCTCAGTTACTGTGAGGAAGAGCGCAGAACCGCACTAGAACAGAGACTCTACAGAAGAACAACTGATAAACAGACATTTACTGACACTGAAGCTTCAGCGCCGCTATGGAGAGAGAGTTAGCAGACAGAGACCCCCGAATACCAGGGGGGGTTTCACATGCTGAGTTTATCATAAAAGTTCCTGAGACATTTTGTTAGAGTGAAAGTTAAGTAAAACTTTTTACAAATAATCAGAAAAAAAAAGAAAAATAAAAACGAATCAAGACAAAGATACTTAAATCTAAAGGACCTGCAAATATGGTGAGGAAAAAATTACATTTATTAAAATAAGAAAATAAGAAAAAATATATGAAACAACAGAAATGAAGAAGCACTACAGAGGTCACAAATGAAAGACAAAGACTGGTGCTCCTGGGGCGTGGGTGTGCAGAGAACCCCTTGGGGCGTGGGTGCAGAGAACCCCTGGGGCGTGGGTGCAGAGAACCCCTGGGGCGTGGGTGTGCAGAGAACCCCCTGGGGCGTGGGTGCAGAGAACCCCCTGGGGTGTGGGTGCAGAGAACCCCCTGGGGTGTGGGTGCAGAGAACCCTTTGGGGCGTGGGTGCAGAGAACCCCTTGGGGTGTGGGTGCAGAGAACCCCTTGGGGCGTGGGTGCAGAGAACCCCTTGGGGCGTGGGTGCAGAGAACCCCCTGGGGTGTGGGTGCAGAGAACCCCTTGGGGCGTGGGTGCAGAGAACTCCTGGGGCGCGGGTGCAGAGAACCCCTGGGGCGTGGGTGCAGAGAACCCCTTGGGGCGTGGGTGCAGAGAACTCAGGAAAGAAACGGTTCCGTGCTGGGAGAGGCAGAAAACCTCACAAAAGTATCCATCCACATCCACAAGGCAAAGGAAATCCCAGAGCTACGAAATCCCCGAGCACTCGCCCTGAGGAAAAGTGTAAAGCCTTTACTGAAACATGGCGATAAAAAGGTGCCGACGCGTTGCGGCGTTCTCAGGCCTTCATCAGGACACTGATGCCTCGTGGATGCAGATGGACACTTTTTGAGTTTTTGCCTCTCCCAGCATGGAACCATTTCTTTTTTAATAAAAAATATATTTTTAATTGTTTCTGGATTTTAGTAAAACTAATTGATGTGATGTCACAGCACTGAACATATGAATCTGGTTTTAAGCATTTTTCTAAAATCTCATTGATCTAAAATCTCTTGAAAAGGTAAAGTTTGAACAGCTTCGAGCTCAAGACCAGAGGAACTTTAAAAGCCCTTTAAGACGGTCTTAAATCAACACTTAAAACCAATCCTTGAAAATGAGACATGCTCCTGAAAATACCTCTCAGAATGAGGAATTATAATGTAATATAATAAAATATATTCACATTCTGATTAAAAACATATGTGATGATAATAAACAGCTTTACTCACTTCATAGAGAAACACAGTGGATTAAAAAGGGACAGAAACTAATAACTCAGCAGCAAACACTGAAAATCTGAACAACACAGACAAAATGACAGACCTGCTTTTTACTTAAAGATGCTGAAATGATTTCTTAGCAACTAAAAACATCTTAACTGTAGTTCAAATATGTAATATTTCTCATTATGAGACTGTTGTAAGAATACTGTAAGATTATTTTCATTATTTCTGGTCTTTTTGTACTTGTGTCAGGTTTTTATCTAATGAATGCGTCTTTATTCCATTGGCAGATCATTTTAGTTGTTTTAAGCATCATTTCTAGAAATCAGCAAAATGATCTTCATTATTATTCTTCACTCTTCTTAAACCAATGAAATGATCTGCCAATGGAATAAGATATTTTTACTGCATACAATTATGTAAAACAAGTAAAAGGGCCTAGAAGTGGGTTAAATATTCCTACAGTCTTTCAGATGGTAAGATCTTGTATATTGTATCAACTACAATTGGGATCTTTTTAATATCGGTTTTAATTCATGCTGTTAACAAGCACATCATTCCTGATCAGACCAAACGTGCTGAAGTTGGATATCTCAAAAAGTGTTTTAGTGGAAAAACGTCAGGCAGAAATATAATAATAATAATAATAATAATAAAATAATAATAACGAAAATAATATACCACTGTATAACAGTAGTGCTGCACAATCACCACAACATTGGACATGTAAATATCTTAAGAGCCCCTTTAAGACAAACAGAACATGTTCAGCATCTCTGGCTCTGCAGTCCTGTAGCTCCATACTATCTCCAACCACCAGATGGCAGCAGTGAGACTGAGTTACCCTTAGTGATGGAGGAGAAACAGGAGGCCTGTTTATGAACATCTAGTGGTCCTAAGTGACCTCCTACTTGGGGGTCTCGCACCCCACCCACACCAGTCACACTCTTCTGTTTGTAATATTAGGACAAAAATTAACACTTCATTACTTTTGATGTAAAAACTGTGAGAGAATCTCTGATGACGTCAGTCTTAGGTGAGCAGAGCTGATGGTCCAGCAGAAATGAGAAACTCTCCTTTTAATAGGTCATTAATCTTCAGCGTAAACTCCTCAGTATTATCTGAGTGTCTGCAGATTGAGCTCATTCACCATTAATGATTCCACAGTACAGACGTCACTGACCTTAGTACAGTTTCTAAATGAACCTGCGGTCTGTTAAAGGAAGCCTGAGGTCCCACAGAGGACGTCCACCAATTCCCCAACATCTGAGGTGTAATCAGAGTGATTCAGAGAGGTTTGGTGTGAAACGGTTCAGATGTCTTTACAGTGGTGGTGATAGGAACCAGGGGTCGCCATGACTACAACACAAATATAGACATTTTATTTACTATCCAGAACCACCAGTGAACCCGAGTCTTCTGAGTTTATATGAATGTTGATGATGGAAAATAGTGGAAAATCTGAAATAATAAGTTTTCTTTGGGGACTATTTTGCCTCACAGCGCCCTGCATGTATCCCTCCACCATGAATGGAGTTTAAGTTCTCCAAACTATCATAAAACAGTGTCTCAGTCATCAGGCAGTGAATTCATAACCATTTACTGTAGGAACTTTCTGTGAGGGAGCTTTTAGAGGTGGACGTCTGGTTCCTATCACCACCACTGTGAACAGTTCTGACTCTAGAGTGCAGCAAACTGCTATGAATGACTCTGTTAACCATTTAACTCTATGTGAATTCCTCTTTACGCTGTTACATACATCATCCTGAGAGTCTATTAAGGCTGAACGTATGGATGCTGTGTAGTTTTAATGTTCTATCAGTCATTTCCTGTCCAGTAAAAGACAAAGTGCTTCATAATGGACTATAGCAGAGCAAGCTAATGCTAGTTAACATGTAAATGTGTATGGTAGCTCGTATGTAGTGTTAATAGTTAACCGCAGTTCCCTTTAAGCTTCTTCCAGCTCATTGACACCGTCATTCTCCACATCTTCAGAGTGGAACTCATAAAACTGCAGTCAGTCTGGACACAAAAGCATCATTTTGTATTCCCCATTAAGCGCAGCAGACTGTTCCATTACACAATAACAGCAGTTCTGGAAGAGCTCCCCTCAAATAGACTCTAAAAACAGTACAAAGAGTGCACTCCAGTAATGACCAGTCAGAAATGACCAGCGTGTAGTTTGTTCAGGTGAAAATGCCACTGTTTAAAAACAGTACACTTCCTGCAGCATATCAGATCACGGCAACCTGCAGTCCAATACAAAACTGTATAAAAAGCTACTGTTTGTAATAATAAACACATGAGCTAAAAAGCCATTGATTATAAAAGTTATTAATATTTAAATAGTTAAGAATGGTTTGTTAACTTAACCTAAAAAAAAATTAAAACTGGTGATGGGAACCAGACGTCCCCCTCTAAAAGCTCCCTCACAGAAAGTTACTACATGAAATGGTTATGAATTCACTGCCTGATGACTGAGACTCTGTTTACCCATCACCAACATTCCATATTGTTGTATTTGTAACTTAAAAAACGTAATTGTAACATGTGCAAAAGTTTAGATACCCTTCCAGTTGTCTCAGAACTTAATTATCTCGTCAGGTTAGGAAGGTCAGTAAATGTCATTAGGAACTATCAACTGATTTGAATTCCAGAGTGTAATATTTGACACTGATAACACCCAACAACCATGAGCTCCTCTAAGCAGCTGACTGGGGCTCTGAAAATGAAGCTACCTGATGCCTACAACGCAGGAGAAGAATTTAAATGCTAATATTAAAGCACTTCCAGCTCACACTCTCCACCACATGAAAAGCCATTAGGAAACGGCAGTTAAGGGGAACTATGAAAGTCACGGAAAAATCTGGAAGACCAAGGAAACTCTCAGATAGAACTGCTTGTATTCTGGTCAGAAAGGTAAAGCAAAACCCCCAGATGACAGCAAAAGACGTGCAGGAAGGTGGGGGAGCAGCGTTCTACTGTGATCTGCATGAAAGAGTCATATAAAAGGAAACCTTAACTGAGACCTTATCACAGAAGAGAATGTCTGAAGTCTTCAAAACATCATCTAAAGAAGCTTGGAAACGGATGGTGGACGTGCTGTGGACGGATGGAGTAAAGATGGAACTCTTTGGCCACGATCACCAAAGGTATAGAAAAAAGTAGCAGCGTTTGATGAAAGGAACACCTTGCTGAGTGTTAAAAATTGGGGTGGATCTATTACGCTATCATGCTTTGGGGTTTTGTGGCAGCCAGTGGCACAGGAACCATTGCACAGGTTGATAGACAAACTTCAGGCTGTGGAGAGGCACACTGCATTCTGGGAGTCCTCTGCATGCTCCTCTCCACTCTCCCAGTTGGCCCAAACCTTAGGCTCAGTGACGGTGCCACAATATAAAGTAACTGCATTAAAACTACAGAAAACTTTTATTTTTCATAAAGCGTTTTCTGTGTTGGGCGGCACAGTGGTGCAGTGGGTGGCACTGTCACCTCACAGCAAGATTTGATTCGATTCGATTCCCGGCCGGGCGGCCAGGGTCATTCCTGTGTGGAGTCGGCATGTTCTCCCTGTGTCTGCGTGGGTTTCCTCCGGGTACTCCGGTTTCCTCCCACAGTCCAAAGACATGCAGTCAGGCTGATTGGACATGCTAAATTGACCCTAGGTGTGAATGTGTGTGTGACTGTGTATGTCTGCCCTGCGATGGACTGGCGACCTGTCCAGGGTGTATCCTGCCTTCCGCCCGATGACAGCTGGGATAGGCTCCAGCACCCCACCGCGACCCAGAAGGATAAGCGGTTTAGATGATGTGTGTGTGTGTGTGTGTGTGTGTGTGTGTGTGCGTTTCCTGTGTTTACTTCTTTTTACTTCAAAAATCAACAAAATATGTAATTTGGCCAACCTTTTTCATACAACTTAAAAGGTGAAGTTATGGATTGCAATAAAAGGTCTATATTTGTGTTGTAGTCATGGCGACCCCTGGTTCCTATCACCACCACTGTAAAGACGTCAGAACCATTTCACACAAACCACTCTGAGTCACTCTGTTCACAGCTCACAAATTCAATTAAGCATAGAAATATTGAAAAATCAGATTAATTCTCCTGTAATACTGAAATATGAAGGCTAGTATCAGGGAAAGTGCCGCTCTTTAGCAGTCCTACCTCCTCCGTGGCTCTGACAGAGGTAGGGGAACCTCCAGACATTCCCCAGTCCCACACAGAAGCCCACACAGGTCAGCATGTACTGGGCTTTGTTGTCCCACTGCGGCCGGTCTCCAGCCTGGAGCTCCTCCATCTTCTCCAGCTCAGCGTGGGAGGGGATGCGCTCCTCCAGGCCGGGGTTCGGCAGCTTCAGCTTCATCCTGAGGGCAGTGGAACTGTGTCTGTGGCTGTGGAGGGGTCGCCTGCAGTTAAAGCAGGTCTAGATAGTGACCTTTAGCACTGAGAAGCAGCCTCCCACACTTACTCACACTGACACCGTCCATGCTGTCAGCATTAACAGGGAAAATACACGCAGCAGTGTGGCCACCCTAATCATCACCACAGTGACCAGTGATGGGACCTAATGTTTTATTTTGATTAATGATGTTATAGAAAATATACTTTGAGTTGGTCAGTGATTATATTTATACTTTAGCCCATAAAGTAGCAATAAATATAATTATTCTATCTTCTTTTCAGACAAAATGCTTGCGATGAAGAAGCATGCTTAAGTATCAGTAGCATCAATAAAATCAGTAGTGTAACTGGAAACTGGAACTGGAAACATCCCAAAAACATACTTTTCTGTATTTTGAATAGTATATTTTCAAAGTTACACATTTTATATTATACTATATTTATTGTACTTTATTATGACTTAAACAAAAGTATGTTTTTCATCAAATTAAGTGTATGACTTATGTTTTAACGTATGCTTAGGTACATTTTAGTTGCAAAATAGCTCAAACTAACTAAATGATTCTGCAGATTGTTGCAGATTGTGTTGTATGTGGTTCTGTATTGAACCTTTTTGAATATGATTCCACAAAGCACCAAAAAGTTTCTCCTATTGTGACGATGTCAAGCTTGTAACAACAGAAGAACCATTTTTAGTGCTATAGAGAACCATATAAACACATACAACACAAATACAACACCATATACAACACAAATACAACACCATATACAACACACTCCAAACGATAAACTAATGTTTCTTTGAGTGTTCATGGTTCTATATAGGACCATTGTCTTTACTGAAGAACCATTGAAGAACCATCTTTTTAAGAGAGAAAAATGTTATTGCTGGAATGTTGATCTCCCCTCAGGAGACGTAATGGAGATTCTCTTCACATTTCTCCGGAGACTTAGCTGCAGACAGAAAGGAGACGTGCGATAAAGGAGAGATGAGAGTTTAGTGCAGATAATCATGAGTGTTTTTATCTCAGGCATATCTGAGCTCAACGTATGACTGCTGAGATCTGTACTAAACTCAGGGGGAGACACGAGAGCTTACTAGCTAACGGCTTACAGGAGCTTTGAGATGCAGCTCAAGATTCATTACGTACACCAACAATGACACTTAGAGCAAATAACACTGCAGTAACATATTTTCAGCATTTGCTGTAAAGCATTACAAGCCTAGTCAGCACTTAAAGGGAAGAAGCTCACCAGGGTGTGACCATCCAAACCACAGGCTTCAATGATTCACAGACCATCAGTGCATGTCTACTGTACACTACATGTAACTGCTATGTGCTACTGCACACTACTGCACACTACTATACTCTATTGTACACTACAGCACACTACACAGTACTGTACACTACAGCACACTGCATACTATTGTACACTATTGCACACTATACACTACTGTGTGCTAATGCACACTACAATACTCCATTATACACTACACACTACTGTACACTACTGCACACTATCATACTACTGCACACTATTGTACACTACTATACTCTATTATACACTACAACACACTACACACTACTGTACACTACTGCACACTATCATACTACTGCACACTATTGTACACTACTATACTCTATTATACACTACAACACACTACACACTACTGTACACTACTGCACACTATCATACTACTGCACACTATTGTACACTACTATACTCTATTATACACTACAACACACTACACACTACTGTACACTACTGCACACTATCATACTACTGCACACTATTGTACACTACTATACTCTATTATACACTACAGCACACTACACAATACTGTACACAACAGCACACTGCATACTATTGTACACTATTGCACACTATACACTACTGTCTGCTAATGCACACTACAATACTCCATTATACACTACAACACACTACACACTACTGTACACTACTGCACACTATCATGTACTACTGCACACTATTGTACACTACTATACTCTATTATACACTACAGCACACTACACAATACTGTACACAACAGCACACTGCATACTATTGTACACTATTGCACACTATACACTACTGTATGTTAATGCACAGTACATACTACTGTACACTATTGCACAATATACACTACTGTGTGCTAATGCACACTACAATACTCCATTATACACAACACACTACATACTACTGTACACTGACACTATCATACACTACTGCACACTATTGTACACTACTATACTCTATTATACACTACAGCACACTACATACTACTGTACACTGACACTATCATACACTACTGCACACTATTGTACACTACTATACTCTATTATACACTACAGCACACTACATACTACTGTACAGTACTGCACCTCATTGTACACTACTCCATACTACTGTACTCTACTGCGCACTACTGTATAATAGTACACACTGCCGTACAGTACTACACACTAGTTTACACCACTACACCTTACTGTACAGTACTACACACTAGTTTACAGTACTGCACCTTACTGTACAGTACTACACACTAGTTTACACTACTGTAGTTTATGCTACTGCATCTAACCACACTCTACTGCATACAACTGTACACTACTATGCACACCACTGCTGTCGCAGCCTCTGCCATGAAGTCCATGCTGGGAATACCGAGCGAGCTTCTTCTTCTAGCTAGCTGAGTTGATGGTGTGTGATGTGGTGCTGTGAAGTGTTACCAGAGCCGGTTTATGAGGAGTCTGGCCACTTCCTATTTCCCCCATTATATCAAAAACAGGACTGCTAAACAGCAGGGGGCGCCCGTGAGTCCTCAGTGAACGGGGGTGAATTGAGCTCAAAGGCTAAAAATGAAAAGTTAAAATAGTTTCTAATCACTGAACCAGAACTTTCCTTTAGTTTAGACAGTAGAAGGATGAGTTTCACTAAAACAGCAAAGGAAACTCACCTGTATGTTTCCTTTATTCTACAGCAAATGGGTTTTGGGCTACATGATGCTAGCATTACTGCTACTGAGTGCTGATTGGTTAACATTACTGCTACTGAGAGCTGACTGGTTAGCATTATTGCTACAGAGTGCTGATTGGTTAGCGAGTGGAGCAGCTCATTAGCTATTTGTGCTCACTGAGTTCATAAGCTCCTAAAAATATCCCAGCGGTGTTAAAATGTTTTACGCTGTTCTGTGATCAGGAAGTGAATGAATTCTTTTACATTAAAAATGATGGTGAAGCTGTTATTTTAAGGTTACATTGTTACATATTGTTGCTTTGTACATACTGACTATAGTCACTGAGCTCAGTTTACAGGTTTATATTTATGTTAATTTATTATTTATTATTTCAATCTATTATTCAGCCTTTATCTGCCTGTTTCCAGGTACTGAGTCAGGATGGGTTTGGTTTATTTTCTGTTTAGAAATCTCCAGGTAATCAGAGAAGTCTCAGCAGGTGATTAGCACTCCCACAGCATATCTTACTGTTTTCTTTTTCCTCATCTGCTGCGCTCTGTCTATCTTAACAGCTCTGAGTAATAAACACACTTAGCCTTGACCGTCCTCCACTCAGAGTGACCTCTAATGATGCATTATTCCCTCTATAAACAGCACTCAGAGCTGAAAGAGCACTTAATCACAGGCTACTAACACGGGGCCTGACAAAAGATACGCAGGATGACACTGAGAGCCTGAGCATAAATACGTGTACTTTCAAAAACGGAAAAGTGATGGTTTACATTTTTGTTTGTCCTTTAATTTAGTTTATAAGTTCATTAGTAGTTTTTTTCTGAAATAAAACAATGAGCCCAGACTTTTCATCTCTTTTTCTAAAAGTAATGTAAGTATTTTGAGTATTATAAAGCTTGATTGGTTGTACTAAAATGACAGTTACCCTTTCATTTGATTTTCATTGTAAGATGTATAAATACTGAACATTTAAAGTAAGCTAGTCCATAAAAATATGGAATTTTTTATGGATTCATTTTTATGAATTTGTTTGAATTTAGATTGTTCCCCTGCACACTCAAAAAGATGGTTCTCCAGGGGTTCTTTAGTAAACGCATTGGTTCTATTTAGAGCCATGAGGTCTGTTTCATGCTTAAACAATTCTTTGCATGGTGAAATGGTTCTTGAGGTTGATGGAGAACGTGCTGTAAAAGGTTCTACATAGCATCAGAAAGGGTTCTGTTCTTGTTACAAGTTTGACATCATAACAATAGCAGAACCCTTTTTGGTGCTATATAGAATCATATACAACACAATCTCCACCAACCTCAAGAACCATTTCACCATGCAAAGAACCTTTTAAGCATGCAAATGCCTTTATGTAGAACTCATGGTTCTAAAGAGAACCCTTCCCTGAAGAATCTTTCTTAAGAGTGTATATGTACATTGTGTTCCTATTAAGGCAGACATTGCTGAGAGACTCCCAGCCCCCTGTTTCTACTGCACACAGCTACACACTGCTGCACAAAACAACATGCTACTGCACACTAATTGATTCAATTGCACTTAACTATATGACCACACACTCCTGTACGCTACTGCAAACTGCTGAACACCACTGTACATTACTGTACGCTACTGCACACCACTGTACACTACTACACACCACTGTACATTACTGTACAAACTGTACCCTTCTTCACACCACACTTCACTATACATTACTACACACTACTACACACCACTGTACACTACTACACACTACGACACACCACTGTACACTACTACACACCACTGTACACTACTGTACAAACTGTACCCTTCTTCACACCACACTCCACTATACATTACTACACACTACTATACACCACTGTACACTACTACACACTACTACACACCACTGTACACTACTACACACCACTGTACATTACTGTACAAACTGTACCCTTCTTCACACCACACTCCACTATACATTACTACACACTACTATACACCACTGTACACTACTACACACCACTGTACATTACTACACACCAGTGTACACTACTGTACAAACTGTACCCTTCTTCACACCACACTCCACTATACATTACTACACACTACTATACACCACTGTACATTACTACACACCAATGTACACTACTGTACAAACTGTACCCTTCTTCACACCACACTCCACTATACATTACTACACACTACTACACACCAGTGTACACTACTACACACTACAACACACCACTGTACACTACTACACACCACTGTACACTACTGTACAAACTGTACCCTTCTTCACACCACACTTCACTATACATTACTACACACTACTATACACCACTGTACACTACTACACACTACTACACACCACTGTACACTACTACACACCACTGTACACTACTGTACAAACTGTACCCTTCTACACACCACACTCCACTATACATTACTACACACTACTACACACCAGTGTACACTACTACACACTACGACACACCACTGTACACTACTATACACCACTGTACACTACTGTACAAACTGTACCCTTCTTCACACCACACTCCACTATACATTACTACACACTACTATACACCACTGTACATTACTACACACCAATGTACACTACTGTACAAACTGTACCCTTCTTCACACCACACTCCACTATACATTACTACACACTACTACACACCAGTGTACACTACTACACACTACGACACACCACTGTACACTACTACACACCACTGTACACTACTGTACAAACTGTACCCTTCTTCACACCACACTTCACTATACATTACTACACACTACTATACACCACTGTACACTACTACACACTACTACACACCACTGTACACTACTACACACCACTGTACACTACTGTACAAACTGTACCCTTCTACACACCACACTCCACTATACATTACTACACACTACTACACACCAGTGTACACTACTACACACTACGACACACCACTGTACACTACTATACACCACTGTACACTACAGTACAAACTGTACCCTTCTTCACACCACACTCCACTATACATTACTACACACTACTATACACCACTGTACACTACTACACACTACTACACACCACTACACTACTTCACATTATTACACACTGACATACCACTGTACACTACATCACTGTACGCTACTGCAAACTGCTGAACACTACTGTACACTACTACACACCACTGTACACTACTGTACAAACTGTACCCTTCTTCACATCACACTCCACTATACATTACTACACACTACTATACACCACTGTACACTACTACACACCACTGTACATTACTACACATCACTGTACACTACTTCACATTATTACACACGGACATACCACTGTACACTACATCACTGTACACTACTGCAAACTGCTGAACACCGCTGTACATTACTGTACGCTACTGCACACCACTGTACACTACTACACACCACTGTACACTACTGTACAAACCCTTCTACACACCACACTCCACTATACATTACTACACACTACTACACACCTGTGTACACTACTACACACTATGCCACACCACTGTACACTACTGTACAAACTGTACCCTTCTACACACCACACTCCACTATACATTACCACACACTACTACACACCGGTGTACACTACTACACACTATGCCACACCACTGTACACTAATGTATACTACTACACACCACTGTACACTGCTGTAAAATTGCACACTGCTATATGTTATTCACACCACTGTGCACTACCACAAACTAGCCACACACACAGAACACACTACACACTACTGCAGTCAGTACTGTCAGTTATAAAATAGAAATGATGTTCACCTGTTATGTCATAATGTCACAATGCAAACGGTCAAATATGATACATCCACAATGCTGTTTATTAACTGTGATCACTCATTTATTCATCTGTTTCATTTATTCTTATTCTGTCTTCCCACATTGATATCAGTTTATTTAATTTATTTTAATTATGCATGTTTTATTTTTCACATACCCTCTAATGACGCTGGGTGACAAAGAAGTGCTCTGCTCCCCCCTGGTGTCCAACACTAACCATTACAGTAATGGAGTTTTTTAGTTTTACTCTCTATAGAGTTTATTGAATTTCATGCCCTGTTTACTACACTATATATAGTTTTTTTTTATTTTATACTCATATATATATATATATATATATATATATATATATATATGTATATATATATATATATAGTGTATGATATTTATATTTCATGCCCTGTTTACTACACTAAATATAGTTTTTTTTTATTCAATACTTGTGCTTTCTCTCTCTCTCTCTCTCTCTCTCTCTCTCTCTCTCTCAGTTCAGTTCAGAATAGCTTTATTAGCGTGACTGTGAGGTACAGTACTGCTAAAGCATCACAACAGTAGAAGGGAACAACAAAAACAGTAATGAAACCAGAAAAGATAAAAGAACCATCATAAATAACCATATTAATTATTATAATCACAATATTACAGTATTATTATTACTGTTACCCGCTGTCTCTCAGGCGGTGGCATGTTGTTATGTATCTGGCAGTGAGGGGGGCTGTGAGCTGTGAGCCCCTCTCCAAGGAATATTCGTAATTTCTCCAATTCTGTACATTTTTCAAAATGTGGGATGAATTTGTTGAATTTGTTTGTGTAAATATTTCCCTTGTCTGTATTTTTCACAGTGAAGAAGAAAGTGCAGCTCTGTCTCGACCTCACCTGTCAGACAGTGACCACACCGCCTCTCCTCTCTGGGCAGCCAGGACTTTTTATACCTGCCCCGTTCTGTGGCCAGGCTGTGGTCACTGAGTCTGTACTTGGTCAGGATCTGTCTCTGCTCTGTATCTCTGACAGTCAGGAGATACTCCTCCAGTTCATGCTCTGTTTTTAGGGCCCGACTGTGTTCTAATTTACTCTGAGTGTTCATTTCTTTACCCCAGTGTTCCAGATGGTCACTCTGACTGTTTCTGATGATGTGATTGATGTTTAGTCTGGGCTGTAAAGCAGTGCTGAGCGAGGCTGCTGTGTGTTCGGACTGTTAGAGGGTTAATAAGCCTCAGAACCAGCTGACTGAGGGAGCTCTGCTCAGGGTTCAGTTGTTGGGTCTGTAGCGCCTTAAACTGCAGCGTTTCTCTGGGACTCGTCTTCAGCTGCATCCAGAACTGTAGAGATCTTTTATGAATGTTTATTAACAGAGGAAATCGGCCTAATTCTCTCTCCCTCTCTCTCTCTCTTTTTCTCTCTCTGTGTGTGTCTCTCTCTCTCTCTCTCTCTTTCTCTCTCTGTGTGGTCTCTCTCTCTCTCTCTCTCTCTCTCTATCTCTCTGTTTCTCTGTGTGTACATTTGCGCGTTCTGCCGCTGGGTGCCGCTCTTTCCCCTCTAATCAGGCGGAGCGCGCGCTAAACGCTTGTCCGCTGTGGGCGGGGCGACGAGGGACTGTGGGCGGGGTTAGTAAGGAGGGGCGGCTGAGTCCTTGCCTCTGTCGCGCGCTATGGGGACACCTGCTAACGCGCATAGCTAAAGCGCACGAGCGCGCAGCAGCGAGAGGGCCCGGTCAGTGTCGGAGCTCGAGCGCCGGGGTGTTTTGCCCCCTCCAGCCCCGTTCTAGCCCTCCTCGCGCCCCTTCCCCGCCTCTCAGCATGGCCTCGTTCGTGTGCAGGGTGCAGTTTCTGGATGACACGGACCCGTTCAGCAGCACGAGCTTCCCCGAGCCCGCGCGCCCCCCGCGCTTCTCCTTCAGAGAGGACCTGCCGCTCAGCAGCCAGCTGCCCGCGCTCCACCGCCTGCTGCGCGCGCCGCACCGGGTCAGTCTGCTTGTTTGTCAGTTAGTTCGTTTGTTTTTGTTTGTTTGTTTGTTTGTTTGTTTGTCGGGTTGTTTCTCTGTGTGTGCCGTTTCTGCTCGCTGGTCTGTGGGATTACTGTTAAGAGCTCGAGACAGCGCGACAGGTGGGCGCGTGCCCGATATAACTCAGGCTGCGTGTGAGCGCATGCCTGTGCGCGCGCGTGTCCCAGGCAGCCGAGCTGTTGCAGGACATGCAGGAGCTGCTCGTGTCCAGAAGCCCGTAGACTCCAGAGTTTCCTCCGCAGGAACCTCCTCTGCTCCTCTGGGTGCTGAACACTGCTGTGAGGATTTGATTGAGCATCAGTGAGGTCAAGTACTGATGTGGGATGTCGTCAGTTCTGGGTCACTCCAACTCATCCCAAAGGTTCTGGATGGAGCTCCATCACTCCAGAGAACACAGCTCCACTGCTCCACAGCCCAATGCTGGGGGGCTTTATACCCCTCTAGCCCACGCTGGGCACGAGACATGGAGACCTTAGGATCATGTGACCTTAAGTATTGACCACACACTGCTAAAAAAGACAGGTCTAGCATATGTGTATATATATTTACATATATAATGCTATATATACATATAAGTGGTTCTATTTGGTACCAGAAAGGGTTCTGCTGTTGTTACAAGCTGGACATTGTCCCCTAACTGTATTGTCCCTTTCAGCTCAGACAGCTCTGCATTCTACACAACGTATAACAGCACCACTCATAACGTAACACATCACATCACAACATCACCCCTCCCCCCCCCAAAACACATGCAGGGTTCTACCAGCAGGCTGGTGGGAGTGATTTACACTCTGGCGGTAAGGGGGGATCTGACCAGGCCGACACGGCACTAGCTTTCTTTAGAACCTGCTGTTTGGTGCTGCAGCTAATGATTATTTTCACTGTCGATTAATCAGTTGATCATATTCTCGATCAATCGATGTTGTTTGGTCTATAAAATGTCAGAAAATGGTGAAAAATGTGGATCAGTGTTTTCCGTCCTCACAGATATTTAGGTTGGTTTCACAGAGGAGTACAGAAACCAGGAAATACTGGAATTTGAGAAGCAGGAATCAGAATTTTTTACTTTTCTTACTCAACCCGATCAATCGATTGCAAAATAGTTGCAGATTAATTTAATAGTTGACAATTAATCGATTAATTGTTGCAGTTATAATACAGAACCATATTCAACACGTTCTCCGTCAGTCTGAAGAGCATGAAGGTGCTGTCACAGCAACTGGAAACATCTAAAATCTGCTCAGCATATCTAACACAGCGCACGCTGGGGTTACTGTACGGATACTGTAACTGTGTAACTTACTCCAGGCCTTTTTACCTGTTTTAAATCGGTTCATCTGGAGAAGGTGTCTCGCTCCACGGGCAGATCATTTTACTGATTCTGAGCATCACTGCAGATCATTTATTTGTTTTAAAATAATATTAGAAACAGGTCAGATGATCTACCGGTGGAATACGACGCTTTCTCCAGAGAGTCATTTAACACTGTGTAAAAATAATCTTATTCTTACAGCCTTTCATAACGGGAAATATCAATACGCTGACTACGTCCGACATGTTCACTAAGACTGTAAGGGTGGGTGGCGTTTTCACGATACGCAGTGTGCATCACGGCGTCGCTGCTGTCAGACTGAAACCTTGTGTCTCTGAAGAGTTTACAGGGGAAGGAAAAAGATCTCAACTTTTAATGGAAGTAAAGAGAGAAATATTTGTGTTCCAAGTAATTTTGGAATTTCTGTTGGTCTGTTCATCATGAGATTTTCAAATTGTGTCAAAAAATGAAAAACAACATAAATGCAGATACGAGGTTTTGTCCTGACAGCAGCCATATTTAGTTCTTCTGAGATTTAATATGTTGGAACAGGCAAAATGGAACTGGTCGCCTCATAGTGTAAAAATACAGTAATAAGAATATTACTGATACTACTAATCATAATAATATTATTATTATAAACAACTACAGTCATCTTTATTCAGTATTTATAAACGGAGCTGCACTAGATCCAAACGGGCCTAATTATGCTCATATTGTAGTGAATCACGTAGTCAGTGTTCTTTAAGTACTGATGATCCACCGTCTGCTCAGGAAAGAGTACTGTGACATAACTTATCATGATAATGATATGTACTGTCATATTGCCCATTTCTACTAACATGTTTGTTTTGAGCACCCAGACTGTAACTCATCCTAATCTCTGACTGTATTCACTCTGTCTACTACAGTGTTTTTAAATATGTGTTCTGGAGATACATATGCATATATATAAACATATATCATTACAATCTGTAAATGTGGCGTTTTTCAGTTTTTGACATAATTAGAAAAACCTGTTGTTGTTTACATTGTGTGTAAATTTCATGCTGAACAGACCAAATTAAAACGTCCCGAAATGACTTAGTAAAAATTCTGGTTCCATTGATTTACATTAAGAGTAAAGCAAGTTTTCTGCTTCTCCTGTAAAGTTACCAGTTTGGACATAAGAGGTTTTGTTCTGACAGCAACGACATATATATATATATATATATATATATATATATATATATATATATATGTGTGTGTGTGTGTGTGTGTGTGTGTGTGGACATATAAACTAAGCTTTGATTTATGGTGTTTACCTTTTCCAGCTGAGGGTGGGGGGTGTGAGGTGTGAGTTTGGGGGGGGTATTTTATTTGTATCTGTGTTATCATTGTACATTATACATTGTTTTTTGTTTAGTATTAAAAAAGCGGTTCACATAAAGAGATCACTGTCCCAGTGAACACACTGTGAGTGGTCTAAAGATCAAAGCAGAGCTCAGGCTGTTCTGAATGATGTCAGATGTGCTGAACAGTTCGTTTTACTCTAGTCTTAATCCTGATTTCCTCCTCCCTCAGTTAAACAGACTCCTCTGTGGTTTTGGGGAGTGTAGCTGAGGTTAGTTAATGGGCTGGTGTTATAGGTCAGTTATAGACTCTGGTGTTCTGGTCATGCTTTAGCTCTCTGTTTGACTGAATGCTGTGTTGGTGTGTTTATGTTTAATATGCAGAAGGTTTGCTGGATCATTGTGAACCAGTCGTAGTTTAATCCAGAGATGTAAACATTTTATATAAGGTCTTAAATAAACATTTCCTATATAGGAATCCTACCTGTGTGTATCTAACGTCAGCGTTCCAGCTGGTGGGCTGTAAAACGTGGTCCAGTGTGTCTGAGCAGCTCTGGTGCTGTAGATCCACCTGCTCAGGTGTGTTAAAGGGGAACACCTGTACAGGTGGATGTACAGCAGGGTCTCTCAGCTCCTGCACGTCTGCCTTCCTGCACTAATCCCCACACTCCTGCTGCAGGTAACCCAGACCTCCAGAGCTCCCTGCGCCGACTGCAGTGGGCGTGTCGGTGGGGGGGGCGGCAGGTGGGGAGGGGGCACCGGTCAGGGAAAGTCACCTGAAAGTTTTAGCACAAAGGCTAACGCAGCTAACTAGGAAAGGAAGCTGATTGTTAGCAGCAGTGATTATCAGGGTGCTAACAGCATGATGACATCATCACACTGGCCTCACATCACGCTGCCGCTGTGTGTAATCAGGGTTGGTGACCTGCTGCCTTAAAGACCCGTCTCTCTCAGCGTGACTCAGCTCTCCCTGACTCTCTGACTTTCTGTTCACTGACTGTTCCCCAGTCATGGCTTCAGAACCTCTCAGTTCAGTCTATACGGACCACCAGCTAAGGCACTGGCTGCCCCCAGTGCAGGGCAGGCAAATGGCTGTAGTTGTTTGATGAGGAAAGAAACTGGCCACACTGTCAAAGTGGGGTTTATGGACTAATATCTCCTATTCCCGGGTTTTTCTGAGGTCATTTATGGACTAATATCTCCTATTCTAGTGTATATTGAGGTCATTTATGGACTAATATCTCCTACTCTAGTGTTTATTGGGGTCATTTATGGACTAATATCTCCTACTCTAGTGTTTATTGGGGTCATTTATGGACTAATATCTCCTATTCCCGGGCTTTTTCTGAGGTCATTTATGGACTAATATCTCCTATTCTAGTGTATATTGAGGTCATTTATGGACTAATATCTCCTACTCTAGTGTTTATTGGGGTCATTTATGGACTAATATCTCCTACTCTAGTGTTTATTGGGGTCATTTATGGACTAATATCTCCTATTCCCGGGTTTTTCTGAGGTCATTTATGGACTAATATCTCCTATTCTAGTGTATATTGAGGTCATTTATGGACTAATATCTCCTACTCTAGTGTTTATTGGGGTCATTTATGGACTAATATCTCCTATTCCCGGGCTTTTTCTGAGGTCGTTTATGGACTAATATCTTCTATTCTGGTGTATATTGGGGTCATTTATGGACTGATATTTCCTATTGTGGTGTTTATTGGGGTCATTTATGGACTAATATCTCCTACTCTAGTGTTTATTGGGGTCATTTATGGACTAATATCTCCTGTTCCTGGGCTTTTTCTGAGGTCATTTATGGACTAATATCTTCCATTCTGGTGTTTATTGGGATTGTTTATGGACTAATGTCTTTTATTCTGGTTTATATTGAGGTCATTTATGGACTAATATCTCCTATTGTTGTGTTTATTGAGGTCGTTTATGGACTAATATTTCCTATTCTAGTGTTTTTTGAGGTCATTTATGGACTAATGTCTCCTATTCTAGTGTATATTGAGGTTGTTTATGGACTAATATCTCCTAATCTAGTGTTTATTGAGGTTGTTTATGGACTAATATCTCCTATTCTGGTGTTTATTGAGGTCATTTATGGACTAATATCTCCTATTCTGGTGTTTATTGAGGTCATTTATGGACTAATATCTCCTATTCTAGTGTTTTTTTTGAGGTCATTTATGGACTCATTCTAATGTTTATTTGGGTTGTTTATGGACTAATATCTCCTATTCTGGTGTTTATTGAGGTCATTTAAGGACTAATATCTCCTACTGTAATGTTTATTGAGGTGGTTTATGGACTAGTACCTCCCATTCTAGTGTTGATTGGGGTCTTTTATGGACTTATATCTCCTAATCTAGTGTTTATTGAGGTTGTTTATGGACTAATATCTCCTATTCTGGTGTTTATTGAGGTTACTCATGGATGAATGTCTGCTATTCTGCTATGTTTGTTGAGGTTGTTTATGAACTGATATCTCGTATAGGAACATTTGTAGAGATGGTTTATGGACTAACTTAGTCCTCTTGTAGCATATAGGAGCATTTATTGAGGTCGTTTATGAGCTCATATCTCCTATAGAGCATATCTGAATGTGACAGCTTTTAATGCTGGAGAATAAGAAGCTGTTTAGGGAGGTTTGTACGGCAAAATTCTTCTATTTTTGGATTCTTTTGGTCTAAAATAAAACACTAATTCTTTTAATTCATTCTAGCTGGTGAACAGCTTTGAAAGGGGGTGGAGCACCGTTTCTGTTTCTGTTTGTCTTTTTTATTTTATGAGTTTAAAACTCTTTTACTCTCTCTCTCTCCCTCTCTCTCTCTCTCTCTCTCTCTCTCTCTCTCTTTTCTCTCTCGGCTCTTTTCTTCCCTCTGCAGTGTTTCTCTCTTTCCCGCTCTGCTATTTGTGACAGGAGGCTGAGGCCACTATAATTGTGTGTTTCGGTAAAATCTGTAAAATAAAATATAGGTCAGAGTTTCTCCCAGCATGCTTCAGTTTGGGTCACGCTGCTGTGGCTTCTGCTGACCTATAGTTTACACAGTTCCTAATTTAGGTGCACAGTTTGAAATTCACAGTGAGAAAGAGCCCAGACCTTCTCAGACTGTCCAGTCATGCAAAACGACTGACCGAGTCAGTATAGTCATAGTACAGAGACATAATAGTGCAGTTATATAAATAACAGGTACGTCAAAGTTAACGTACGTCCTTCTTTTAGAGCCGCAACTCAGTGTGACCCTTCCACCCATCCGTACCACTGCAGGCCACATATACATATACACAGTCAATGAGTGTGACTGTATATATGATATATACACTCTGACTGCGTATGTGATATATATGATATACACACACTCTGACTGCGTATGTGATATATATGATATATACACGCTCTGACTGCGTATGTGATATGTATGATATACACACTCTGACTGCGTATGTGATATATATGATACACACACTCTGACTGCGTATGTGATATATATGATATACACACTCTGACTGCGTATGTGATATATATGATATATACACACTCTGACTGCGTATGTGATATGTATGATATATACACACTCTGACTGCGTATGTGATATATATGATATACACACTCTGACTGCGTATGTGATATATATGATATATACACCCTGACTGCGTATGTGATATTTATGATATACACACACTCTGACTGCGTATGTGATATTTATGATATACACACACTCTGACTGCGTATGTGATATATATGATATACACACTCTGACTGCGTATGTGATATATATGATATATACACACACTCTGACTGCGTATGTGATATATATGATATATACACACTCTGACTGCGTATGTGATATTTATGATATACACACACTCTGACTGCGTATGTGATATATATGATATATACACACACTCTGACTGCGTATGTGATATTTATGATATACACACACTCTGACTGCGTATGTGATATATATGATATATACACACTCTGACTGCGTATGTGATATATATGATATATACACACACTCTGACTGCGTATGTGATATATATGATATATACACACTCTGACTGCGTATGTGATATTTATGATATACACACACTCTGACTGCGTATGTGATATATATGATATATACACACACTCTGACTGCGTATGTGATATATATGATATATACACACTCTGACTGCGTATGTGATATATATGATATATACACACACTCTGACTGCGTATGTGATATATATGATATATACACACTCTGACTGCGTATGTGATATTTATGATATACACACACTCTGACTGCGTATGTGATATATATGATATATACACACACTCTGACTGCGTATGTGATATATATGATATATACACACTCTGACTGCGTATGTGATATATATGATATATACACACACTCTGACTGCGTATGTGATATATATGATATATACACACTCTGACTGCGTATGTGATATATATGATATATACACACACTCTGACTGCGTATGTGATATATATGATATACACACACTCTGACTGCGTATGTGATATATATGATATACACACTCTGACTGCGTATGTGATATGTATGATATATACACACTCTGACTGCGTATGTGATATATATGATATACACACACTCTGACTGCGTATGTGATATATATGATATACACACTCTGACTGCGTATGTGATATATATGATATACACACACTCTGACTGCGTATGTGATATTTATGATATACACACACTCTGACTGCGTATGTGATATTTATGATATACACACACTCTGACTGCGTATGTGATATTTATGATATACACACACTCTGACTGCGTATGTGATATATATGATATATACACTCATTGAGTGCAGCTGACGATCCGTGCAGAGCTGAAATGTAAACACGTAAACAAAATAAAGTTACTTAGCCAGTCAGCTGCTGTTACTGATGTAAAGAAGGTCAAACAGAACTAAAGAGTGATAAACTGTAAGTAGTGAATACTGTGAGAGCGCCCCCTGCTGTTTATCAGAGCGTCGCCGCTCCCCAGTTTCAGTCTCCATTTCCCAAACGCTTTAGCCGAGCACGCTAACGTTACTCCCCCTAATAAACAGACACACGTTCAGCTCCGCCTCCTCATTATTCACCACCATCACTGTAATATTTCATCATCAACATTAACACACGAAGGTGATCAGAGGGGCGGTGGAGATCGAGTCTGCAGCGTCTGAGATCTTTAAAACGCAGAGTTAGAAAAGAAAATCATCTCACAGTGAAAGCAGCGTTTTACAGTAGAGATAAATGGAGCTCATTATGCTGGTAGTGAACTATGCTGCTGACTCAGCTGCCTAAAAACCATAGAAACGGACCTTAAACAGAAGTGAGGACCCTGTTGGGGTTCATCCTAAAGTTAGGACAGGATTTAGGAGGTTTAGTCTAGTTAGGATGTTTGTGTGATGCTGTTTTCTTATCTGGAGTTCATGATCAGATTATGAAGGTAGGAACTGGTATTCTGGAATAGCTACTGAACTAAATTCAGTCCGTACTGAAGTCGTCATGGAGAAAAGGCATATTTACAGTGAAACGATGAAGCTGGAGGTGTGAAGGGTCAGATGTGCTGTGTTGGTTTGAACACAGTCAGAGTGGAGTCACTGGTCTGTGAGCTCAGCTCTGCAGGTTCAGACTGAAATCTGGAGAAACACTCAGGCCTTTACGGCCGTCGTTCTGCAGGAGTGTGTGTGTGTGTGTTATGTAATGCAGTTTAGGGGTGTGTGTGTGTGTGTGTGTGTGTGTGTGTGTGTGTGTGTGTGTGTGGAAACGATTAGTGTGTTTCCCAGAGCAGGCTGTGTAATACACCCCATACACCTGTTTCTGACATCTGACACAGCCGTTGCCATGGCCCCGCAGGCTCCGCCCCCTCTCTGTCTGTGCTGTGAATGTGTCAGCATGTCAGCGTAAACAGAAACAGTGTGGCTGATTTGAATTAGCGGGGGCAGAGACGCCCTCCAGCCCGTAGACATGAGCAGAAACACATGTGGGAGCGGCTGAAGCTCGTTCGCCTGCGTTTGGTCTCTGTAGTTGGAGGTAATTAGCTTTATTGAGCTGTTTGAAGCTCTGACACGCAGACACGCCCCCTTTGTCTGATCAGCTGGGTTTATTTTTAGACGTTTACAATAAAAAAATACACTGAGACACTTTTTAGTTAACTCCCCACCCCGGACCCCCAGTCAACAAGATTCCCCCTCATAACCCCCCATACATAACGTACACACTGACCAGTCCACCTCCTCATATCTACATTCACTGTCCACTCTATTAGACACTCCTACCTTGTTGGTCCACCTTGTAGATGTAGTCAGAGACGATAGCTCATCTGCTGCTGCTCAGTTTGTGTTGGTCATCCTCTAGTCCTTCATCAGTGGTCACAGGACGCTGCCCACAGGACGCTGTTGGCTGGATATTTTTGGTTGGTGGACTATTCTCAGTCCAGCAGCGACACTGAGGTGTTTAAAAACTCCAGCAGCCCTGCTGTGTCTGATCCACTCAGACCAGCGCAACACACACTAACACACCACCACCACGTCAGTGTGTACATATTTATACTAATGACACACAACCTCAGTTACATAACCTGACAACAACAATAATAACAACAATAACACCCTCTCTCTCTCTCCCTCTCTCTCTCTGTCTCTCTCTCTGTTCTCTCTCTCTCTCTCTCTCTCTCTCTCTGTCTCTCTCTCTCTCCCTCTCTCTCTCCCTCTCTCTCTCTGTCTCTCTCTCTCTGTCTCTCTCTCTGTTCTCTCTCTCTCTCTCTCTGTTCTCTCTCTGTCTCTCTCTCTCTGTCTCTCTCTCTCTCTCTCTGTCTCTCTCTCTCTCTCTCTCTGTCTCTCTCTCTCTCTGTCTCTCTCTCTCTCTGTCTCTCTCTCTGTGATGTACAGTTAGATGACTGCGCTCTGCAGCTTTCTCATAATGGAACGTATCTGGATCTGGAAGCTTCTCTGGCGGAGCAGAGAGACGAGCTGGAGGGATTTCAGCAGGAAGATGAGTGTGGAGGAGGGTAAGAGCCTACCACACACCACCACACACACTACCACACACACTACCCCACACCCTACCACACACCACCACACACACTACCCCACACCCTACCACACACCACCACACACACTACCACACACACTACCCCACACCCTACCACACACCACCACACACACTACCCCACACCCTACCACACACCACCACACACACTACCACACACACTACCACACACACTACCACATCCTACCACACACCACACACACACTACCCCACACCCTACCACACCCCACCACACACACTACCACACACACTACCACATCCTACCACACACCACCACACACACTACCACACACTACCACACACACTACCACATCCTACCACACACCACCACACACACTACCCCACACCCTACCACACACACTACCACATCCTACCACACACCACCACACACACTACCCCACACCCTACCACACACACTACCACATCCTACCACACACCACCACACCCACTACCCCACACACTACCACACACACTACCACATCCTACCCCACACCACCACACCCACTACCTCACACACTACCACACACACTACCACATCCTACCAAACACCACCACACACCCTACCACTCACACTACCCCACACACCACCACACACACTACCCCACACCTTACCACACACACTACCACAAACACTACCACACACAAACGCGCTATACACTACCTACCAGGCACTACCACACAGCACCAACAAGACACACCCTACACACTACTACACACAAATGCACTAGTAAACACACACACACTCACTACTGAACACTACCACACACACTACCATACACTACCACACACAAACGCACAATACGCTACCTACCAGGCACTACCACACAGCACTGACAAGACACACCCTACACACTACTACACATAAAAACATTGCTAAACACATACACTCACTACTAAACACTACCACACACACTACCACATGCTACCACACACTACCACACACAAATGCACTATACACTACCTACCAGGCACTACCATAGAGCACCAACAAGACACACCACACACTACTACACACAAATGCACTAGTAAACATACACACTCACTACTAAACACTACCACACACACTACCATACACTACCACAAACACTACCACACACAAACACGCTATACACTACCTACCAGGCACTACCACACAGCACCAACAAGACACACCCTACACACTACTACACACAAATGCACTGTGAAACACTACCACACACTACCACACACACTTCCACACCCTACCACACACAAACGCACTATACACTACCTACCAAACACTACTGACTACAGTACCAAGATATGCCTCACACACCACTAAACACATACACTCACTACTAAACACTACCACACACTACCTACCAAACACTACCACAATACCACACACTATCTACCAAACCCTACTTCACATTACCTACCACACATTGCATACCACACACTACCCTTCAACCACTAATCCACACTATCTAATAATACTACCTTACGCTACCTACCAAACACTACTACATAGTACCAACCACACACTACCACACACAAATGCATTACTAAAAACATACACTCCCTACTACACACTACCACACACTACCAAACACAGTACTCCACACTATCTACCACACACTACCCTTCAAACACTACTCCACACTACCTACCAAACACTACAAATCACACACTACCTACCAAACACTACTCCACACTGCCTACCAAAGGCTAAGAACTACCGAATGCTACCTACCAAACGTTTCTTACCAAATGTTATTGAACAAACGCTTCCTGTCAAGCACCACTACTACCTGTCAGAAACATACCATTTACTGTAAACACTGTCCTCCAAACACTACCACACTCTACATACCTAACACTACCCTACACTACCTTATAAACACTACTGTCTAAACACTACCGTCCAAACACCACTACACCTTACCTACCACATATTACTACACTAACACTACCCACCTAACACTACACCCTACCATCTCCAACCCTTACCACACAACAACCACCTAATGCTTCCTACCAAACTCTATTGACCAAACACAAACACTCCTTACAAAATGCTGTCTACCAAGTGCTACGAATCAAACACTACTTACCAAATACGATCTACCAAACAGTACCTTCCAAACACTACTTACCAAATACTATCTACCAAACAGTACCTTCCAAACACTACCTTCCAAATACTATCTACCAAACAGTACCTTCCAAACACTACTTACCAAATACGATCTACCAAACAGTACCTTCCAAACACTACTTACCAAATACTATCTACCAAACAGTACCTTCCAAACACTACTTACCAAATACTATCTACCAAACAGTACCTTCCAAACACTACTTACCAAATACTATCTACCAAACAGTACCTTCCAAACACTACTTACCAAATACGATCTACCAAACAGTACCTTCCAAACACTACTTACCAAATACGATCTACCAAACAGTACCTTCCAAACACTACTTACCAAATACTATCTACCAAACAGTACCTTCCAAACACTACTTACCAAATACGATCTACCAAACAGTACCTTCCAAACACTACTTACCAAATACTATCTACCAAACAGTGCCTTCCAAACACTACTTACCAAAAGCTACCACCTACATCAAAACATTACCAGATATTACCACACATTTCCTCATGCTACAAAAATGCTACCACACACACACTACCAAACACTACCATACACTACCTACCACACAAAGTAACACACCCTGCTATTGCACTTTACGCTGTTATTGTTTATTTTAAATAACGTTCTTTATTTACTTTTCCTCACTTTCCTTAAATCTTTTGTTTTTAGTCTTTCTCTGTATGTTTGTCATGTGTGTTCAGTGTTTACGATGAGTGTGTGTGTGTGTGTGTGTGTGTGTGTGTGTGTGTGTGTGTGTGTCTTTATTTAGCTAACGGTCACACATACTGAGAGTGAACCCACAGTGACCCACAGTGACCGCAGCTGTAATTATACTGGACATCTGAAATCAACATACTCTCTCTCTCTCTCTCTGTCTCTCTCTCTCTCTGTCTGTCTCCCTCTCTCTGTCTGTCTGTATTCTGTGGTTTGCTGCATCTAACGGTCAGCTTCTGACAAGTGATGAAGTGTTGCTGACAAAGAGCATACAGACAGAGAGAGAGAGGGAGAGAGAGAGAGAGAGGGAGAGTGAGTGAGTGAGTGAGTGAGTGAGGGATAAACGGGTGCGTGGTTGTTTGTTGTTGTTTGTACTAAAGGTCAGAGGTCATGGCTGTGTGTTTGTCAGTTGGTGGGTGAGCAGTAATGCAGCACTCTGAGTTACATCTTCACCTTTTATTCAGCTCTTCATCCTCCGTCAGTCTGTCTGTCACAGCTTTCCTTTTCTCTGGTTCACGGCGATGAAGATGGTGATACTGACGATGATTATGGGGATGATGGAGGTGATATACGGAGATAATAGCGATAATAATGAGGTGGTGATGATGGTGATGAAGATGGTGATATTGACGATGATTATGGGGATGATGATGGTGGTGATTTACGGAGATGATAGCGATAATAATGAGGTGGTGATGGTGATGAAGATGGTGATATTGATGATGATTAAGGGGATGATGATGGTGGTGATTTACGGAGATGATAGCGATAATAATGAGGTGGTGATGATGGTGATGGTGATGATGATTATGGGGATGATGGTGGTGATTTACAGAGATGAAAATGGTGATAATGAGGTGGTGATGATGGTGATGCTGATAGGTATGATGTGATAATGATGATGGTGATTATAGTGGTGATGATGATAAGTGTTAGTGATGATGGTGATTATAATGATGGTGATGATAATAGTAGTGATAAAAGTGATGGTGATGATAGTGATGCTAATGGTAGTGATGAAAGTGATGGTGATGATGGTGATGCTAATGGTAGTGATGAAAGTGATGATAGCAGTGGTGATTTATGGTGATTATAGTGGTGAGGAGGTGGTATGCTGACAGTGATGGTGATGGTAGTGATGATAATGGTAGCGATGAAAGTGATAGTGATGATGGTAATGATAATGGCAGTGATGAAAGTGATAGGTGGTTTGTGGTGATTATAGTGGTGATGAGGTTATATGCTGGCAGTGATGGTGGTAATGATTTGATGGTGGTAATGGCAATGCTGATAATAATAATGATGACAATGATGGTAATGATAATGGTAGTGGTGAAAGTGATAGTGATAGTAATGGTGGTGATGATATTGGTGATGTGATGCTGATGGTTGCGAAGATAGTAATGGTGGTGATGGTTATGGTGATGGTGGGGGTGATGGTGATGATAATAATAGTGATGAAAGTGATTGATGGTTTGTGGTGATAATAGTGGTGATGAGGTTATATGCTGACTGTGATAGTGATGGTGGTGATGATGTGATGGTGGTGGGGAGCATGATGATGGTGGTGTTTAGTAATTATGGTGTTGATGATGTCAGTGTTGCTGATGGTGGTGATTGCAGTGCTGATCATAATAATGATGACAATGATAATGATAATGGTAGTGATGAAAGTGATAGTGATAGTAATGGTGGTGATGATATTGGTGATATGATGCTGATGGTTGTAGTGATGGTGATGATGATAATGATGGTGATAAAAGTGATAGAAATGGTGGTGATGATATTGGTGATATGCTGATGATTGTGAAGATAGTGATGGTGATGATAGTGATGATAATGATAGTGATAAAAGTAATAATGGTAGTAATGGTGGTGATGATACTGGTGATATGATGCTGATGGTTGTGAAGATAGTGATGGTGGTGATGGTTATGGTGATGGTGGTAGTGATGATGCTCATGTGATGATGGTTGTGCTGATTGTGATGAAGATGATTGTAGTGGTGGTGATGATGCACATGGTAATGATAATGGTGATGGTGTTTGTACGACATGAAAACTGTGATCTTTCCAGCCACACATTTTGACCAGAGGCAAACTTAAGATCTAAATCACAGTTTTAAGATTAACGTATATCTCTCTCTCTCTCTCTCTCTCTCTCTCTCTCTCTGTCTCGCTCTCTCTGTCTCGCTCTCTGTCTCGCTCTCTTTGCCTCTCTCTCTGTCTCTCTCTCAGGAGGGGGAAGAAGCACAGCGTTATCCTGCGGACTCAGCTGAGTGTGCGCGTTCACGCCTGCATTGGTGAGTCTTGTGCGCTGGCCGTGTAAAGGCCGGAGGCCTCGTTCTCTCACTGACACACTGCAGGGAAACCCGCCTCTTTAGCCCGCCTCACTGTGGAGGATTAGTCATGGAGGAAGTTCAGTGGTAATAATACTCAGATTACAGAAGGTCAGGGGTCAACCTCAGAGCCAGTCCCGCTGCGGCTGCTGAGTGATGAAGTTAATGCTGAGTGTCTCTCTCTCTCTCTCTCTCTCTCTCTCTCTCTCACTCTCTCTCTCTCTCTCTCTCTCTCTCTCTCTCTCCTGGTCAGCATTCTCCATGTGCAGTGATAGCTCTGCTATTCTGGGATTGCAGGTCAAGTGTTTTATTGGCTAGAGCAAAAAAGGGGTCAAAGGTCAGGGCCAGGACTCTGTTTCTCTCTCTCTCGTTCTGTCCCTCTTTTTCCTCTTTGTGGGTCAGTAGAGCTGACCTCTGTGGCCATAGCTGAAGATCCACTCTGAGGAGTGAATAATGCCGTAACGCTGTGAGGCTGAATGACTGAGGGGTTTATTTTCTGGAATATCTTCAGGTTTGATGAAGTCGGTGATTGATTGCTGTTTGATTGCTCTGGCCTGTTGCTGTTTGCTACATGTGAGGTCTGGCTGTGGTCCTGCAGGCCGAGCCCGCCGCGGGGCGAAGCCTTAGCTTCAGCAGAGGTTAGCTAGACAGACACATGCTTGATTAGCTAGCTGAAGGGCAGGTTAGCTACCCAGCTGAAGGGCAGGTTAGCTACCCATCTGAAGGGCAGATTAGCTACCCAGCTGAAGGGCAGATTAGCTACCCAGTTGAAGGGCAGATTAGCTACCCAGCTGAAGGGCAGGTTAGCTACCCAGCTGAAGGGCAGATTAGCTACCCAGCTGAAGGGCAGGTTAGCTACCCAGCTGAAGGGCAGATTAGCTACCCAGCTGAAGGGCAGGTTAGCTACCCAGCTGAAGGGCAGGTTAGCTACCCAGCTGAAGAGCAGGTTAGCTACCCATCTGAAGGGCAGGTTAGCTACCCAGCTGAAGAGCAGGTTAGCTACCCAGCTGAAGGGCAGGTTAGCTACCCAGCTGAAGAGCAGGTTAGCTACCTAGCTGAAGGGCAGATTAGCTACCCAGCTGAAGGGCAGGTTAGCTACCCAGCTGAAGAGCAGGTTAGCTACCTAGCTGAAGGCTTGGTTAGCTGGTTAACTGAAGGGTTGTTAGCTAGCTGAAGGCTTGATAAACTAGCTAGCAGAATGCTTTGCTAGCTAGCTAAAGGGCAAGTCAGCTAGGTAGGTGAAGGGCAGGTTAGCTAGCTAGCTAAATAGTGCTTTAGCTAGCTAGGCGAATGGTTGGTTAGCTGCTAAGCTGAAGGTTGGGTTAGTTAGCTAATGAAAGGTTGGCTGGCTAGTAAGCTGAAGGGTGAGTTAGCTGGCTAGCTAAACCGTGGATTGCCAGCTAGCTGAAGGGTGTGTGATATAACTCACAAAGAAATGATGTAAGAAAAAGTGAACTGAACTCAAAACGTCACGAAATCACTCTTTCAGCATGTTAGCTAGTGAACTACAAACGTAGCTACTCTAACCGTGAGTTTACTGCAGAAGCTCATGTTGTGATAACGATAAAAATCTGGTTCATTGTGCATCAGAGAAACAACTTCTGAAGCCCCCAGTTTGAGCACCGCTGTCCTGACACTGAGTCAGACTTCCACAGACATCTTTAGGTGAAGTCATGCTGAGTTTATTTAGTGTTCTTCTGTTATTTTAGTGAGTATTTAAAGCTTTTGTGACGTTGACCCAACCCTCGCTGCAGGGAGTAACCCAGGCTGGACTTCTGGAGCTCACAAGCTGGTTAGCGGACATCGTGCCCAGCGCTGGGCTTTGGCCAGTGCAGAGCTCCCTCTGCAGGATTTATTGAGTCTGGACTTTGAAAGTAGTCTGGGTGGTACAGCTTTAAAAAGGTGTGAATCTCAATCACGTCGTTGAGTTTCACCCCCCCCACCCCCAACCCAGCCCACTCAGAGTACTACAGTGGTAGGAGCATAAGGAGAAGGTCCACTGGGTTTGTAGCTGTTTCTCTGGTCAGTCCTTAGAGGTTTTGCATTACACACACACACTCACACACACACACACACACACACACACACACACTCACACACTCACACACACTCACACACACACACACTCACACACACACTCACACACACACACACACACTCTGAGGATCTGTCCTAAGTGGATGAAGAATGTGCTCTAAGTCTCCAGCCACCTGCTCCGTCCCTCCTGCTGCTGCAGGACTGCAGTTTCAGTAGTAATCTAAATCCCACCCCCGCCCTCCGTCCTGCACTCTCTCTGCTTCTGCTTCTTCACGCTGTGGTCGACCACTGAAGACGCTCAACATTAGCATACAGTGCCTTCTTTTCCACACAGAACCAGGAACACTCAGAGGCTGTTTTCATGGGGTTTTAGCAGAGAAATGGTGCAGTTCTGTTTACTGTTAGCTGATCTGCTGCCAAACCTTCTCACCACTAAAGGAGGAAACAGAAAATCACCCAAGAGTTTCTTCTCCCTCTGTTTCTTTCAGTAGTAGGTCAAAATAATGACTTACTATGTCAAAACAACGACTTATTACTCAAAATAATGACACATCAAAATAATGTCTTATTAAAACATTGTCTTACTATGTCATAATAATGACTTATTACTCAAAATATTGACTTATTGTGTCAAAATGAATTATTTTCTATAAATATTGACTTACTATGTCAAAATAATTAATGATTTATATCGACATATTGGCGTACTACATCAAAATAATGACTTATTTTTTTCGATATATTGACTTATTTCTTGAAAATAATTACTTATTTGAAAATTTTGTAAGTCAAAATATTGACTTACTATATTAAAAACACTAACTTTTCCATAATATTGTCTTATTATGTCAAAATATGTATGTATTTTCTTAAAATACTGACTTATTTTCTCAATATATTGACTTACTTTGTCAAAACATTGACTTACTGTGTGAAAATGTTGCATTTATTTTCAAAATGTTGACTTACTTTGCCAAAATAATTATTTACAATATCAAAATAATGACTGACTTCATATCCTGTAAAAATTACTTATGGCTCCAAAAACAATTACTTCTTGAAATTTGACAGCTCATTATTTTGTCAGAGCATCCCAGAATGTCAAGAAAGAAGTCTATAAGGTAAAACATCAAATGTTGTGTTTTTGTACCATTTTAATTTAATTCAGGTCAAACAGAAGTAGAAGTGCTGACCACACCTGTTCTGTACTCAGATATACTGACCAGCGCCACTGTGGGTCTCTCAGGTTTAATGGAGGACGTAGGTCGGTTCGGTTCTCGAGGAGAACAATCGTAACCTCACTGTTTATAGATGCAGTGAGTCTAGTGAGTGTGTGCCTATACGCCATGTGTGTGTGTTTGTGGGGTCATTTCTGTGGTCAGTGTCTGGAAGGCCGGATTGGATCCTAATCCCAGCTGGACTGAGCTGAAATCCGCTAAAGAGTGGTGGGATTGGGATCTAGAGTAAAGCTCCACATACGGACAGATGTAGAGCAGCTTGGGAGGAAAACGAGACCCATTCGCTTCTCCAGCGTCTGTCCCGACCTCAGGGGGTCAGAAACGCTGACCGTTTAATTAAGGTGGAGTGGACGGAGTGAGAGGTGACTGGTTTAAATCAGGAGTGCTGAAACGAGTTGAAGAAATCGAGTTTGAGTTCAGCTCAGTTTTCAGTTAAATACAACCAGTTTATTCTTAAAAAAGGACAGAAACAGTCATAAAAACCGTGGCAGCTGTGTTCATCTTCTTAAGGCTGAGTTGTAATGCTGAGTCATGAGTCTTTTAGGGATGGGTATGGGTCAAGCGGTGAGTCCTTTAAGCACGAGTTCGAATTGTGAGTCATTTAAGCGCAAGTATGAATCATGAGTCATTCAAGCACACGTCTGAGTCAATTCATGAGTCATTTAAGGGTGACTCTGAGTCAAGTCATGAGTCATTTACAGGCTAGTCCAAGTCATGAATCACTTAAGAATGAGTCAGACTCAAATAATGAGTCATTTAAGGGTGACTCTAGGTTGAGTCGTGAGTCCTTTAAGGGCAAGTACAAATTGAGTTGTGAGTCATTTAAACACAAGTCCTATTTGATTTTTGAGTTGATTCATGAATCGTTTAAGGACAAATATGAGTCGAGACTCGTTTAAGGGTGAGTCTGAGTCAAGTCATGAATCATTTAAGGGCGAGTCTAAGTTGAATCTTGAGTCATTTAAGCATGTGAGTCATTTAAGTCGTTTGCAATCAATGGGACAACCTCAAATTTAGCCTGATTAGCCTGTAGCGTGGGTGAGGCATTACAGTAGCTACAATGTAGTAGGATAGCTGGTGGTTGTTAGCAATGTCTCTGCCTCCTAACTGCCCCGCAACCCTGTAACCAGCCCCCCAAGCCCCCCATCCCATCCCCCTCCTGCCCCCCCCCAAATTGAAGCTCTGGCTACTCCACTTGCACCCTATAACTCACCTGACTGTGAAGCTGGAAATGAGAGATAAACATGTTTATACTGAGCTGAAAATAGAGCTCATGTCTGATGTAGTAATAAATCTGTGACCTCCACTGACCCCTGGATTGGCAGACCCCTAACAATGACCTCTAGTGACCCCTGCAGGAGCCTTGTGGCTGTCTGTGGTTCCCCGTGATTACAGATCAGCTCGAGAGTCCGTCCAGTCCAAGTATGTATCTGTGACTGACCTGTGGTCAGCTGTTAGACTGGAGCATTTTTGTGGACCCGACAGCTGTCAGCACGTCAGATCAGAGAGACTCTGTGAAAGCGACGGGCCGTTTAAACCCTCATTAGCGCTGCTGTAGAGTGCTTTAAAAGCTGCAGTGGGATTTACGTTTCAGAACTGAAGGAGTGCTGATCCAGGATCAGCTTCCAGCTCCAGCATCTAAAACCCTCACCTTCATACAGAAGGCAGGACGTAGATCAGCATCAGGGC